CTTTTAATCAGATTGGTGAGTCTCATGATGTTGGCCGATTGATTTGTATCGGTAAAAGATTGTTGATCCAAGATGAAAATGTGAAGACAAACAAGAAATAAACAAATATCGTTTTTCTGGTTCCTTTTTGTTTATTGTTTTGTTTCCAACCAAAGAAGATGATGATAATGAAACTGAGTGAGTTGACAATTTGTTACCTTGAATGTTATTCCAATAACAAGAGGGTTTCCCCTTCTCTCCATCCTCATCCTCATCTTACTTTAGTATCTTTAATAAAAGCATTTAATTTCACCCAAGAATCACAAGTAAACAAAAGACGAAAACTTCTTATTCCCACTTCCAAACAAAATTACAATCTCTCTCATCATCATCATCATCCTTCTTTCCCTCTGTCAATTGTCTTCATTTCTCCTCCTTCTTCTTCTTCCTCTTCCTCTTTTCACGTCACAATTTCATCCTTATATTTACCTAAAATTGAAGTACAATTCAGGCTCATCTTCATCTTACTTCTTCATCTAATTGCTTATTCTTTCAGGAATCTTTTGCCTATAATGATAAATAATAGAAATGAAGAAATGAAGAAGATAAAGATGATGATGAAGATGCAAAAAGCATGAAGAAAAAGTAAATCTAAATGAAACCAAATTTGTTATCATTTCCATTCTCAATGATGATTATGAATTGTGATAGAAGACAAAAAAAACTGTTCAAATCATTTTACGATTAAAATTTGCTTCTCTCAAAAATTCATCGATATTTTTGCCAATTTTTTTCTTCTGTTTCATTTCAATTTTCACTCTCAACAACCTTAACTATTCATTAAAAGATGATTCAAATGTTCCTTCACTTCACCATCTTCTTGTTGCTAAAAGGCAGTAATAATAATAAAAATACTCCTAATAATAATACAAATGATGAAGACTTAACGATCAATAAAAACCGTTCTGCAGGCAAGTTTATCGTCACATACTTTGATAATTACATTTTTCAATTAACTTTCAACCGTTAATATTGCAAATCAAGGGAAAAAACCAAAAGAAATGTGAACAAACTGAATAAGATGAAAATGAAGACAAAATTATTAACCCTTTTTTACCATTTCAAAGATGAAAACTTTTCCATCTTCAGATAAAAAGAAAATGATGAAAAGAAGAAAAAAAAGTTGATAAACTCAGAACAATCAATACGAGTTTCCATTATAATTGTTAACATTTGATTAACAATTTTCCCTTCATTTCCATCTCTTGCAAAGAAAAATATTTCAATATTTTCCTCTCATTTGCTTATTTTCATTGATTATTTCATTGATTTCAAACTGATTATCGATTTGCTTTTTTAATCAACTTTCTCATCTTAAATGGTCAACATTGAAACTCGATTTAAAGGTTAAATTTTAGGTTAAATATTCTGTTGGAAAGAAACATTTCAGGCGCTCATGGAGATGAAAAGTAAATAAAAGTTGAAAGATATTTTCATATATTCTGGTCACTTCTGAAAGGGTGAAAATGATGAGAAAAGATGATAAAGTAAACAAGATGATAGACTGTTATTGTTGATGAAAGTGAATCACAATGTGAATAATCAGTAAACAGCATTAAATGAAACTTGCTTTAATCTTCTTTAACCTTTTCTTGTTTATTTGTTTCCATTCATTTTCAGTCTACTTATCATGATGAGGATTGCAATCAATTATTTTTACTCTTAACCATTTAAGTTTACATTTGCCTTTGAAAATGAATAAACAATGAAAATGTCAACTTTATTTATCCTGAAAGGTTTCATCTTTGATGGAACAAAAAAATAAACAAAAATGTTGTTGTTTACATTTAATGATGAGATAAACAGCAGATGATGATGAGCTGAAAATTACAGCAAACTTGGTTGATCAGAAACTGAACAAAAATATCCCTTTTTTCGATTCGATTTAGAAAATAATTTCTAACATTTCAACTTTTTTTTACAAAAATGACATCAATATTGAAATGAGAAACTGTTGAATTGAAGATTTGACTTTCATCAGGAAATTTTGATGAGTTTTTCAGAAGAAAATGAACTTTTTTCCATCAACATTCTGTTTTTGATAAACAATGAAAATGAACATATTGTGTTTCAATTATTTTGCATTTACCAACCAATGGAAAAGTAAATAAAGTTTAAAATATTAATTTCAATTTTCATGGTTAACAGAATTGATGAAACTCATGAAAGAAAATGATAAAGAGTAAATTCTTAATGAAAAAAGAAACAGGAAAAAGATGGAAAAACTTTGCAAATCGAATTGGAAAAGTTGCAATAAATTTCAATTGTTAATCAGAGAGAGATTTCATGAGAAGGCCAAAAAACGAAGATGAAATAATGTCAAAAATTGCGTGTTGAACCAATTACCACTTTACAATAATTAGTTGATTCCATCAGAATAATTAGAAGCTGAAAAAAGGACAAAACAGAACGGAAAAAATGTCAAAAAAAGTTATAAAAAAAGTACAAAAGTGAAGGTAAAAACAATGAAAGTCAACTTTGAGAATTGATCTGAAATTATTATTATTTGTCAGTTTCACTCGACTTGACTCTTCATTATAACTCTTAAATAATGTATAATGTTTATTGAGGCATAATACCATGACCAGGTTGATATATAAATGAGCTGAATGAGAGAAGAATGGAAAAAGTTCTGAAAGGAAATCATAATAAAAATAATAATATTGTTTAATTAGCTTTACCTTTTAATTGGTGGACTAATTAATTTTCGTGTTTCCCTGGTTCAACGATATTGGACAAAAACAATTGTTAACCAAGATACATAAATATGTAAAAGTATATTTATAATCAAGAAGAAGAAGAAGAAGAGAAAGAGAAGATAAAAAAAATGATATTTTTTCTTGCGATTGAACCATTTTGAAATAAACACTAACCAAGCATAACAATTGAACACAGAAATGCCTTCAATTGTCGAGATATCATTAACAGGGTAAAAGCCAGGGTATTTATTCATATAATGATGAGATGAAATTTGAAGGAAGAGAAGAAGAAAAAAATGCGATTTTTGCTCATTCATTTTCCTCACTCTTTTTATCATCATCACTCTCACTCTTATTGTTAATTGGAATCCCAATGTTGATTGGGAACAAAATGTATTATCATGAAAATTATCAACATGATGATTAAATTACATGGACGAGTGAGGTTACTTGCCTTTCCTCTAAACTCACTTTTTTCACTCCCTGTTATCATTCCCTGTATTGACTGGAAATAATAATAATTTTCATTTCTCTTTCTGTCGCTTCTTTCGCCACTCTTACCATCAAGAGATGAACCACGCCTTGAGTTCTGATGATGTCGACTTCCACCCTGAATCTCTTTTCTCCGCCCTGAGAGAGACTGAGAGAAGGGAAAATAGCAAAAAGTCCATTTTAAGCCCGAAAAATGCTCAAAATTAATTTACTCTCTTCGCCTGTTCTTTCATGTTTATTGTTTTCCCATTTCCGATTTACTTCTCAACCACATTATTATCATGATTACTATTAATTGCAATATTTTGTCCAATCGGTCCAAAAATAACTCGCAATCATTATAATCTTATTCAACATTATTCATCAACATTATTCATCAAATGTTTCACATCAAAGTTGACCAGTTTAATGTTCACCTCATTGAAATTGGAAAAATAATGAAATTCCAATTCAATTAGCAACATTCAAGATTTACTTTAAAACCAATTTTTCCTTCTATTTTTATCTGTTTCATGATTTTTCCAAACAAATGAAACTCTTTAACAATAGCTCATGATAAATGGTGAAACGATTCCCAAGATATTAATGCATATATTGATAACAATGTTGACAGGTCTTCTTTAATTCATCTTTTCCCATTTACCATTTCAATTGGCAACTTTAATTGTCATTTGGCAGTTTCAATTAATATCAATTCAAGTATTATTATTAAAAATAGCAATAACCTAAGGCTAGAAGTTAATTATTTTTCAATTGGAAATCTGTGAAAATGAACTTTTTCCAAGTCGTAAGCAAGAGATTGAAAAGTGAAAATGAATAAAAACAAAGGCGAAAGAAAAAGAAAATTAAAAATTTCTGATTTTCTAAATGAAATTTTTTCCCTTTTCACTTCTGTCTTAATCTTTCTTCAAAAGATGATTAATTAATTAATGTTTTTACTCGACAAAAAAGGTAAATTATGTGTTAATTATTGTGTTGATTAGCGTTTACTTTTACCTTTCCTTTGCTGCTGTTGTCCCATTGTTGTATTACTATTTGGATTGCGTGTTTACAAGCAATTCATTTTCAACAAATTTGTTGTTTGTATTATCACTTTAACTATTTTTTATTATATTAACTCTGTTAATGTCCCTTCTCATGGTTCCTATCATGTTATATTGAACACTCAAACCTGATAATGATAGGTGAAGCAAATAACAACATTCAAGATCAACATTGCTAATAACTGTATCAATACGTCAAGTCAAGGTAATCATTGAATCAGCTCTCAAATATGGTGATGTGATTAAAAAAGATTAAAGAGAAACAATCAAAATGAACCTTCATGTTAATCATCATTAACAATATAATCAATAGTTGACCATCTAAAAAGGTAAATGTTGTTGTTTCTCAGGTAAAATTTCGTGTCATTTTGTTTATTTCATTGATTTTATTGATATCCAAACATTATCCTTGTTATGACACTTTTTCTGGTAAAGATTCTGGTAATCAAGTTTGCTTCATTCAGTCTCTCCTTAACCCATTCACCGGTTTCATCAACATTTATAGATAGAGATTATTATTGTTATTATTTATTTTTGATCAACTTATATAAGAGGAAAGGTCTAATTGAATGATGAATAAATGTGCCTCCGGAGTTACCTTTTATCAGAATGAACAACAAAAATTGAGGTTTGGTTTGCAAGGTCTTATGCAAACTTAATCATCAAAGTAAACAATTGTTTTGGGAAAGGTTCAATCAACAATCAACGAGTTTTTGTTTTTTCCCTCTCTTTTAATAATAACCATCATCAGAGTAATCATAATGAAAATAATAACAATCTTCATTGCTGTCAAGTTTATCTTTCATGTAATAATATTATTTCATTTTCAATTCTCAACCGTAAATATCCAAGTCATTTACATGTTTTGTCATTTATTATCATTATTATTTTCAATATTAACGCTTTGTTTACAATCATTTGCATTTGCCATTTTCCTTTGGCTTTCCTTTCGTCTCTCATTCAGATAAACAGATTAATCAGTTAATGAATTTTTGTTCTTCCACTGAAAAAGGGAAAGGGCAAAATTTGATTTCTCATTGATATCAAACAAATGTTTCCTTCTTTACACGGTTCCTTAGCAATTAAATGATTTGCACACCATATTTTTCAATGGATTGTTGTGTTTGCAAAGGGAAAACTTGCAAACAAACAGAAAATGAAAAAGAAGGATAAACAAGAGGAAGATGATGTTGTTGATGATGATGATGATGAGAAGGAGGATACAAAATGTGATGAAAAGAAGTTGGGAGAAAGTTTGTTTAGCTTTCTGGTGTTGTCAGGATAAAAGTTGTTTACCTTTTTTTTCATCTTCTTCTCCTTTTCTTGCTTAGTGTTTACTGGTAACGTTGGTTGTTTACTTCGCCTGGGCGAGGTTAAGATAAACAAACATAAACTAGAAAATAGAAAACCCAAAGAATAAACGAAAAATTTGGGTAAAAAAAGGGAGGCAAGAAGATGAAGTTGGGTCAAGTTGAGAAAACAAAACTGTGAAAATTCAATTTAAGCTTTTCTCTTTCACTTTTTGCTCTTTTTCAAATGGTAATCACGATTTGTCGAAAAAAACACGCCATTTGAGCATAAGATCTTTTACCAACATGTCTGGCTAGTCATATTTTGATTTGATCATTTGAGCAATAAATAGCACTAAACAAATAGATTTGTTGGCTTCAGAATGCTGTGCCAATCCACTTTAACCCAAATGCGATCCAAGCTCGAAAAAAATGTCTCATGCTAATAGATTATCACTTTCTTTCTTTCAATCTTTTGGTATCTTCTGAACCTCTTGACTTTCCTTCTTTGGCTTCTTAAATCTGTTGGCCTCTTTCTGGGTATCTTTTGGTATCTCTTTTGGTCTCCTTTGGTCTCCTTTGCCACTATTTCGATCTCGATCTCCTCTTTGGCCTTGTTTAACCACAATTTTAAACTTACTGGTAACCAGAAGAATGAACTAACTTCAATGGACGTCATGATGAGTGAACCAGCGACTCCATTAAAATCAACATCTTCATCACCAACCACTCCATCTTGTTTGTCTTCTTCCTCTTCGGTGTCATCCTTAACCACCACAACTTCAGCTGCAGCGGCTGCCGCAGCGGCTGCAGTAGCAGCGGCAGCAGATCATTCATCGATAATTCCTCACCTCCAGGAAACGTTACAAATGAACTTGGTTCAGCAAAGTTCAATTTACCAGCAAATGTCTTGTCTGGCCAATGGTTACAATAATTCAGGTTCACTGTTATCTTCGTCTTCTTCGTCTTCTTCCTCTTCATCTCCTTCATCATCTTTATCAACTTCATCTTCACATTGTAACAAATCATCTTCTGCTTCTTCTCATCACATTGGTAACAAAGTCAACGGAAACCATAACAACAGTAACAACAATAACAACAACAACAACAGTAATAGTAATAACAGTAATGGAGGATCTTTTTCAAATAACAAAACTCGCGTTCAGTTGGAACTACAGTTACAACAATTACAGTTACAGCAACAACAAATCATGCACCAGTTACATGTTTCATCTCAGCGACAATATCTTCTTGGATCTTTAGGACCTTATTTAAATGAAATGTGGAAATCGTCTGTAGCCCAGCAACAGCAACAATCCACCAATCAACATCAACTTTCACCGCAACCAACAAATGGTGAACGTTCCCACCAATCATCTCTCCATTCCAGCTTAAATATTCCTCACCTTAACAATCATCAACAAAATGTACATCGTAGCTCATCGCCCTCACTGTCATCACCTTCGCCATTATTTCTTTCAAATTCAGCAACTAATAACAAGTCAACTTCTTTGTCATCAACAGCAACTTCATCACCATTACCCGGTGAATTCAATCCATTAACGTTTGATTTTATAAGAAAGAGAAATGGTTTGAGTTCGTGTAAATCAAGATCCAATGCAACGCCAACAATATCTTCATCTTTAGCCAACTTGTCTTGTTTTACCGGATCATTCAATGGTGGTGGAAGTGATCAAGTGTTTAATGGTTTCACCCCTGGACATCCTCATTTAAGTGGATTAGCAGATAAAATTGAAGAATCAGATTCCCCGCCACCTCCATTTTCAGCTCTGTCAACAGCTGCTGCCGCCGCTGCTGCCGCCGCTGGAGGAGGTAATGAAGGAGTTAGTGGTTCAATGCCGACAATTGAGGAATCAGATTATTTAAAAATCTTATTCGGCAAGGGATTGTGTAAATGGCCTGGATGTGAAGCAGTTTGCATTGATTACAATTCATTCGTTAAACACCTCAGTCTAGAACATGGTTTAGACGATAGGTCAACAGCTCAAGCTCGAGTTCAAATGCAAGTGGTACAACAATTGGAGATACAATTATTTAAGGAAAAAGAACGCTTAACTGCGATGATGCATCATCTTCATCTCAAACATCGAGCTCAGCTAAACACGTTAAATCTAAGTGCTGCAGCAGCTGCTGCTGTTAGTGCATCAACACCTAAAATACCTTGTTCACCCGTAAGTTAACCTACTCGTAATTACCTTTCAATTTAAATCAAGCTAACAATCTCTTCTCTTTTTTTCCTTCTGCCCCATAATTTATACAGTTTATGATGGATAGTAAATCAGATTTAAATAGAGACGATCGTGATCAGTCAACGGATGACGGAGATGAACCAATGGAAGGAGATAAAATGTCTAGTGGAAAAAGGAGTTTAATGGAAGTAAATGGTGTACCTCATCATGGTCATCATTTGCCTAGTGTGTTAGGAGCACATCATTCACACCGTTTATCTACAGCTTCGCCGTCTTCACCATTACCATCATCAACTGTAGCTAGTAACGGTTTAACCATCCAAGGAGCGCTCTCTCCCGTAACCACTGCTAAACCATCCATGTCAAGTCCTCCTATAGCTACAACACTTCCCGCTAGTTCAATGAGTAATATGATAGCTGCTGCTGCTGCCGCTGCTGCCGCCGCCGCTGCCACATCTAGTAGCCCGACATCATTTGTCACTAAATCTCCACCGTCTCCTAATAACGCAAAGTTAACAGGTTCGCCATCCATTCCAAATATTTTCAATTCTACCTCTTCCTCGTCGACGACCACAACAGTTACAGCCAATAGTATCAATAACTCTACAAATAGTAACAATAATATGACCAGTGGTTCACATGGACCTGGTAGACGAAGGTTAAGTGATAAAAGTGCACCTCGTGATTTATCCATCACTGGCTTGGGTAGCTGTAATGGAGAATCATTGTTAAATAACAATAGTAATTCATCGTCATTACCTGATTCACCAGCTCGTCGTCGTATTGCTGAAAGAAACAATTTAGATATAACTGAAGGTATTTTCTTAGAGTCTCAATTGATTTTACATCAAATTAATTTGTATTTCATTTATTCCTATTCCAGAAATCAATCGTAATAGAGAATTTTATAAAAATGCTGATGTTCGACCTCCATTTACATATGCATCTCTTATTAGACAGGTAAGGATCCATTTTGTCACCTCCAGTGTCAACATTATCGTTTTAATATCATTTGAATAGTCCAATGTCATTCAAATTTTGTTCAAATTCAACCTGTTCTCTGATGCAAAGCTTAAAAGTATTTCATTTGCTTCATGAACTTTGAATCTTTGGTGATTCAACGAGCCTTCTTAAAAAATCAAATGAATAACATTTACGCTTTTATATGCCTCTGCGCCTTCTTTTATGAATTAATTTAATTGCTAATTGCTTGTAATTATCTTCTTTCCAGGCTATCATCGAGGCTCCTGAAAAACAACTTACACTCAATGAGATCTATAATTGGTTTCAGAATACATTTTGCTTCTTCCGGAGAAATGCTGCTACTTGGAAAGTAAGGGGTTAATCAAAATATTTTTCTTTGTTAACTATCATCAGTATCATCAATATCATCATCGCCATCATCATTAACATCATTTTCCAAATCAGCAAATCGACTATTTTTGTTTACGTCTAAACTTATTGTCTTTCAATTGTTTCCAACTGAATCAAATTATGCTGTTTGTTTTTCTTTTGTTTATACCCTATCATTATAAATGATAGCGCAAATCTTCATTAACTGATGATGTATTTTTCATTTGTTTGTTGATGTTGTCATGAATTTCTCTTTCTATTTTCTCTTCGGCTGCAATCATTTTAGTGAAGTTTATTTTATCTCTTGCCGTTTTATGTTGATTTTACTTTCCATCTCTTAGCAACTGTTGTTGAACATTTCCTTTTTTTTATTTCTTGTTGATTATTTTTAGGTTTTTTGTTTGTTGAATTGTTGATTTTGATGATGATGATGTATCAGCACAATTGACGTTAACTTATAATTAACAGTTACTAATCAAACAACTTCTCATAATGATTCTCAGTTAAACAGTTTCCAATGAGTACAATCAATCAATTCAATTTCACTCACCTCGATTCAACTTCAAATTAGGATATTTTGTCGTTTAACTATCCTATTCAAACCAAATTTACTGATGATAAATATATTGAATTGTCACAAACTTGCTCAAAATTGCATTTCTAATAAATATTTTTAATTGTTTTTCTAATTTTCCTCTAGAATGCTGTTCGGCACAATTTAAGTCTTCACAAATGTTTTATGAGAGTGGAAAATGTTAAAGGCGCTGTTTGGACTGTTGATGAACTTGAATTTTATAAACGTAGACCTCAAAGATTACAAGAAAGACTTTCAACAACATCTTCTTCCTCGTCATCTTCAGGGTAAATTTAAATTTTATCACAACAGTTTGTTAATGATTATATTTTTTAATTGCCAAATTAATTTTTAATTTTATTTCTCATTTATTCTTCTAGTCAAAATGGTAGTCAATTAAGCCTGGAAAATTTACGTCAAGTTGCTAATATCTCATCGAAAGGATCTAATCTACTCGGTGAAAATCAATTCAGTTCAAATTTCAATGCATCATTATCTGAGAATAGTACGCTTCCAACCTTTTTACGCAACATTGTTAACGGTCCTTTATCAAGACCTACATCCGTTAGTCCTCAAAGACCCGGAGATTTTCATAATTTATCCAATGAAGAAAATGATTTCATGGATGGTGCTGATTATGATGATGATGTGGATACCGGAGACTATGATCAAGAAATTGATGATTATGATGGAGACACTGGAGAAGTACAAGATTTAAGAGTAACAATTAACCGAAGCCCAAGTCCAAGCCCAAGTCCAAGTGATTGTAATGATATCACCGGTAATGAGATGGATACAACAGGTGGCCGATTTTCAGTAATGGACAAAAATGATGAACATAGAGAGTATCGAGAAGAAGGCGAAGATGATGATCCTGATTTGGAAGAAGATGATCTAGACGAAATAGGTTATGGTCGACAAACCAAACTGGAAGGACTCGATTTAGGATTTAAACAAAGTAATGCTTCCGAAGAAAGAAACGTTGACAAGTAAATTTTTGTAATGTTTGGATGGGCCAACATTTTTCAACACTATCATCTAATCAACGTCATTTTCAATGGACATTTTTGCTAAGTCTTTCTTCGAAACAATTGGGAACAACAAAATTACCATAATTGAATCATCTACATCATCAAAGCAACTAAATCTTCAAGACATAGCCAAACGTTTAATTAAACAAGGAAACGTTATTTTGATTAGTAACCCTGAAGTCATCATCAAAATTATTAATCGCACTAATTGATACAAATACACTTATCAAGTTAACACTGAATGCCTTCAATCGCGCAACAATAATTTAAAGTGGGACGAATTTTCAACATTTGGTTGAATATGGATCAAACAGATACAATAAATGAATTGAAATCGTTAGTTGGACAAAGGATTTCCAGATTTAAACCTTTTGCTTTAATCATTCGAGCTGTTTTTATTGGATAAAAATCTCATCATGGATTGAGATAAAGCAAGATTGACAACACTTCATGAGACAAAACTCAATAATGAAAACCCTTAAACAATTTATCTATCCTGAGACTCTAGTCTGTTTTTAGTTTATTAATGCAGCCAAACAAAGTTGTTTTTTTTGGAGAAATCAATTCACTAATTAAAATCAATGCTCAACGAAGTTGACAAAAATACAAGATAATATGATGAAGTTAATAATTTCACATTAAACATCAAATTAATATCGAAAGAAAAAAAGTGATGAATTACATTTTCAAACATATCAACAACATAATCATTCTCACCTTCATCTTCACCATTGTCATCACCATCGCCATTACCATCATCATCATCTTCACCCTCATGTTCATATTATTGATATAAAAACAATAATTGATACCATAATGATTAACAATCAATGCAATCACAATCAAATATATCCATTTCACTCATTCTTTGCTATGAAGCTTTGCATACTTCTTCCTCTTTCTTTCTTTCTTTCTGTCGCCACCTTACTCATTATCTTGACTATTAGATATTTTTTGATTATTACCTGCGCATTGTAGAGTTGAATTATTATTAATTAATGAAACAACATGAAACGAAAAAGTGTGTAAATTAAGATTACAAAATTGTTCAACTCTTTTCCACTTTCATTTACTTTTTTAATTGAAACCATTTTCGCAGACAATCCTTGAAATTCAAGTCGGCTTAGTCGGTTTAGTAAATTTTACACTTCGGGTTAGATTATCCAACTTGGATGATTTTCGGAAACGGTTCGATAATACTCGCTTTTTGCCTTTTCGGTGGTCTAAACGTGCTTGTGCGTTAATAATAAGATAATCAGGCTCTTTACTCAAATCGAGTAAAGTAAAGGATCCCTAATAAAGTCTCGGAATAAATTTAAAAAAATAACGGCTTTTGTAGGGATATTAAAAAGATTTTGATAGAAAATCAAAGATAGCACTTTTTGATGAATTGAATGCTAAAAGTATCCTTAATTGCGTGAACTGTTGTAATTAATTTTAGTTTAAACGCGATTATGTACAAAGACTTGAAGTCGAAAATTTAACAGCTAACAGATTTACTTTGAATCTCATTATTATTGCCAACGCGTTTCAAAGGTAAAATTTGGAAGTTAATTAAATCTGAATGATAGTTCACAGCTCGCGATGGATCATCGCATCAAAGCTAACATCAATTTATTATGTTTGATTAAAAAGAAGGAAATTGTTTAATTCGAGGAAATCACAAAATGCATTAGCAATTTATAATCGGCTATTTGACTGAAGTGCCCTGTATATATCAAGAAAAGGGTGAATTCTGATTCATATATTTTAAGTTGATTAAAAAACTCATTTAGCTGTCAAAGAAAAAGTTTCAATTTTTGTATTTAGAATAGTTTTAAGTTTAATTTGAAAAATAAACATTTCGATCAAAATTGACTGATGCATGGAACTAATGACACTTTAATTTTGATCTTAATTGCTCTAATAATGTGTTACCACCATTGACTGAATAGTCTTGTATAATAATAATATAATAATTAGTCAGTTTGTTCACAACCATCATCATGTAGCATCATAATCTAGCAATATCAAGCACACGATATCTCACAATACAAATTCTGGTTCTCACCGATTTTCACTTGATCTATCTCAACTATAATGAGAATTGAAATTAAATGAAACTAATTTTGAAAACAAATTTGTATCAAATGAACGTCAAAACATGAATATGAAGACATTCTGTAAACCAGCATCTCTATAATCAAGCAACAAACGCATTCATGGATTTGAAACAAGTGAATCAATTATGAATATTCAAGCAAAATGAACAGAACAAAATGATGAAGCGTTCAAGGCAAAATCGGAAATTACATAGGCATGAAATCGTCCATGCGTGTAATCAATCAGGCGAGAGGAATGAACAAGTTACATCGTTAGTGTTTCCATGAAGTAAAAGAGTTTATTGAAGATGATTTTTATATTATTGTGCTTAGCTTGAAACTCTGTGTTATTAGATTAACATGAAAGTCGCCCGTTTCATTTGTGACAATAAATTCAGAATATTCAAATCTTTTCTTATCTATTTTACCTTTGCATGTGTGGGATCGTCAACAACGCTTCTTGGTTCAAGTTTACTTGATTTACAAATAAGTTTAGATGTTGACTTCGCAAAAGTTTCCTATTTGATTCCAGTTCGAAGTGCTGGTCACATTGTTGGATCAGATTTTAGTAAGTCAAATGTCCATTGAAATATCTTTACTCATGTAATTTGTTAATCTCATTGTTCAATAGCTGGGGTAATTGGCCAAAAATTCAATCGATCTCTAGTTCTTTGTGTTTGTAATTTGATTTCTGGCATTTTTCTCGGAGCTGCTACAAACTTCAAACAGTTTGAGTATGTCGCTTGCTTTTTGTTTATTGCTGGCATAGGACATGGTATCGCTGAAGTGCGTAAGTGACCATTCATTTTCTAAGATTTACCGGGGAATTCAGTTAATGCATAAAACAATTTAAATACTATTAATAGTTACTATTAGTAGGTGAACGGGTTCCATCTGAAGAGCGAAGGATTGCTGAGATATTCATCGGTTTAGGCGAGTCGTTGCTTTGCCTTGTTAGGGTTGTTAAGTCTTATTTGTTAAGTTATTGTGTAAAAAGACACAGTTAACACTATTGTCACATTTATGCACAAATTGACACAAATGCCTGAAACAAATGGTCTAGAACAGGTGTAAATTAATTTCTTTCAAATTTAGAATCTATGAGTTTGTAGCGAAATATAAAATAAATCTATTTATGCAATCGAAAAATTTCTCCGATCAACAGTTCTCGATAAAATCGAGTTCGAAGTTGAAACTTGCAAAGCTTTTTGTGCGATAATGAAAGAAGGTTTTTTCATTAAACTTATAGTAAGGATTCATCTTTTGATGATCAACCAGGAAATATATTCATTTTGAAAAATAAAACTTTTCTTTTCCTGTAAAACAGATTAGTTCGATTGCCATTTGAAGAGGTCACTTGCTGTGATTGTAAGAGTTAGAGAACTGAAACTTGTTATTTTTCCACAAAAAATGTTGCCTCAAATCATGGATTGAATGATTTTATCAATTATTCAATAGTTCTCTTGATTTTGGATATTGGCCTTAAAACTTTGAGACTCGATATTTCGATTATGGTAGCATTGACCAACCTATTTCTTTAATAATTAATAATTTGATGCAACTTAGAAACTTTCCTTTAGCGTATTTGGTTCATGATTATTGGGTTTTAAATGTATGAGAACAACTTAATTAACAAAATAGTTTCATATTAACCCATTTCTTGGTAAATAAACCAATTTTCTGTTTAGACTTTCAACTGAAATGTAAAGAGTGATGCAGAAGACGCAAATGTTTGATTTAAGTGTTGAGACTTTATAAGTTTGTAGAGGCATGCAAACTGTTTCCGTTGGTGCTATCAAATAATTAATCCTATGAATAGTTTTTGAGAAAATCCAGGTCAAATTTGAAACTTCGATAGCCTCTTGTTCAGCTATGGAAGTAGATTTTTCGCTGAAACTCATTTATTTTATGTGGTTTTTGTCGAGCAACCAGAAAATGCTCTTATTTTGATGAATAACATTTTCTTCGTTTCGTAAAATAGATAAGTTCGATTTTTATTCAAATCGACTTTTTTTGATAACCGGTCGAGTTAAAGAGCTGAAAGTAATTATACATCATTAAAAATTGTTGCTTCCTATCATAGATCAAATATTTTCACCAATTAAACAACGGTTCTCTTAATTTTGGCCATTAGCCTTTAGACTTTGAGTCTCGATATTTCGGTATCGGGATTACCTTAGTTTTAATTATGGGCTATAATATATTGAAATAAAAAACCATCCAGGAGTTTACAAAAAAAGTTATGCCATTGTATTACTTTTGTTGTCAGATTTGAGACTTGATTTATAAAGCTATACACAAATCTTATGCGTTAGAAGGATCTTCATTATTGAATGAATTAACTCAGATTTTATTTGGTATTGAATCATATAATGTTTTAGCCCATAATGAAATTGAGTGTTTGTCGAGAAAATGATGACTGTAGGGGCCACTATTCTCGAAATATCGAGACTCAAAGTCTAAAGGCTAATGGCCAAAATTAAGAGAACCGTTGTTTAATTGGTGAAAATATTTGATCTATGATAGGAAGCAACAATTTTTAATGATGTATAATTACTTTCAGCTCTTTAACTCGACCGGTTATCAAAAAAAGTCGATTTGAATGAAAATCGAACTTGTCTATTTTACGAAAACAATGAAATGTTATTTCACAGCATAAGACCATTTTCTGGTTGCTCGTCAAAAATAACATAAGTTAAATGAGTTTCAGCGAAAAATCTACTTCCATAGCTGAACAAGAGGCTATCGAAGTTTCAAGTTTGACCTCGATTTTCTCAAAAACTATTCATAGGATTAATTATTTGATAGCACCAACGGAAACAGTTTACATGCCTCTACAAACTTATTAAGTCTCAACACCTAAATCAAATATTCGCGTCTTCTGCAACACTCTTTACATTGCATCTTAAAGTCTAACCAGAAAATTGGTTTATTTACCAAGAAATGGGTTTATATGAAACTATTTTGTTAAATAAGTTGTTCTCAAACATTTACAAACCAATAATCATGAACCAAACATGCTACGAGGAAGGTTCCAAGTTGCATCAAATTATTAATTAGTGAGGAATCATATTAATGACTGTAGGTGCCATAATAGGACCATAATCGAAATATCGGGTCTCGAAGTTTTAACGCCAATGGCCAAAATCAAGAGAACTATTGAATAATTGAAAAAATCATTCAATCCATAATTTGAGGCAACAATTTTTGTGGACAAATAACAAGTTTCATTTTGCTATCTCTTACAATCACAGAAAGCGATCTGTTCAAATGTAAATCGAACTAATCCGTTCTACAGGAAAAGAAAAGTCTTATTTTTTAAAATTAATATATTTCCTGGTTGATCAACAAAAGATGAATCGTTACTATGAGTTTCATGAAAAAATCTTCTTCCTTTATTGTACAAAAAGCTTTGCAAGTTTCAACTTCGAACTCGATTTTCTCGAGAACTGTTGATAGGAGAAATCTTTGAATTGCATAAATAGATTCATTTTCATGTCGCTACAAACCCTTAGAGTCTAAATCTTAAAGAAATTTGACTTTCACCAGTTTTCACTCATTGTGACAATTGCATTGTTTCTTTCTATTAACAATTCACTCTTCAGTTATAAATAAACTTGAAACCTATCGAATTACGGTAATTATGACAATTTCTTTAATCATTTTACAATACAGTTTGTAATACAGTAATTGTGGACACATGGAAAGATTTATGTACAAATTGGCTTCAAGCTTTACACATGTCGTGGGGAATCGGTTCACTAGTAACTCCAATTATATGTCGACCATTCTTAATACCAGAACAGGACGAGATAATTATCCAAACAGCAACAAATGAAACATATTCAGATCCAATCCTTGAGTTGATAAATATCAAACCTACTTCGAATGACGTGAAGGCACAATATGCCTTCATGATTATTGGTGCAATATCAATTACTATCGCCTTTCCATTAGGTTATGTATATTTGAAAGAGAGAAGCTCACAAAACAAAACAAGCAACAAGCAAATAAACACCGATACAAAACAAAAATGGGCTCCATGGAAAGTTTACGGAGGAATCACTTTAATAGCGCTCATAAGCCATCTGACGATCAGTTTAGAGGCAGTTCTTGGTAAGTATCTTAAACGTATCCATCTATTCAATTAGAGTTGTGATCTTACAATTAATGATTTTTGTCATTTATTAGGTTCACTTGGAGCTTCATTTTCAGTCAAATCTGCTCTTCATATAGATAAAAAGACCGGCGTTTTACTTGCCACTGTTTTCTGGTCTTGTTTCTCCTTTTATCGGTTAATCTTCATTCCACTAACATTTGTTACATCAGAAGTAAAATTGCTGCTCATGAATACGCTTTTCATGATTTTTGGTGTTTTAATTTGCGTTCCTTGGGCAAACACCTACGAAGTCTGCATTTGGATTGGGTTCATTCTATTAGGTGTAGGAATATCTCCAATGTTTTCAGCTTCATATGGAATGCTATCGAAGCACATTGTTACTACTGGAAAAATATCGCCAATTATTTTCATTCCTGGAGTTCTCGGTGAATCTGCTCATCCTGCACTTGCAGCTACTTTAATGGCTAAAAACCCAATTTCATTTCTTTATTACATTGGTCTTCTTGGCGTTTTTCTTATCTTAACATTCGTCACTCTCATGGTTTATTGTAAAAAGGTTTATAAAAGTCCTGATGGTCTTCATCGTGGAGTAAAGGAAAGATTATCAACTCTTAGTATTAGTCGCCACTAAAAGTGCCATATTTTGTCTCATTGTATTGCTATTGACAACATTTTATGAATTGTAAAAATTAATTTCAACTCAGACACAAACGTTGGACCATCATAGAACTACAGTTTAACAATAAATTCAGATGTTAAATTGGTATAACTTTTTTAATATGCAAGTATTGAATTATCATTTAATATTTTGATCAAGTATAAAAATAGCGAAATCATTAAAAAAATATTTTGAAAATGAAGCCTCATTAAGCTGTTGATGACAATTTTGTAGGGATAGACATTTGCAGTAAAACCAACCTTAATTTTTCCGGTTTCATATCTTAGCTCGTGGATAAAATTTAATCAGCGTTCTTATTTTTTCAGTCTTATCTAAAACTGATACATCAGCAGTTATCGACTTAACGAAAAATTGTACCAATTTATTAAGTGACTGAAAAGAACTTGTTACAGGGCGGGCTTGATTTCGTTGCTGGCTGGCGCCTTGAATATCACCCAATAAACAGGTTTATTGAGACATGGCTTGTATGTGCCAAGTTAAAATAATAATTGAGATCGTTTCCACAAACAAGTCTATATTTTATATTCGGGTAGTCGATAGACACCTGAATTGTTTTAACTTGAATCGTGAACTTCCATGCTAAATTACTCAGTAATTTTTAATCGATTGCTCTTTTATTGTTCATCTGTGAGTCTGTCAAAAAAGTTTTGAAAATACCATCTCTAAATATATTCGACATGGGATACTAAACCACAGTGAAATGTTGTTTACATTCATTCAGCTGTACACTTCTAATTTATTATAGTTATTTTACCTTCATCTATTACAAGGAATTTCACTACAGGCTAGTGCATCATGTTAATGTTTATCTTATCGGTGTTTATTTCGATAGTCTGGTTAATCCAACCAGCTTCTGGCTATGTTACCTTGTTTGCTCCATTCAACGCGATCGGCCTCCGCGGTAATATAACTTTCAGACAAGAATCTAATGAGTCTGAGGTTACGGTGGCTATAAATTTATTGCCAGTGACTTTAAGAGAAAAATCAATCGACTATCAGTGGGCTATAATGTCCTTTCCCTATTTTCTGGGTTCCCCTTGTCGGCCAGAAACCCTAGGTAAACTTGAGTATAACATGACTACCAAACATGGACCTATCCAAGTTGTCCCAGTTAATCTAGGTGGACAAGTTTTCACTGATGGCGAATTGTCCCTGCATGGACGTAAGTCAATTTGGTCATCTTCAATTATTATTACTGATGGAAAACATTATGGCTGTACAAATATTCGACATGAATCAGACACTAAAACAGCTAAGGCGCAATTTTATGCACCTTTTGCTGGTACTGTTGTGTTTCGTGAGAATGAACTCGGCGATACTGTGATAATGAGCAATCTATTTTACATTGGAAGCGAATTTAGAGTCAACTCTCAACACGACTGGAAAATATTAGTTACTGATATTCTGGACAGTAGACCAAACACTGATTCTAAATGTCACTATTTGACAACTTTACTCGATCCAGATAACACAGATGATTCTCAGTGTACGGAAAGAAACCATGGCAATTGTAAGATAGGCGATTTATCCCGTAAACATGGTCAAGTTACTGTCTATAAAGCCAATAATAGAGGAGCAAAACAAAAGTTCATTGATACTAATCTTCCTCTATCCATCTTTGACTCAACACGTTCGTCTTATATTGTCATCTATGAAAAAAACAATCCTTCTCGCCCGATAAGCTGTGGATTGATTACCCCAGTTAAAAAGAAAGAAGTAAAAGCCATGATTGATATGGATGGCGTTAAAGGTTACATTGGTTTCAGTCAAGCTTTTCACACTGACCCGACCATTGTGACAGTGAAGCTAGATAATCTAAGAGGCCGTGGTCTTTTTTACAAAATATATTCGTTCCCAATAAGTCCAGTTTTATCTAAAGAAAAATCATCTGCGTGTTCAAATTTTGTAACTGGGGATTCTTACAATCCTTTTAGAGTCAATTCTAACTCTTCTCCTAAACCAGGAAAAGGAACGCAAGATCAATACGAGGTTGGAGATTTGAGTGGTAAATATGGAGGATTAGTTGAGGATCAAAATGGCCATGTAACTCAAATTCATGTGGATCTTAATTTACCCTTATTTGGCCGCCACTCAATTATCGGCAGATCTCTTGTCATCCACAAGATCGATGACTCCAATTGGATTTGTGCTACCATTGGATATCCAGGACCAGTTGTTACTGCAGTGGCAACTTTTTATTTCCCCGTAGCAGGTCGAATCATTTTTCGCCAAGAAGCTGACCAGCCAACTTCGGAAGCAACAGTGTTTGCTGATCTCAGTTACTCAGACGGAACCTACAATGATACCACTGATTTTCCTTGGCATATTCACACAAACCCACCAAATAATGATTTTTACAGTTGGAAAGACAGATGTAACTCAACTGGGCCTCATTACGATCCTTTTAGTGTTGGGCATTCGTCATACGATACGTTTTGCACTCCTGACAACCCTTTCCGATGTGAACTTGGTGATTTAGCCAAAAAATCAGGGTTAAAAATGTCCATCGCTGGATATAGTGGCTCTAAACAGGTCAAATTATTCTATACTGATGAATTTCTCCCCTTATCCGGAGCTTATTCGATTATTGGAAAATCCATTGTCGTTCATGATATAAACGGACCTGTACAACGTGGAAACAGATTGGCATGTACACCAATTAAAAAGCTTCATCCAATGACAGCTTCAGTTAGATCTTGGAGATTTGGTGGAGATAAAGCAAAAGTATCAGGATCAATAACTTTCCATCATGTAAGTAAAGCTAATAATTAACATTATTTTTGACTTAAATTAATTTATAATCAAACATCAATAATGATTATTAACATTTCCTATCTAATTATTTCCTGATACTGACAGCAATTAAGTGTTAATGATTGTTCAATATGACTGGATAAAATTTTTCAAAAGTCAACTATCATCAGAATAGGCAAATGTCTAATAACCCCTACGAAGTTGATCCTAAATTATGACTTATGGTCATCTTTTTTCTTCTCCATTAAGTCAATCACCTTATGATCAACCTTTTTATTTGCATCATTGTTGCTATTCAATTAGATTTTGACTGAAATACTTACGTATGATTATTTAACTTATTAGAAAGTTGAACAGCCCAAAAGAAGTGACCTGAATAGTGAATTAAAATGAATTGGTGATGCTTGTGACTTGTGGCAGGTCATTCAAATCATTCATCCTCACAAACCAATCACTTTTCATGAAACTTACTCTCAATTATAACATTGTGATCATTTCAAGTGGTGATAAAATAAGTTTCCATCAAATAGATGGGAAAAAGTATCTTTCTTTTTCAGAATCAAATCATTTGAGCCCTTTTCTGATCAACTTTGCATGAATGAGCGAAGACGAGTACGCAAAAATAAGATTAATATTAACAATTATAAGAGTTGAAAGTAACAAGTTGATACAAAGAAAGGCAAGAGTTTTTAAAAATTCATTTTTATAGCTCACCATCAATCAACAATGCATTTGACAGTCAAATTAAGAGCAGTTAAATGTTCTGGTTAATTTACAGCTCAGAGTATTGTAAACCAATTGAATCAATCTCAAAATGTTGGCTTCAATATAACATTTTATTTTCATTATGTTAGCTTTTGTCAATTTACATGAAAACTGAGTTCTGGTAGATTCAACCTAAATTCATCAATTTTATTTTCTTGGAGTTAATGCTAATTTTCAACTCAAGGAAGTCACTTTTTTCAAATTTTCATCCAAATATTGATTTCATTTGATTGCTATTGATTTACTTGCAGAAACGACGACATCTTTATCGAGCTGATAACTCAAATATTTCCGTCTTTTGATTGCAACTTCACGAATCCCTTTAAGCTATAAATTGTCCAATTGAAAATTCAAAACATTTACACTTACTCCTTCAATCTAAAACAATTAAACTTGAATTTTCTCTCACAACTATTCCCTTCTCAAGAAAACAAGCTTAATTGAATTATTTAATAATCGAGACAAGATTAGTGATCCTTATTAGACAAGAACATGTCATCTTCAAAACAAGGACACTTTCCAGCAACATTCAAGCAAGTTTCACTATTTAAACAGTTAAACGTTTCAAGTTATCAAATAAATCATTCGTATTCATTAAGACACTCTAATCCATTTATCCCACCCAATTATTACAGATCATGTCTGTCATGTTAATCAGTAACCTTGTCTGAACAGCCTTTGGAAAAATTGCTCTTTATATCAGATTCAATTCCTTTTGAAACTCTGTAAATAAACTCCAACAACCTTCCTCTCCTAATCAATGTTGAACAATTAATGTTATTTTGCTCATATTTATTGTTTTTTTTATTTTCATTTATTGAATCATTCAATTCGTTCATCATAATTATATTTCTACTGGTTTTTAAGCTTGATTCAACTTGGTCAGCTTAAAAGGTGTTTCTGTGTACTTTTATGTTTTTATCGTAAGATCTCGAAAGCTTAAGTTTCCAGGCAAATTATGATTCAAATTTAGTTTTGGTTTCAATCAAGGTTGGGTTCAGACGTGAATATTTGTTAGTTTTGTTCACAGTCTTGATAAACGAGAAAAACCGACCTTCCTTTTAATTACAATTGAATAAAATTCACTGATCAGAAATTATTATCATAAAACCTTTCTTAGCTAATACAAAATCTTCTGAAGCTTCATCATTTTGGATACTTTTCTATTAGCTATTTGTATTTTAATTTATCAACACTATTTTTGATGTTGAACATGTAAATTGTTTAATGATGTTTTAACAATAGTTTGATTCATTATACTCTTTTACCTTTTCACGACAATTATGAACCTAATTAGAAATACTCATCACCGAGGTTGTTGATTTATGTTTACACGTTTCCCTCATTCAACAAGCGCACGATAAAGTTAAATGATCGCTTTAAAATATAACTGGATACATTTGAACAATCATATGATTAACATTTATTTAATCCACCAACGCTTCAACACAATAAGCAAATCATTATCCTCGTCGCCATAAGGTTTAATAACAATTAAAGTTCATTTAGCATGTTTCATGTTCAATAAGACGCTCACTCAAAACTTGATAGTTGCCATAAAAAGCCATTTTAAGGGTTTAAACAAAGCTATTATAAAATTTAATCGATGAAAAGTATTGAAATTATCTGTTGATCAGTTTTCTTTCATTTTGATTATCTTAAAAATTGATTTAGAATCAAGAGAAAAATTGTTAAATGTCAATCGCATGAATAAAAGTTGAACAATCTCTTTTAAAAGCATGAATGCATGATGATTAGCAAATTGTTTAATGGTTTCTTTCATTTGACTAAAATTGTTACAAAAGATTTGGAATAATTAATTGACTTCTTTTTTATCAATTGAAGGTAAACCCGTTCGATGCAACTCACACCAAAATTGAGCTTCATGGTCTCGATAAACAAGCGTCAGGATTTCATGTCCATGAAGTATCAGTCCCAGAAGATCGTGAATTTCCTTGTAGCAATGATTCAGTTTATGGTCATTTCAATCCTCTTGGAGTTGACTCACGTATAACCCATTATCCAGGCGTTGGAAGCTCTGATCAATATGAAATTGGAGATTTATCTGGTAAAGTTGGAACTTTACAAGGCAAAGATTCATGGCGTCACTCTTATTGGGATTCAAATTTACCTCTTTTCTGGTTAAATTCAATCATTGGGCGATCAGTTGTCATTCACAAAGCAACACGAGATGAAAGATGGGTTTGTGGAAGCATTGTGCCTGAAGTTAAGAAAAGTGAAGCTCGAGAAATTGTTGCTTTAGCTACTTTCGATGATCCCAAGCATTTGATAAATGGTTTTGTACGTTTCCGACAATTTGAATATAAAGATGGTTCCACAAGTGACACATTTCTTGAGGTTGATCTAAAACACAAAGGAAATTATAATCGTAATATAACTAAAGGTCATCGATGGTCTGTCTTTGTTAATCAAGTTGGTGCAGATGCTTTTCAGACGGTCGAGTCAGTTCGATGTGTTGCTTCTGGTTACATTTGGAATCCCTACCAAACAGATTCCAATAAATTTCCTGATCTTTATAAGCGCCATTGTACACCAACTAATCCATTAAGATGTGTTTTGGGTGATTTATCGGGTCGAAATGGTCCTTTAATTATTGGAGGTAAACGCAGAGTTATAACTGATGTTAATCTTCCTTTGGTTGGAAATGCATCTGTTGTTGGGCGATCACTAATTATCTATCATAAAGATGAAAGTGACACTAAAATGGCCTGTGCCAACATTCTTGCTGATTTCCATTTACATCAAACCTTTATGATTAGTAGTAACCCAACCTTTACCGTTGCCAAGTTCATGGATCATATGCGAAGTCAGTTAAAGACAACTGATTGGCTAATTAAGGTGGACAATCAAGAAACCAAATTAGTATTTGACGGTGAATGTATTTCTTTAGGTGTAAATTTTTATGGTAAGTGAAATGAATCCAGAAATTTTTCCTTCAAATCGTTTTGTAAAAACAAATTTCATTCATTTATTCATTTCATTTTTTAGGTCCAAATGCATATCGTCTTAAGGAGGAATTTGGTAATTTATTAAATTACGGATCTGTACACAAAAATAGTCAAGGTGGTGTTGTCAGATTATCAACATCTTACACTGTCTGCAAACCAGGTTAGATCAATCATCAAAATCTAATGGACTTTTAATCTCTAATTTTTTGCTTTATTAACGATCATCTTTTTAATTTATTTCAGTTATTTCTGGTTCAATCAATGTACTTCCCAATTTTAATCTCATACTCATTTTAATTGGATCAATTGGACTCGTAATTTTAAGGAAGGATTTTTTTTAAATCATGGATAATACAATCTATCACTAGTCTTTACTAAGCTTAATCAAAGCCACTTTCTTACCTCCATCTACTGTAAATGAATTCATCGCAATCATCGTTACTCATTCAACTCACGTAAATTGGCAAACCAGCAATATTTCCCAAACACTGAAGCTAAATACTAACAATTTGACTCAAATTTAGTGCCTTATTTGGCCTTTTAGAATCTCAATTTTTACCTTTTCAAGCGTTCACATGTACACAAATCTGTGATAAATAATACAGAGGCAATCAGTTGACTTTTAATTTTTACAAACTTGATTTTTTACAAATTTCAAATTCTCAACATATTCAATCACAATTATAAATGAAGACTGTCTTTAACAATTGAAGTTCTGTTATTTGCTGTTTGTTAATTTAAACCCAGGGAGATTACTTGCTTGAATGTTTCCATAATATTTTCATAACACTCAATAACAATTACAGCTTGACATTTACAAATCAAATGTCAACCATATTGTGATGTTTTTTGTATATTTATAACTGTTATTATTGACAATAAATTTCCGTAAATTTCATTCAAACATTATGAAATATATTGTTATGTTAACTGAGTTCATGTTGATTTAATTACTTTTCTAGTTTAACTGATCAGATAAGATAAATGTTACATTGCAGAATCTTACTCTAACTACTTTCATACTATGTACTGAATGTACTATGATTAACCTATTTCATAGTAAATAGTTAATTTAAACCACCAGACAATGTTAATATTCATTGTAAACAGTCAGGTGTTAACCTGTATTTATCATTTCCGCCCGCATAAATTGTGTTTACTACTTAACAGCCAACAAAATGCCAATCAACTGCAGTTTCATCTTCGGCCAAAGACAATAACATTCATTGATTGAATCAAAAGAGAGATTTATCATCAATCATGATTGCATTCCGTTTAATTGTTTTAACTTTACTTATGACCATCGCAACTGGTTTCCCATCATCACCATCACCACCGCCGCAAGATTTGATTGATGATTTAAGAAGGATTGCCACCAAGATCTTCAGTGATCGGGAAAATCTTGAAAAATTGACCTCGCAAATACAAAAGATATCCTCTGCTGGTCCAAACCTCTTCAATTCAGTTGAAGGTAAGCCATAATATTCAAGCATAGTTCATCTTTTCTAATCCATTTTGCTTGCTTTTAGTTGCTCCAAAGTCAACCCATGGATCTTACCAAATGGCACCGGAATCATCACAGCCGGGAGGAAACCCTTTGGTTGTTGTACAAAGTCGAATCAATGCTTTCTTTGAATCAATGAACCAATTGTTCAAAAACATGAGACAAGTTATTGAACGAATTCCTGTCCCTGAAGACGCCGAGCTTAATCCATTAAAGGCTTTACAAACACTTGAAAATCAATTTCAAAATATGCTCAGTGGTTTGGTAGTTCCGGATCCTGCGACAGTAATTAAACCAGCAATCGTTAATGGGACCAATGTAGATAAACCGCAATCAAATGGAACAATTGTTTGATTTAAATTGTATCCGATGATAAATCTAAATCCTTTTCCCTATTTAGATTTACTCATTCCTAACAGATTCCTCTAATTTGGTTTTTGCTAAATAAGATTGATTCTCACAACAAATCACATAAATCTTTGAGTTTATTTAAAAGGTTGTTATTGAAATACATATTGAAATTGGTTGATATTCTTGAGGATAACTATAAGTAATTACATTTCGAGTGAAAGCGACAGATTTTCTATTTAAGATCGAAGCTTGAAGAACTAACAGTTTCTTAGATTATTGCTTTGAATCGGTGATCTCCAACATAGCGTTTACAGATTAGCTTTAAGGCCAATGAAATAGTGTTAAGCTTATCTTTATCACGAACTGCCAAATCTTCAATTATGTTTGCAAAAGCATAAAGATATGAAAGAGTGTGTCTGTGGGTTGATAAACTGAAACAACTCTTGTGAAACTGTAATGCCAATTCAGAGTAGGCTTGGTGATTTGTCAAAGGTACTCGAGTTTCCATGATATCATCAACATTGGTACAATAACCTTTTTGGCAAAGTTTACCAATAATCGACCGAATAGTTGTATTGACATAATCTCTTCCAGCTAAAATTGTACCCAAATGTGCAGTTAAAGCGGCCTTCTCTATTGGATCCGTTCTTTTGAGGATTGATCGTCGCAGACTTTCAATGGGTGCATTTACACTGGAAATTGAATTGATTACTGTGTCAGGAACGGAATTGAACAAACTATGGTCAGCATTTTCATCTCCTTGGAATTGACTGACAGATAAACGACGAACAGAGTGATCACCAAATTGTTGTGGTGTTGATTTTTTCGTCTTTGATCGAACGATTGTAAACTGTTTCTCTAAAGTTTCATTGACTAGTGACTTTTCCGTGTCCGAATCAATCAGCCAGTTGATGGAAAACTCGTCGGCTAAATAAATTTCCCTTTCATCATCAAAGTAAATGGCATAACTTGATTCATCAGGTCTCGATGCTGTTACTGCGAATATGGATTCATCTTGGGGTAAAATGTTTTTAAACATTGAACCAGATTCACAGGCTTCAATGTACAAAGTCATAGCGCCAAACCGATTATTTGCTTTCATCCATTGAAGAGTTGAATTAAGCTCAGCTGAAGTAATAACATTACGAGGGAAACAGAGGACACCAGCTCCACCATGGTCAGAGAAATACACGAAAACGTGGTCATTGGGCCCAGAGTCCAACACTTTTTTACCTTTGGCCTTCAATGCAGCATCACCTTTCAAGACATTCATAAAGTTATTTTTATTGACATCTGAATGTCTATAGTCAATGGTAATATTGCTGTAAACATTGACTCCACCAGGAATGTTGATGATTACACCAGGAGTTGGGTTTGATTTACTATGAGCGATATCATCGTACATCATGGTGATTATATTGTCAGGGTGGACTCCATGTTTGATCAACACTTGGTAAGCATGGCAAACATCGGCCTGGTGTCGATAATTGGACCATGTATTGGATCCAGCAACGAGAACAGCCCATATCTTAAAATTGGAGTCGTTTGACTGTCGTATTAAATCTTCATTTGGTAAATTTGAAATTGAAAAACCGTTGGAAAGTGAACAATTGAAATAAACAATCAAAGTGATTACAAAGAAAGCTTTAAGGATATTCATTATGACAACTGGAAGCAACTAAGGTTGAACACAAGAAGAAATGGTTGCAAGAATTAAGATTTACTCTCGACTACCAGATTAATACATTAGCATCAGCGAAGAAAGTGAATGATTTGATTTGCTTTAGTACTTCAATATTGCTGAGGACTCTAATCTTGATGTTTAAAAGATTCATACATCACATACAAATTGATATTACATAGATGTTGAGTATTTTACTCTTGTGAATACTCAATTGTTTGTTTCTCATAACCAAAGTACTTCGTTTGTTTGTATAGTTTCATTTTAAGATTGATAATTATCTGCAAACCAAATATGGCGAAATTTTGATTCAATGATTCAATGATTAATTTTAACAACAACGATTAAATACAAAAATAGTTGCATGAACTAACAGAAATGAAAATTGCAGTAACTCGAAAATATCATCAATCATTGAAAATTTTTTGAATGTATGAAACAATTAGCAAGTTTCCGCAAGTCTGAAGTCTTATCTTACCATAAAAGGTTGCAATCAATTATCAAAATAGATTGATCATTGACTAAAGTCATATCTAGATCATTTATTTTTAGCACTTAAGGCTATCCGAATGGACGATCCACTTTTAAATTGTAATAGACACTCCAAGTTGTAAGATTATCGTCAAACCCAATGGATGAAACTTGGATACTAGGTAAGTTTAATTCGATGAATTTAAAAGATTGAGTGATTTCTGGAGGATTAATTGATGGACAGAAATAGTTGAGTTGAAGAACCTTATTCCAGGAGTTTGAATAGCTAAAAATTGGAGTCAAGCAGTTTAAATCCTCGGTCCTAGTCTCATAATTTGTGAGCGATTCAGAAATATTCAAATCTAAATAAAATCAAATGACTGTCTTTCATTGATGTATTGATCTTTCCGAATGTGGATCCATTGCACTTACTATTAATAATTGTTTCAAGTTCAAGTGTAAATGTGTAATTTGTTGGTTTAAATCTTATAATCGACTTGAACTGGGTCATCCATAATCAAATTGGACTTTCGGTTATCGCTTTTACTGCTACAATTTGTTTATTTGACTTAAATGGTTCCCTTTTCAGCAAGTAATATAAAGGTAACAAGAAAATGAAATTGATGATTATCTTGTGATAAAAAGAATGAAACCTTCAAAAAGAATCCACTTAACCTTGAGAACTTTATTATTATATTAATCTAATGAAACACGGTAAGAGTACAACAAAACACCAATTACCTTAATAGTCACAAATTAACTTCCAACAAAATGGCCAAAATTAACAAGAAATAGTCCAAAAATTGAACCTAAAAACAAAATATCAATAATCATACAGACAAGTGAATATAAAGACAAGTAGAGTAAAGCTGATTTGGTTAATCAACAAACCCAAAACAAATCACCCTTAGCTTGAAAATAATTGCTAGTAAAATAAAAATAACAGTTAACTGACATACATGTAATCATAATTACACACTAATAAATTAAACACTATTAACAAATATGTAAATAAAAACAGTTAACTGATCACTTGTTGAGATAGACTTAACTAGACTAAAAAAGCAAATTAAAACAGCTGCATTTCAATGGCGCGATTGATGAAAAATAGCCTTCACTCTGATTTCGTAAAACTGTTTTCGATTTGAAATTTCTGTTTCATTTCATGAGATAACTCATGGTAGGAAAATCAATGTAAATTTGCAGACTCAGTTTTTTTCGAGAGTTTCTAGGAAATAACAAGAAAAGGCACAAAATAACACAAACTGAGCATTTTTGTATTGCATTTACATTGCTGGTAAACACTGAATTTTATTTTAAAATTTTCGTCTGTTTAGGTTTACAATATTGGGTTGTAAGAAATTTTGGGTTTAATTTAATATTCACAAGATAGTCATTTTCACAGAACAGATTATTCACAGGTATAATGATTGAAATGTAATGAACATTTTATTAGTGCAAGTAAGGTTTTCAGTTTCTTAGTAAGTCATTCAGTTGAAGTGATATGTTTTCTTGAACCGCCATTACTGATGAGGATCACTTTATCTGGTTTACTGGTTTGTTGTGGTATTGATTGCATTCATCTTGAGTATCATGCTAACAATGAACATGTTTACATCAAGTGTTTTTTAATCACTTGATTCAAATTTTTACAAAACCGGTTGATAACTGGAAAACGATGTTAATAAAGATCGATTAGAGGTTGACATGAAAGATAACAAGGATTAAGTCAATCTGGTTGACTAGTCACAATGTATTTTAAAGTTATTCAGTTTGATGAGTCGAGGAAACTCTTTGGTACTTCAATACAGTTACCATGAAAGTCACTCGTTTCATTTGTGACAACAGATACAGAATATTTAAATCTTTTCTTGTCTATTTTACCTTTTTTTGCCTTGGATCGGCAACAACCCTTCTTGGTTCAAGTTTACTTGATCTAGAAATCAGTTTAAATGCTGATTTTGCCAAAGTTTCATATTTGATTCCAGTTCGAAGTGCTGGTCACATTGTTGGATCAGCTTTTGGTAAGTCCAATGTCAATTGAAATATTTACTCATGCAAATTAATCTCATTGTTCAATAGCTGGGGTAATTGGCCAAAAATTCAATCGATCTCTAGTTCTTTGTATTTGTAATTTGATTTCTGGCATTTTTCTCGGAACTGCTCCAAACTTTAAACAGTTTGAGTATGTCGCTTGTTTTTTATTTATTGCTGGCATAGCACACGGTATCGCCGACGTTCGTAAGTAAACATTAGATCTTAACTATTCCTAGCACCTAAATTTAACATATGAACTTGTGAATAATGTCTTCTTTGGTTATTCAAAAAAGTGTGTAATACACTGATCACAGACACATGGAAGGATAAATGTACAAATTGGCTTCAAGCCTTACACATGTCATGGGGAATCGGTTCACTTATAACTCCAGTTATATGTCGACCATTCTTAATACCAGAACAGGACGAGACCCAAACAACAACAAACGAAACACTTAAAGATCCGTCGATTACAACCATAAATATGAAACCAACTGCGGATGATGTGAAGGCACAATATGCCTTCATGATCATTGCTGCAATATCAATGTTCATCGCCTTGCCATTAGGTTATATTTATTTTAAAGAGCGAAGTTTACAAAATAAAATCAGCAACAAGCAAATAAACCCAGATACCAAACAAAAATGGGCTCCGTGGAAAGTTAACGTAGGAATCATTTTATTGGCAATCATTGGTCATCTAACATATAGTTTAGAGTCAGTCATTGGTAAGCAACACTTATAAATGTGCGATCTTACAATTAATGATTTTTGTATCTTATTAGGTTCGCTTGGAGCTTCATTTTCAGTCAAATCTGCTCTTCATATGGACAAAAAGACCGGTGTTTTACTTGCCACTGTTTTCTGGTCTTGTTTCTCCTTTTATCGGTTAATCTTCATTCCACTGACATTTGTTACATCAGAAGTGAAATTATTGCTCATGAATACGCTTTTCATGATTATTGGTGTTTTAGTTTGCGTTCCTTGGGCAAATACCTATCAAATCTGCATTTGGATTGGATTCACTCTCTTAGGTGTAGGAATATCTCCAATATTTTCAGCTTCATATGGAATGCTATCGAAGCACATTGTTCTTACTGGAAAAATATCGCCTATTATTTTCATTCCTGGAGTTCTCGGTGAATCTGCTCATCCTGCACTTGCAGCTACTTTAATGGCAAATAATCAAATTTCATTTCTTTATTACATTGGTCTTCTTGGCGTTCTTCTCATCATAACATTTGCCACTCTCATGGTTTATTGTAAAAAGGTTTTTAAAAGTCCTGATGGTCTTCATCGTGGAGTCAAGGATAGATTATCGACTCTAAGTATTAGTCGCCACTAAAATTGTCATATTTTGTCTCATTGTATTTTATAAATTGTAACAAATGCTTTAAATTCTGACCCCAACGATGCATCATTCAAAAATTAAAACGTCAATTCTTGTTTCAAAGTGTCTTTTTGTTTCTCGTTGGCTTTTATATCCAACCAGTTGCAGACTTTAACATATGTTTCCCTCGGTCATCAAACAGGTGAATAATAGTTAGTGGTTCATAATAGTCTATCAGCTGAAGCATGAAAATGTTGTTACATTAGCTAAAACTAGAAATAATTTGCCTTTGAATATGAAACATTTGTTTATCTAACCATGCAGCGTGTAATAAACGCTTATAAAAAGGAGAGACATGTACAAAGTGGCTTTAAGCTTTACACATGCAAAGTCGGTTCACTGTTTTTTAATCCAGTTCAAGTTGACCATTCTTAATATCAGATGAAGAAACGAAACAGTCTAAATGAAACAATTAAAACTTCAATATGAGTTTATCAACACTAAATACAGCCAAGTAACTTGTACAACGACTAGTTAAGTGTAATCTGTTCAAAGATCAACAGATAACTACAAACATAGAAAAATGAAAATGAATGAACGACTTCACAAAACTCACCCCAATGATCATAACAGAATCTGTATTGATTTTAAACGAACATATAAATAAGAATTGAGTTTCATCAATGTGAGCATCAAACGAAATCTAAATAATTTACTGAATTACAGTTTTTGTATTTCGTCAAAATGGATAACGATATCAATGTCAATAATACATTTAGCAAACAAATTTCTGGCAAATGCTCTGAGCGTGTTGAAAGATGAAAGATATTGCATTGATATTAAGTTTTGGATGTTGAAAGTGAATCCAGTTGAGGTTTATCAAAAGTGAAATTTTTACTACTAGACGTTACAAATTGGTTTGACTGATTGTGCACATAATTTAATTTGAACAGTAGTATACCTTTATTGATGCAACTTGTTTATTTAGCTTTTCAGTAAGCAATATAAAGGTAACAAGAAAATGATTATCTTTTGATGGAAAAGAATCCACTTAACCTTGAGAACTTTATTATTAATCTAATGAAACACGGTAAGAGTACAACAAAACGCCAATTACCTTAATAATCACAAATTAACTTCCAACAAAATGGCCAAAATTAACAAGAAATAGTCCAAAAATTGAACCTAAAAAAATATCAATAATCATACAGACAAGTGAATATAAAGACAAGTAGAGTAAAGCTGATTTGGTTAATCAACAAACCCAAAACAAATCACCCTTAGCTTGAAAATAATTGCTAGTAAAATAAAAATAACAATAACAATTTAGATAATAGTTAACTGACATACATGTAATCATAATTGCACACTAATAAATTAAACACTATTAACAAATATGTAAATAAAAACAGTTTACTGATCACTTGTTGAGATAGACTTAACTAGACTAAAAAAGCAAATTAAAACAGCTGCATTTCAATGGCGCTCACCCGAAATAAACGAGCGCTGAACTCAAATCATATTTTTGTTATCTAAATTGTCCAATAATTGTAATCAATATTGTGAAACAATAAGTCTTTCCTGGTTAGTCTATCAACCATCAGAATCACCGTCTACTGATTAGACTGAATCAATTATTCAAAGTATAATAAGTTGATCATTGGCATTATTATAAAGTTGATTAATTATAAAATCAGTAAAAAAATGTTTTGACCGCAAAAAATAATGGAAAGCAAATGTGGTAGAAGTGGTAGTCCAATTCATAAATTGCTGTTGTTAACTGTTGAAGCTTCACTGATCTTTTCGGTCAAACATTTTCATGGTCCTTCAACTGATTAACTTTATTAATCAAAAATTGGTTCAATTTTCTGTTGAAGTAAAAAATTTATCAAATCAACAACAAAAAGAAATGATTTTAACATTAAAACAAGTTTAAATTGTAAATGATCAAAGAATAGCTTACAACAATAAAATCAATATATCAACCTATTCCTATTTTAAAGTGAATAAAAAGCTCATAGAAATGGGTAAATTCATTTTTAAAGGCAACAAATTTTTCAGTGAAACTTGATTACTTTAATTGTCCAGTTGACATCTTACGATCAACAATGATTGATTTAAAGTCTCCAATTAAACTTTAATATTTGGCCAATTTTTCACTTAAACAATTGTTGATTTTAACTTAATATCAAATTTTCAAGTTGATAATCAAGTATTATTTTTGTTTACATTCACTTTCCCTGGTAAAACAAGAAAAAAATGGTTTACAGTTTTAATTGCACAAATTAAGACAGCTTTCATGTTAATTGGAGTGTATTTCAATCAAAGGTTGGCTGATTGTTGGCAGTCAGTTTGGATTCAATTAACATGGATAAAATGATTTAGCCACTGATTGAACCAAAATAAGGTTTACGCGAGTTTGGCCAATTTTTGATTGCGTTTTGGTTCAGTTTACATCAAGTTGCATTTATTAAATTGTTAACTTTGAAATAACTTAATTTAACAATCATCAGGATTATCATTAATTGTCAATGAACCGGAACTTTTATTGGTAGTTTATTGTCAATGGTTTCAATCAATCAAACTCTGTGCACAGTTGATTGCGAGTAAACTTGATTTTTCAATTCAGGTTGAAGTTTAATTTCACTTTAATCGTTATTGTGATTATATTTCATCATGCAAATAAGTCCAATCGTTTCCATCTTAACCCTCAATGTGCTTGGACTTTATGTCTGGTCAAGTATGAGACTCCAATCTCAATTTCCAACACTTTAAATAGCCTGTTAGAGGTTAGATTATGATTAATGATTGTTTGCTTTCTAATTGTGAATCGAAAATTTCTCACCAAAAACCACAATTAACAGGCACTTTTGTTTGTCGTCTTGATTGTTGACTTGGCCATGAAACGGTATATAATTAAGAGCGTTAAACATGGGAAAATGGATCCAAAATTTGAGATGATTTCTATTAATTAAGCCAAAATTGTTCGCTAATTTACCAAACCAGAATACATGATATTTGTTTCTCATAGCGGCAGAACAATAACAACAGGTTTGATCATTAGTTTAACAAGTAAACAAAGTGTTGATTAACGGTTGACGAAACATTATTCTTGAATAGCTTTTTTCATGTTTCAAAACACATGTAATATTGCTCTATCTTTCAATCAATAGACCCTGTAAAGGCCAACAATTGGCAGGTTAACATCATGAATGTCAAACAGAAATCTAATTAACACTATAATTTGTGAAAAATTGCATCCAAAATTGAAAGGTAACCAAGCTGACCGATAAACAAAAGGTAAAGTTAGGTCATAACATGGAGACCACTAATTAACTTGGTGCAAGATATCAACACGATGTCCAACAGCCGATTGCGATAATGTTTACATTAGTTTACAGTCTGTCAAATGAGAGAGCAAGAAAAAGAGAGATTAATTAACCATATTAAAGAGCGTCATTTAAGTTGAAAAAAATAATATAAATGAATTATTACATTATTATTTGACCAGTGAACATGAAAATTGAGATCAACCAGAAGGAACATAAACCATGTATTAAATAGCGATAACAAGTACAGTAGCAAACGCAGTAATTACAATTGTAAATGCTTTGGTAAAACTCGTAATCCATCAATAAGTTCGAATTGGCCAATAAATGTCAATTTGTGTCCAGTTTATCCAATAATAATGTCCAAATCCGAGGTTTTTCCGTTCCATTTGGTGGCAAGTCTCGCAGTTTTTCACCATTAATGTAAAGTACAAATGAATATCAAAGGTAAAGCCTGGTTTTTAATTTAAGAGAAGAAAACGAATTAAAAATTTGGATCAACATATCGATTGGAAAGAAATACAATTACAATTGTTGACCAATAATTGTATATTTAGATGTAATTATAGATTGTTAAAACATGCTTATTAAAGTGTTAGTCTGTACAAGTTGGTTACCATGTTCACCGTTTTATAAATGCAAAGCAAGATTCAATGCAAAAAGGATTAAGATACCGGATCTAAGTATGAGTCCAGAATCAAAGATGGCTTAACTTTAGGAGCGAAAAAAGGTTGTCATTTTTTTTAATTGCATTGTTGTTGAATTTCATTACTCCTTCTAATATTGTTATTTATTGTTGATGAGGAGTTTCCTTCCTTCAACCATTTGATATACTTGATAACATTGATAGTGATTATACACTTTAGTGGTCTTTACTCGAGTTTACCTTTTGTTTTGAAGATTGTTATTAGTGGTAAAATTATGTTTTAATATACTAACCACCCCCACCACCTTCTTACATTATTTTGTGTGTGTTTGTGTGTTAACCTTTACCTTTATGGCTAATAATCACCAGTCAATAATGACCTGAGGGAGTGAAAAATGATAATAATGAAAAGGTGAACGTGAAAATGAATGTACAATGTTCGAGTGAGAGCGAAAAACTTTCACTTGTCATTTCGTATAAAAGAGATCGATTTTGGTTCAAATCATCAGTCAATCAAACAACCTCAGTCAAATCATCCAATCTTAAACAACACTCAAGTCTACAAAAACTTTTTACTTTTCTCTTAGTTTCGAGAATTTGATAAAGTTTCGAAAACAATCATCATGTGCGGAATAATTTTCAAGGTATAAAATCTGTTTGTTCATGGATACCAGTTCCTCTAACTGTTTATGTTTCTCTCGCAGGCTATCTTATGTTTTGGCGTTCTCGCTGTTGTAGCTCATGCTACTGGCCATGGAGGTCACAGTAATACTCACAGAAAACAAGATGTAAGTAACTTTCATTTATTTCTTTGAACTCTTTTAATTCTTTCGCTCTAAATTATTCGCAGGCTTGGGGCAACTACGAATTCGGTTATGATATTGTCGATCCTTGGGGAGCCAAAAACTACCGCCAAGAATCTGGTGATGGCTGGGGAAACAAATGGGGCTCATATGGTATCCGCGACTCCGATGGTAGATTGAGAATTGTTGAATATGTAGCTGATGGTCATGGATTCAGAGCTAAGATCAAGACCAATGAACCAGGTACTTCTAACAAAGACTCTGCCGCAGCAATTTACAATGGACCCGATGCTCATGGATACAGTCACGATGTAGTTAAATCTGGTTCCGTTGCTCCTCATTTCAACCATGGTTCATACAAACATGAACTCAAACACGGCCATGGTGGTCACGATGGTTATGACAAAATCCATCATGCCCCTGCTCACCATGATGCTCACCATGATGCTCACCATGAAGCTGATTATGGTCATGATGGTTGGTCTCATGAAGTTAAACATGTTCCAGGTAAGCCAATAAAATATTGAAAAAGTTTTCTATCAGATAGTAAATTTGAATTTTCTGTTTTCTCTAGTTCATTCTTACAAACACAAAGAAGTTGACCATTACCCATCATACCATCATGAACCTTCACATCATGGACAGTCACACTATGAACCTTCTCACCAACATGAATCTGGTTGGGGTTCATCAGCTGATAATCATGATGGCTATGGTTATGGCGGCGACTTAGCTGGTTATGGAAATCATTATTCACTCAGATACCTTCGTCATAAGAAGTAAACTAGCTAATTTGAAGAAAAAACAACAATGATGGCCAATTAAATGAAACAATCTAATTAAATTAGCAAAGAAAGCAAGTTAAGAGCTGTTTAATTGAGATCATCAACAACATCATCATCAAAAATCGATCAACCATGGTTGATTGGATTGACTGTTCGTGAATAATTACTCAGTGGACCATTTCACCCATACTTTCACTTTTCATCAACTCCATCATCATCCTTCCATTAAACTGATTATGGTCATTTGGAACAATCATTGATGATTATTGTAGATTACTAATTTTGAAATATTTTTTCAAACCCATGGACAGCCAAGTTGACAGTGTTTATTTGTTATTATTTGTTTTGATTGTTTATTTCCTTCTCACCTGACTTGACTAAACTTGTAAATTATTGTAATTGAAACACAAAACTTCCGGATTCAATTGTTATAAATTGTCTCCATCGATTGATTGTTTATGTTAATGTTAACTCTTTTGTTCGTTACCAAATTCATTTCACTGTAAAACATCAGCAAAACAAACGCATATTGTTCTGTTTCATCTTCGCTCTTTATTAATTTTAGATTTTAATTGTGTATAATGAAAATAAAAAAAATCCTATAAATATTGTGATTATTTTAATAAATGAATTAACTTTAAATGTATCCAAACATTTTTTACACCTTGAAATGCGATTTTTTGTAGTCGCCACCAAATCTGAAATTGAGAAACGCAATTTAAATTTACGTAAAGCTTAACGTTCCCTTAGAAATGAATATAATATCCTCTCTGAGTAGCACTAAATCTGGTCCAACTGCTATGCGAGTCTGATTCCTTAAATAGTAAAAAAACGAGTGAATACCAACAAGGCGGTCGTCTTTAGGTGTTAGACCTTTTATAATAAACGGACCTTGAACTATGGAATCGGGGGGCATTGATTTCTCGACGGTGGGCATGACAGATGTGCAAACCATTGTTCTTCCTGAGGGCGGAAAGAAATATCGTGGGGGTGCAAGATGGTTAACACTTTCGTAATTTCTTATGCAGACTCCCCATTTTTTCATTTGAATCTTGGTATGATACAAATTTCCAGTAGCCATTGATAAACCTATATGGACGAGTTCAGTTTCATCGGCACTTGTATAATAAGGAATTATGATTGGATGCAATCCATCTTCAAATTTTACAGCATCTTTAAGAATCACTACTGTGAAACTATTATTAAGTACATAAGGTCTTCTTTCGAGGTCATAGGCCGGATTATTATCACTACCTACCACGTCCTGAATGGAATACCTCAACGATAGATTTGTGTTGTTTGATTTACCACTGTATCCAGAATAAGCAAAGGTTGGCTTTGCTTTTACTCTAAAAAAACAATAGTGAAACATTTAGAGTTAACGATTTTTTTGTAATTGGTTTGAAACTGAATTAGTATGATAGTTGTTTGAAATTTGGATTGACATTAACTCAATCCCATTCCAACAAAAACAAAGATTTATGATTCCGAAGAAGCGATTTCAGCGATTTCAAGTTTGATAATAAAGGCTAAGTAGTGATTACTCACGCCATACCAGTTATCGCATCAGTCACAATAGTTCTATCGGAGACTAAAACACCAACACCAGTGACGTTAACTCCTGACAATACTATGCTTGCATCAAAAAACATAAGATAAGGATATTGTCCTGGTTTGATTTCCGTATAAACAATTGTTAGAACAGGGAATATTGATGGCAATAAAATTGAAAATACCAATGGAGTTTGGTTGATCAACATTTTAAAATATATTTGTAAACTAGTAAAAGTCTGATGTGTCTAACACCGAAATGTAAAAGTAATTGAAAGAGCTGCATCCTTTACATTTTAATTTAATTATATGTAATTTGATATGAAAATAAAAAAGACAAAGAGTAATTTGAATCTCCAAGTAATCAAAGGTTTGTCACATAACATGCAATTGTTAGACGAATCTAAAACGAGATCAGGATGTTACTCATTTCGTCTCTTTTTTCTGGCTGGTTTACCAATTGGCTTATAACTTGGTTTATTTTGGTTAGCCATAACGGTTTCAAACAGCTTATTCCAGTCCGCCATTGCAGATTCAATCAGATCTTCTGGCAGTTCATGTGTGTCGCATTGAAGCATCGTCCGCAATTCATCTTTAATGCTGCAACAGTCAGTTCTATTCATCATGGTCATAATAGCCAGTCGATACAACTGACCCTGACTGAGATTGGAAATATCCGGAGTGGCGGAAGCTCTAAAAAAAGAGAAGAGAAGAGAACAAAAGAGTGAGTTGAAAGTAAACAAAGAAAAGAGAAACTTGAAAAGTTGAAGTAGAAAAGATCAAATTAAGAGACAGAAACTTACCCTTCCATTAGAATTAAGTTAACGTGATTCACAGGTGGGAAGACAAAAAAATTAAACCAATATCAGTTGGTTAATCAGTTTTGAACAAAAATAATTAATCAGTTATTAGTTAGTGAGCTAATGCAAACCAGTGCACTAAAGCTTGACTCCAAGCTGACTGAAACATTTCAACTTTTCAAGACTTTTTACAGGCCTGTGGTAACCAGAGTCTGACTTGGCCTTAAGTCGCATGTGTAGACATCTCACTGGACTGGGACATTTTTTGGTACTAAATTTGAATCGTTCTTTAACCCACGAAATACATGTAATTTTGGAACCTATTGAAAACGAGATGATGGAAATGGATGTTAATTACATTGATGAATACAATGATTTCAATGTGCATGAATTGAGAAAAACTAAAAGTATATTGGCAAAGCTACAAGGAATTACTGTTACCTCATTGGTCACTTTATCACATAATCTTCAAGAATCGTTCTTTAGCCCACGAAATACGTGTAATTTCTTAAAATGTTGTAATTAAAATATTTAGGTGAACATTCCAAATTCAAGTTAACCAATAACCAGCTTAGTTTATCGAGTCCTTGAGACACTTGACTCAACAGACTGGTTAGATGAGTAAATGTATGTCAAGCAAGAGCTAAATTTAAATTTGCGTTGAAAATTGGAGAATGCAGAACAATTGATAGGTTTGAGAGTTGGTAAATTGTTTGAATAAAAATTTAAATTATATCGAGGATTGAAGGAAATTCACTCATTACAAGGATAGACACTGTTCTCCTATTTAATAACTATCAAATTGGCAGATAGATGATTAAATCTATTGAGCAATCGGTAAATTGATATGATTATGATGATGATGATTAGGGTTATTGAGAAAGATTCCTTTGTTTACAGTAACACTGATTAACTTTTTTGATAGCATGCAATAACGGTTAAATGTGATTGCCTTCTGGTTTGTTGAAAAACGTTAAACTGTTGAACGTTCATATAGTTTAGTAAAAGTGAATAATTGCACTTTCCTGATAACATTATTTGATTGATTGGGTGAAAATGTAAATAGTGAAACGAGATCAATAGGAATAAAATGTTCAAGTTTCAAACTGATCAAATATTGGATAGATATTTGTGATAAAAATAAAAAAAACAGCAACTCACATCTTAGTTCATTGATCATGATTTCAACAGGTGATCCATCCATGATTGAAGTTAGGTAAGAATAGATTCAAGATGTAAATTCATTACTGTGTTTACAACATTATGTTAATCGGTTTAATAACAATTTGGTAAGCCAACAGTTATCAGTTTATTTACACTACGAAAGTAAAAGATAGCCAACACAAATTTAAAGATAAAATTGGAAAAAGATTGAAACTAAAATAATTACAGATTTTTCTTTTTTTACCAGTCAATTTGCTCTTATTGTATTAAATTGAATTACTAATTAATTAGTTGTAAATATGAATTTCCATATGATTCGGTAAAATGAACAATGATTAAGATTCACCTAGACTAAGCTGTGACCCAAAGCTTGCTGAGTAATTCAATTTAATTCAATTTTTAAAATAGATTTTCCTATTATCTTTGTTTTGCCAATAATTTAATCTATGAATTGATAAGAAACTGTGCCGGTAACCAGTGCAGGTAACCAGTGCAGTGTATAAGAAATAACCATTAAGGTAACCTAGTGGTTACCCTGCACTGAGTGGTGTAACAACAGGTACAAGATGTAAATTCATTACTGTGTTTACAACATTATGTTAATCGGTTTAATAACAATTTGGTAAGCCAACAGTTATCAGTTTGTCCCTGAAGTTAACCGGTAGCAATTAATAGAGTGAATCATGTGAATATCATCTCGACATTGAATTTATACCTTACATTTACAACATTGTATGGCTTGATGAGTTGAGATTACTTGTTGGTTGGTTCAAGAGATTACCATGAATCTATCTGTATGAGACACTTTGATTAGAACAAGCTGAATTAAGGTAAGATGGTGAGAAGGAAAAGAGAGACAGAGAAACTAACAGTAAAAGAGAGCAGAAGAGAAGGTAAAAATGTCTTTAAAATGAGTTGGTAAAAAAAACAAAATGGAGATGAGCGCGAGAATCATAATGAGAATAATGAATTAAATCACATTTATTAGACGGAATAATTAAGCACACAGTTAATTTGTGGTTGAAATGGCACAATGGAAAGATGAAGAGCTGAGAATAATCTAATTAATTGATAATGTTGAAGTGAAAACTTGAAACAAACTTATTACAGTTTTCAATTTAATTTTCTCAAACCTTGAAACAAAAGTTCAAAGCAGAAGAAGACGTGAAATAAGAGAAAGAAAGAAAGACAGAGTGACAAACTTCATTTACGAAACGCTCCTTAAACTGTCTCTTCTCACTTTCCTTTCTTTTACCCCCTTTAGTTTGCTATCTCTCTCATTCTCACTCTCTTCCTGATTCCTCCCCCAACTCTCTCTTTCTTTTTTTGTCTTCTGCTTCTCTTTTTTTATATCACATGAACGAGAGAAGAAGTTTTTGAGATTCAACTTTTTCTTCTCCTCTCTCTTTTTTTCCCTTCAGCTCTTCGCCTTTTTTCCTTCACAATCAAGTACTTACCTGTGTATTTATGTTTCATTGTGGTTATTTGATTGTTTACCTGTTAATATATATTCTTCCATGATCAACCTTTCCTCATCTTCAATCTGTTTTGGCATAAATATTGTTTAATCCTCTTCCAACTACCTCATCTTGTTCATTTGGTTACCCATTTTTTTTGCAACATTTGCTGCTGTTGTTATTTTTGTTAGTGCCTTTTGTTTATGCTGTTGTTTCATACTGTATATTTTAGTGTGTGAAAATCAACAGTTTATTTGCTTATCATCGCACATCATTCTGTTCTTCTTTCAGCTCTTATCAAACATTATCATGATTTACTAATGGATATTTATCATCTTTGGGTTACCTTTTCATTTTCTCTTTTCAACTTTTCATCATAGTTATTTATTTCCATTATTTTTTCTCTCTCTCACACACTCTTTCTGCCTTTCTCTTTTTCTCGTAATCTTCACTTCAAACTCAATCTGAACGATTCATCCTCGGAATTTAATGATAGTGGTTCACCCCATAAGTGCATCATCATTGATAGTTTTATATCTTTCAAATGGTCAACTCAAAGTGTCCAATGTTAATTACGTTGAATTTACCATCTTCGACTATTATAAGTTTAATATTCAACAAATCAACACCAGTTTGACAACGCGTCACTATATTTTTAGTTTTATCAGCATCTTAATCATACTTTCAACAAGTTCTATTGGTATCAACACCACCATCACCTCTGCCTCATTTAATAACTCACCTAATTCAAGATGCCTTTAAATGTTTGCCCTCACGACAACTCAATCAACCTTATCCCCGGAACTTTCCTCACCAATTCCAGCTCAACAGTATCAACAGTCATCAGTGATGATTACAACTACTGGACCCATTGTATCAAACTGTGTCCAACCATCAGTAAACTTCAATCACAATCAACAAGTGAGTTCCACAGTATCATTGAAAACAGAATCAACAGAGTTATCTTCAACAGCATTAGCAACCACAACCTCAACAGAATCAACAAATACGTTTTCAATGAGAAGCAATTTTGCTCCAATTCAAGAAACTGCCCTGACAGAAAGAAAACCGCTGTCAAACCCTGTTGTTTCCGTTGTCGTCGGTCAACAGAAAAAAAGTTGCAATTCATCAAATCGACTTGTAGCTGCCATTACTGTAATAAATACCATTCCCGCCACCTCATGTACCAACTCAAGAAACCTACAAACTTCACAAGACTTTTTTTATGTAAACCAAGCAAAGATAATTTCCAATCGCTATTACTCGAAATCAGCCTTTAACCATGGATACTTAATGAAGGCAATCAACAGCAGGTTACTTATTGCTAACCTAACCTTGTTCCTTTTTCTCTTAACAAATTTCCCAGCGGTTCAATCAACCATCACGGTTTCCAATAGATTTGGATCAAGTAACAATCTTATTCCTCATCAACCAATTAATAATAATGATGTCAACTCCTTATACCATCAACGATCGGCCCTATTGTCTTCATCTTCATTACCATCTTCATCATTTAGCTCATCGACATCATCTTTACAGCCATCTGAACCATCTAACTCTCACTCTTTACCTTCACCTTCACCTTCATCGTCACCACCATCGTCATCTTCCTTTTCACCTTATTCTTTAGGAGCTGTTTTAAACGGTGTATCGCCCAACGATAGTTGCCCAGCTAATCTGAGTTTTGATTGGAAAACTGATTGTTCCGTGGGACCAGTCCTTAAAATTGGATACCTAACCAACATCTATGGCAGAGCAAATCCTAAACGTCAAGGACTGGTTATTTCTGGAGCCATTACTTATGCCATTGAAAAAATTAATTCCAATTCAACCTTTCTCAATGGAACTCGACTCGAATTTATTTATAATGATACTTTAGGAGAATCATTACAAAGCACGGCAGCCATGCTTTATCAATGGTCTAAAGGTGTGATTGGTTTTATCGGCCCAGAAGATTCATGCGATGTTGAAGCAACAATTGCAGCTTCTCTAAAACTTCCAATGATCAGCTATAAATGTGCTGACTCTAAAGTCTCCAGGAAAGATTTTTATTCAACTTTTGCACGAACTTATCCACCAGACACCCAAGTGATTCGATCTGTGATAGCTCTCCTAGGTTATTACAAATGGATGAAATTTTCCATCATTTATGAAAATACACCTCAGTACACTATTGTCGCTAAAAGTTTAGCTCGTCGCGCATCATCTGTAGATTTCACTATAAATTCTGAAAGGCCTTTTGAAAATTTTTTCTCCTGCTGTGAAGATAAAAGGCCTTGTTGTCAGAATCCATTTCTCTCCATAATCGAGGAAACCCATAAAAGTACCCGTATTTATGTCTTTCTAGGTGGCATCCGAGATCTCATTAAAATGCTTCTTGTCTTGAGAATAAAAAATCTACTCGAAAATGGTGAATACATGATTATCTATGTTGACTTTGAATCTTATTCAGAAAGTCATTCCTATAAATATATCTGGCGAAGTGAGATGAATAAAGATGATGTTAGAGCAACTTTGGAAGCGGCCCGATCTCTCCTGGTAATTGTTCCCTCTCCTCCTCGCGGCCAAGACTATTCCGATTTTGAGGACAAAGTTCGCTTCTATAATGGACAACCACCTTTCAATTTTCCAAGACCTTTCGACGGACTTAACATGAAGAAACACATCACCATTTTTGCCTCTTATCTTTATGATGCGGTTATGTTGTACGCTGAAGCAGTCGCCTCCATGTTAGCTGAAAAAGTGTGTCCCAGGAATGGAACCGAAGTGATCAAAAGAATAATTGGAAGAAAAAGATATCAATCGGTTACTGGAACATGGATGTTGATTGATGAAAATGGTGATGTTGAGGGTAACTACACAGTATTATCCCTTCTTCAGGCCGATTCCGTTGTAAATTTGACTGGCATTCGTAACATAACTTTTCACCATCTTATGCTTCCAGTGGGCTCATTTGAGTACGATGAAACAACCAATGAAACAATCTTTCGGTTAGATAAAGCAATTGCCTGGGTTTCTGGTAAACCACCTGTTGATGAGCCACCATGCGGATTCGATGGGTCCAAGTGTTTAGGGCCGGAAAATAATCAGCGAGAGATAATTGCTGGAATACTTGCTGGTCTATTTATTACAACATTTCTGATCACTGCAGTAACTTATCGAAATTGGAAGTATGAACAAGAAATTGCTGGTTTACTTTGGAAGATTCAGTTACGTGAATTAAATCTATATTACAACGAATCAAGTCCTCTATCCACATCTCGAGCGTCTCTTGGTTCGGTTGTATCTGGTGAATCAAGGCTTTTTCATCAAGCTTATACTCAGACTGCAATCTATCGAGGAACAATTGTCGCTGTAAAGGAGTTGAGGTTCAGTCGTAAATCAATTGACTTACCACGCGAGATAAAAAAGGAGATGAAATTATTGAAAGAAATTCACCACGATAAGATTAATCCTTTCATTGGTGCTTACATTGAACCTAATTGTGTTTATATCGTGACAGAATATTGTGCCAAAGGAAGCTTACAAGATATTCTTGAAAATCCCAATTTCAAATTAGATTGCATGTTTATTGCCTCTCTTGTGTTTGACCTTATTTCAGCCATGATTTACCTTCACGAATCAGATATCAAAGTTCACGGTAATTTGAAATCAACCAATTGTCTGATAACATCTCGTTGGGTACTTCAAGTAACAGATTTTGGTTTACACCAGCTACGAAAATCAGCTGATCAAGGCTCAATGGTTAACTCAGACAACTATTACCGTAATTTATTGTATACAGCACCAGAGTTACTAAGAGAGCCTCAAGTAAAGGGAACACAGAAAGCTGATGTTTATGCTTTTGCAATTATTTTACACGAAATTATTGTTCGCGAAGGTCCATTTAACCTCAATTCAGAAGAGAACAAGTTTACACCAAGTGACATCATTGCCAAATTAACCCAACAACCAACTGGACCAGATGATTTACCCTTCAGGCCTAATCTAGTAATTTTACAATGTCAAGAGTATATTATTAATACAATGAAAGATTGTTGGTCTGAATATCCTGATTTAAGGCCAGACTTTCGTACAATCCGTACTCGTCTTAAAAAGATGCGTGTTGGTCTGAAAGCAAACATTATGGACAATATGATGGCAATGATGGAAAAATATGCCAACAATTTGGAAGAATTGGTTGAAGAAAGAACTGAACAATTAGCTGAAGAAAAGAAGAAAACTGAATCACTATTAGATAGGATGTTACCTAAATCAGTTGCTGCTCAATTAGTTAGAGGTGAAAGTGTCTGTCCAGAATCATTTGACGCGGTTACCATATTTTTCAGTGACATTGTCGGTTTTACTGCAATGTCAGCTGAATCAACACCAATGGAAGTTGTAAATTTTCTCAATGATTTGTATACTCTGTTTGATTCCATAATCACTAATTACGATGTTTACAAAGTGGAAACAATTGGTGATGCTTACATGGTAGTTAGTGGTTTACCCATACGAAATGGTGATAAACATGCCTCCGAAATTGCTTCCATGGCTCTGGAATTGTTGGATTCTGTTAAAACATTTAAAATCCATCACAGGCCCGATGAAACTCTTCAATTACGCATAGGCATTCATACAGGTAACTATACATTTCATTTATCTGTCCCTCTAATTGTGATGATATCTTGTGTCCAATTTAAAATGATTAATCTTTTTAAAGACAATCTAACTTTACTTTTTGAATTTGTGTTTAAAATGGTAAACACTCTTATCAATAAAAAAAGTTATCATCACTCACACAAGTGTAGAGTCCATTCATTATAATAATCAACCAATCAATTTGAGGCAATCACTTTGTTGAACTTTGTTTGCCTTTTATATTTCAATCTACCTCAAGGATTCTGATAATAATCTTGTTGATCATCTGTCAACTCATCTTGATGACTTTTTCACTTTAGTCTTCATCATATTATACCATTTTAAACATTTACTTTGACATGATCACCTTCATCTTTAGTTTTTTATTAAATTTTTCAACCTTTTTCAACTTGCTGTTGATGAACAAAAAAGCAACTGAAAAAGCTGATCAACTTGAAAGAAACAACAAAACAAAAGATAATTGTTTACCTCTTCCGGGCTTATTCCTTGAGATATTTATTTCACTGCTTGTTTGCCTGATTCAGTTGATACTTGACAAAAACCAATTTTATGAAACTCTGTTACTAGGGTCATCTCAAGTTGCTCATTTATCCCATCACTTGTCCAATTATTCAGTTTAAGGATAACAACTGATAATCTCACCTTTTAAAGTAACTCTCAGCAAATATTGACACCATGTAAAAACATGAAAACTGTTTCCATTAATTTGTTTCGAGTTATTCCAGTAATGCTATTTTTTGCACGCAAAAACCTTATTGTATAACTCGTTGTTAAATGAGCAACCATTACAGTTAAATATTCAAATCATTGGAAAGCAATAATTTAATGATTTTGTTTTATTTCTTTCATCAAATGTTGAATCAATGAGAAACTCATGTTCAACATGTTCACAAGTTATCACCTTTTTTACTCAATCAAATAATTTATTGTCTTCATTACCATTTGATTAGAGCAACTCTTTTTTTATGGTTCATTCCCATATACAGTATTTCAGTATTTCAAAGCTACAGGGAAATACTTTGGTCAATTACAGTAAGCATTTAATGCTCTGCTCTACAATCAATTAACCACCGTTGACTTGATCAAATATAACCAGTTACTTGAGTCAATGTGTAGCTTCAGTTACTAACCAACCAAACATGGGAAGGCAACAACAAAAGCAAAACATTTCAACTGAAAATAAGAAACTTTCATCTCCATGTAAACAAGATAGACAATAATGAAAATTGACTTGCAAAATTGAATTACTAATGTTAATTGAGAGACACAAATGATTCAACTATTGATTATTTCATTTATTTTGATTGAAGAAGAGGCACAAAACATGGTGAAAATAATCAACAGCAGAAACAACATCAACAAGTACATCAAGCGATTCATTTCAAATGATTTTTTCTTCATTTTCCGAGCTTCACCATTATTCATGGTCAACCAAATTTCAACAATTGATTATCGGAGAAGCTAATAGTTTGAAATCAATCGCTTATCAAATTTTAATTCAACCTGAAATGAAAAATTATTCAAGCAAAGCTAATACCATTTAACTGTAATTGCATTACCTTTCATTTTTATGGTCAACTTCAATCTTTCCAGTCTATTATTAAAACAAAAATTGGATGAAATGTTATCATGAAAACTTTGCTTAATAATCAATTTCAGACTCTATTCCATTCTGTTGACCGTTTTTCAATCGATTTTCAAAGTAATCGTAAAAAGATTGAAAAAGAAATGATGACTTCCTGAAATGACAATCTTACCATTTGTATTGACAATTAATAGTTTCATATTACAATTGCTTCTATTTTGGAAACAATCAGCTTTGAATTTAATACAAGTTCACCGTTTCAACCATTATTGATATAATCATTGTTACTACCGATCATTATCAGGGTCGTTTTAAGCTCACTCACAAATCAAATCAATGATAAATTGTAACATTAAACAAAACGATTATGATCAATAACCCTGATGATTAAACTTGATCAACAAGTAAACCCGTTAACTGTTTGCAATTATCGCTAATCATAACATGTTAATGTTGTCTTTCAATCTTAGTTGTCATCTTTTCCTTATTTCAGTTGAATTGTAAATCAACTTTTCTTACTTTTTCCCCATTTTCCTCCCAAGAAAAAAAGAGAAGTCCAAATTTACCTTGAGATTTTCAATTAACCAAAGACCTTGTTCACTCTTTGATTGTTCACTTTTTAAAACAAACTCTTTCAATTTAACTATCACTTCTGGACACAACAATGAATATTCAGCCGTAAATAGATTTTCTGCTCAAATTGTTAACCTTGACATGATTAATAAAACAGCGCAAATGAATGAACAAGAGAAGCAAAAATCTTAACACTTTATGATAGATTGACCTACAAATAGTTGATAGTAAATGCGAGAATTAGAGAGAAAAGTTGGAAATTTGTTTGGTTTTAAGCTTTCTTTTCAATTGAAAGCACCAAAAAAGATAGTAATTGAAATATCGATCAATCAATTTTGATTAATGATGATGACCATAATTTGTTTTTAGTTTACATGAATTTTCACACAAAAATTCACATTACATTACCAGAATTTACCAAATTGTAGGTTAATTTTCTTTAGGCCTTTAGATATTACAATATAATGTGAAATTGTTTCTGATGTGTGACATAATAATGAAAAAGTTAAATTGAATAATGAAACTGCTTCAAATAAGATCATTGAATCGCTTGTTTTATTATTGGCATTGGTTAAAGAGCGCGCGACATGGAAAAGGTGCGCTTTTGTTGTTTATAATTGTATTTTTCATGCCTTTACACTCTTTTTTTACAGTTGTCCAATTGAAATGGTCAATTAAGAACAATGTCCAAGTAAAAAAAACAGAAAGATTTTGTTTAGTAAGCTTGCTTTGTTTTGTTTTCTCATGAAAATTGATGCAAAAATAACAATCATGAAATTGTCAGAGTTGAAATTGATTGAGCTAAATATCTTTTTGCTTTGCTTTGTGTGGTATAATTATGATTATAATTATAATCGAGTTGCTTGTCAGATAATCGCAAAAAATGGATTCCTTTTGTTTTCATTGGATTTTTCCTCAAAACGGGAAGACAGCATATTTTTTGCTTGTTGATGTATTTTTAAATGTTAATTGTTTTTCTTGTTTCTCTTCCTCTTTCTCTCTCTTGAGCTAATGTTTTGATTGGTTTGTCAAGTCTTGTACAAACTCAACTTCCAAATTTGTTGACAAAATTATGATAAAGTTAACTTTGTTGAGATGAAAAAACAGGAGTGAAAATGGTGTATTAAGAGTAGCTTGGCGCTTGGTTGAGTAGAAAAAAGCATCGAAGAAACACAGATTTTAACACCGGGATTGGTAGCCTTTTCAACGTCGATATTTCCACGTCAAATTTAGGTTGATTATGCTTGTTGCTGGAAGATTACAGCTGGACCAGTGAAAGCTTCAGAGTTGAATGGTCAAAATGGACAAATTTTCAGTTTCTTTTGCCGATTATCTCGTTGTTGGTTGCATCTTTTTGGATCCAAGTAGAAACTCAGATTCCTGTTGTTAGGCAGCTTTAACGTTCAAAGATTAGAAGTATTAAAAAGGAGAAAACAAACGTATTTTGTAAGAAAAGCTTAGAAATGTAGCAAGAGAAAAAAGTGAGTGAGATTGAGTCATCAGTAGCAAAAGGGGGCAGAATGTGCAAAAGGGACTGAAAAGATTGGTGAATAGCGCAAATTTTGTGAGAAATGAGTGAGTGAGTAAGTTTGTTGGTGTGTTGTTGTAGGTGAACGCGTATACAAAGTTGATTTGTTTCATTAAAATTGCAAAAATTTTGTTTTGTTTTTCTCTTGGACAGAAGGTTGATTATCAAAGGTGAAAAGGTGGATCAGTAGTGGTGGTAAATGAACTGGATAAGGAAATGACGAGTATGAGTAGAAATAAAATGCTTCAATGAAATGGATGTTTCAGGTCATGTCAATTGTTGCTTGGTATACGAGTCATTTTTTTAATGTGAGTGTGTGAGTTGTGTGTATTTGCGTATAAAAATGATTAAATTGAATCAAATCCTTGGTTTATATGCAAGTGTTGGTGAAACATCCATGTCTGTACATGCAATGGGTGATGAAATTGATGGATGAGATGGTAATGATGATGCTCCTGTTGATGACCCGGTTGTTGGTCCACTGAGTACGCTTGTTGTTGGGGAGGTTGAATCACAGATTAAACTTGAGGGTCCACTTTTGTTTCCATTTTCTTTATCTTTTTTGGAAGAACTTCGACGAACTAGTCTTTTCTCTTTGGATGAGGTTCGTCTTATAACTCCTCCACCAGACCCACAGTTTTTATTATTGGATTTAATTGTAGAGGAAGGAGCAGTCGGGTGTGAATGAGAATTAGGATTAGAAAGGTTTGATGATGAACTGGGAACATCGATTTCACCAGGATTTAGGAACCATTCAGAACGAGTTTTCATCCTTTGGGTTTGTCTTTCGTGTACAATTGGAAGAAATGATAAAGATTTTGTACTTTCTGCATAACGATTAACTTGACGAAGTTGCTCCAAGTTTAAGCTGTCATCTTCGTGCTGTGAAGAGAAGAAAAAAAAGAGAGAAAAAAGTAGGATGAGAATATAATAATTTCATGATTGAATCATTAGTGAAAGGAAATATCATCACAATTTTATCGAAAAAGCAAAACATTAAAAAAATCTCTCTTTCATCACTTCTCATTAACAGGTCCAGTTGTTGCTGGTGTTGTTGGTTCAACTATGCCTCGATACTGTCTATTTGGTGATACAGTGAATACAGCTTCAAGAATGGAGTCTTATGGTGAAGCACTCAAAATTCATATAAGTCCACAATGTCGTAATCATTTAACTAAACTCGGCGGTTATTTGATCGAGGAAAGAGGTTTTGTTAAGCTGAAAGGCAAAGGTGAAATATTAACCTATTGGCTAGTCGGTCATATTGATGGCATCCAAGCTCGTCGTGATGTATCTGGAAGTCAAACTGAATACAATAGTCTACCAACAGGATTGTTTGCTGAATTAACCTAACATAGCTTAATTAAAGCAAAATTTATAGTGAAATGTGAAAAAATAAGCTTATTATAAGCAAAGTAATATTTTAAAACAAAAGAAAGAGAAATGTCTTGAAAAATATTAAAAAAAATATTCATTCTTAAAGCTCATACATTTAAGTTGTGTTTATTTGAATGAAATAAGAAAACATGTGAAAATGGTTCTTTTTCTGAATAAAAAAAAGTTTCATTTCTTTAGCAAAATGTGATAGGAACTTTGATAAGCAAACTAGCAAAATAGTTAATGGTTTAGAATAGTTCAAAGTGTAAGAAATTGTTCAATTACAATGACACTAAAAATGAATGAAAAAAATGATAAATGTTGCCCATGATGACAAAATTAGCTTAACAAAACAAGTCATCTGGATAATGATGATTCCAATTTCTGTTTTCTTATACAAGAATCATTAGATATACCAAGTTTTAATAATAAACCAATCCCTCTAAAAACATGGTAAAACACACGCCCTGAAGATTCATCTTTGTTTTTCTCAGTTTATTCAGTTTAGCACCTTCTTCCTTATCCTTTCTCCTCTCTCCCCTCTTTCCTTTTCTATCATCTCTATTCATTTACTTCATCTTCACAGAGGGATAGATTTTTGCTGTTAAAAGCTCTTATCTCCTTCCCTCTGGAATCACCAAAATGTGTACATGAGAGGTTCAAAATTGAGCAACGAAATGGTGAATAGAAGAGGAGAAGAAAGATGAAGAGAAAGAGATGATAAGCTGGTTCATCAATTGAGTAAGAAAGAAGCTATAGTAGATATAAACTTTCAATAAAAGGTCAGTTTGGTTCAAATTAAAAAGAGCAAAAAAGAAAAATCAAATTGATGAGGAGAAAAAAGAAGATTCAGAAGATTCAGAAGGATGAAGAGCAAGGTGCGACTGAAAACAATAGAGGCTAAGCGGGGCGTTGAATCAGTAGAAATGGCTAAATGGAACGTTAAATAAGGCTCATCAGTCATTTTAAGAGGGCGATTAAAGTGAATACAATGCAACATCCTCTTCCAATTTAAATCCACCTTTGTTCAATTTCTTTACCAGTATCTTTACTCAGGCTCTCTCTCAATTCAACTCATCATTTATTCCTCTTTCCTTTTTCTCTTTCTCTGAATAATATCAAGTGGATATAATCTAGGGTACATGATAAACATTAAACAACACATAGAGAGCAACTCTCATGTGAATGGAAAGATTATTATCTAAATGAGCCGGTTAACTGTTATAAATGAAATGAACGTGTGTTTTTCAATTGAAAAGTGATGTTACTGAAGCTATTGGTAAGATTGGTTTGATTAATGAAAGCTAAAAAATAAAACTAATTGCAAATCATGAAGACAAGCTTATTTGTTTTGTTTCGCTTTCTGATGAAATCAGGAAATTGTAAGTGAGATTATTAAGGAAACTTGATCAAAAATGAGAAAATTTTCTCTTTCAATTGCTGTTTGTTTGTTTGTTTGTATCTCACTCTCTTTTTCTATCCATAAATGGGATGCAAAGAGAGGAAATGAAAGATGATGATGATGAAAATACGGATAAGAAGAAGGAGCAGAAAATAGTCTTTCTCTTGGTTACTTTTCCCTTTGCTATAACAGCACACAACCTTTGACGGTTGCCAAAAAAATGGTAAGAGATGGTGAAAAATGCGAAACGATGTGTACTCTTGTAAAGATTTCGGTCACCGCAATGAATAAACCAAAATTGCAAAATTCTAATCACAGGCAAAGGACTTCATGTTAGGATGGTTAAGATGTTTATCATGAAAAAATCATGGACCTTTAACAAATGCTAACGAGTGAGAGAAGGAGAGAGAGAGATTGCCATTTTTCTTAATCATTTCATGGAGAGAGTCAATAAGCAAACGATTGAGAGAAGATAGGTGATGATGATTGTGATGATAGTGATGATGAAGTAAAATGTGTACCAGTCGTCGCCTTATGAACTTGTTTTCTTGTTTTCCTTCTTACCTCTTGCATATCTTGTGATTCATGCATTAATTGTTGAGGATAGTGATGGTGATAGATGGGTGATGATGTGGTGATTATGGTTGGTGATGTTGTTGCGGTAGATGGGTTTGACTTGGTCGTTTTAACCTTGTTTTGTTGATTATTTATTTATTTATTTATTTTTGGGTAGCAAGTTATTTTCGTCATTCACCAAAAAAGTAACCGTTTTTGTGATGAAGAGGTAAGAAAAAAATGGATTCATGAAAAAAAAGAAAAGAAAAGAAAAGGTCAGTCATGTAAGAAAACAAGTATGGGTAATGATGATGATGAAGGGAAGGAGGAGGGGGAGGAGGAAGAAAAAGGAAAAATGATAAAGTGCTAATGCTTATGATCACTTGAAAATGTTTTTTACTGATTACTTATTATCACTAATGTTCACTAATCACCGATAGTTATCTTTATTATTACTACAGTTGTAATGCTTGTCAGAATTAAAAAGTTGATATGAAATATCTGGATACATGAGTAAGATCATCTCGTTACAAAATTATCTTATAATCTTATATCTTATAAATGTGTGTGTGCATGAGTGTTTGCTGTAAAGCTAAAGATTAATCTATTCCTGACTGCTGGTTATAATGGAATGAGCTTTTAAAATTTATTTGCATTGCAATAATTTGAGACTCATTGGCATCCAATCTATACTAATTAAATATAAATGCATGTGCTAGGTGAATAGATATTTGCATAAGTAAACTTGAATCCTATTCATTGACTCGTAATGACAAGCAATTATATTCGTTAGCTCAACGGTGAGACATAAAGTAAATTGTTTTCCTATTGCATAAGCACTTTTGAGCTGGTTAATTTAATCGATGATGACTTGGAACTGAAGATGCAAAATAATTGCAATTTGGTCGTTGTTTTTGTTGATGATGGTGATGACAGAGACAGAGAAAGATAAGTAAGAAAGAGATTCAAAAGGTATGGTTAATTATGAATACCTTGAAGAAACTTTCCTCCAGTGACATGCTTAAACGAGCATAAACATCATCAGCTAGGATGGCTCCTTTGTCAACAGCTTTACAAGCAGATGATGAAACTTCGGATGCGGAGGAAGGACAGAGAGTAGGTGTACTTTGACATTCTTCACATGATGAAATTGCTGTACCGGGAGTGATAAAGGTAAGAAGAAGAGACATTAGTGAATGTTGAAGATGAAAAGTTAAAGGATTGGTCAGTAAAAGTCAATGCAACTCAGCGTATGTTTATCTTTCTAATCATCAGCATCCAGATACTCTTCATCTGATTTAACTCATGAAATTAGTTAAAAAAAGTGGCAACTGTTGGTTAAATCAACATGATACTGAGGAGGATTTGGAAGATAAAAATGATGAAGAGTATGAAAGAGCGAGAAAAACTTGGCATTTTAGAGGGTTAATGGCTAATTTTTGTTTCTTGGGTTATCTACAAGATGGGCATTACGTGGCAAGAGATGGAGAAGATAAAAAGAGAAAGAAAGAGTTAACAGAGCGTGTTGCTGTTATTCTTGGGTAACTTTTTTTTCTATTCAATTTGCTATTGAATTTAGTTAAGTTTATTTGGCTCTTTTTGTCTTCTTTCTAACCTTAACTTTTAGCACTGATTTGATCGATGATGATATAAAAGTAATGCTCAGTTTTTTGGCCTTAACTGTATAAAAAATCAAGAAATATCATCCTCATGGTATTGTTCATGATGCTCAAGCTGAATTGACAATTGGAGTGGAACGAAGGGTGAATTAATACTTACGAGATACAAAAGAATCTGGAGGGTATTTGAAGGCAAAAATCCAATTCTCTTCAACTTTTAAGACTCTTCCACTAATCCTTGCATAATACTCATAATTTTCTCGACCAAAAAGGTTAGATACACCAAAATTGTCGATCAGGAATTTCATTATCATGGTAGCGACCTGAAAAATAATAAAAAGATAAAGGTATTAATAATAAATAAATATATGTAAATATGAATGTATAAGGAAGAGAGTTGATCAGTCAATTGAATGATACATTGTTGAATAGGAGGAAAGCAAAATGTATCAAAATTTATAATGGTAATGGTGATGATTTCACCAGCTGAGTGACAAGATAGCGGAAGAGGAAAGAGAAAGTAAGATGGCAAGGAAGAAAAATGATGAGGCTAATGGAATCATCAGTTAGTGGTTATTAGCCAAAGAAATTATTGCTTATATTAAATGCTGCTGACAATTAATAAGATGATGTAAGTATATTTTGCTTTTTTGAAAAGTTCAGAATCTGTCAAATTTTCAGTAAGCGCATCAATTGTCAAGAATCATGGTGAGAGAGCAAAGAGAATCCGTTTAGTAACTTAAATTGTCCATAATTTAACACAAAAAGAATAAAATATAATGGTGAATACCCTTAGCAATTTCAATCACATTTTTTGATTTCTTAATACATCGGGTAGCAATGCAAATTGAGCAATTGGCTAGTTAAAGAAAAAAGAAGAATTCAGTGTTTAAAGAATACCCGGAGTGTGGTGAGATTAAGATGAAATTAAGGTTATTATCGCAGGATGAACGGAGGGAGACAAATGAGAAGATGAAATGAAATCGATAAATGACCTTATATAATACTGTTTTGTAATAGCCAAGTAACAGTGAAAATGGTGAAACCCGTTCATTATTATCTAATTGACAGAAATGAAAAGTGAAAACTTGTTTGGCCTATGGCCTCTTAAATGGACGTACATAGCTTAACTAATCAATTTAAAAAGTTAATCTCCTTGTTCATCATACTCATCATTCTCTGATGAGGAAGAGAGTAGAGATGATAGAGTGAGAAAGTAATCGGCTACTTAATTTGTTTGATATAAAAGGCTTGTTGAGTCAATAAGTGACCACAGTAAAAAACTAAAGAGTTCAATTTCTTTTCACATTGAAACAAAATTCGGTAAAGTGCAAATTCATAAAAATTGTATCTAAACTAACTACAACAACTCAATGCATTTCAAAGTTTTCCTCGTGTTTCTATCAGCATTTATTGTGATGTGTTTAAGTGAAAAGCCGTACGAATCACCGACCACTTATTATAATAATAGGAAAAGTTCCAGACGCTCGGAAGTATATGGAGGTAGACCTAGAGAACGAGGAGTTAGATACAGAGGAGGATACCCTGAAAGTGGATATGGTGGAGGATTCGTATCACATGGATCAGGTAAGGCTTTTGGTTCAGGTTATGGAGGTTTCGAGGCATCATCTTCGAGTGGTGGTGGTGTTTATGGCTCTAATTTCAATGGGAGAGGTAAAACTAAAGGTCGTGGAAATGGAGCTGGAAGAGGACGCTACAAGGGTGGGAATGGTGAACGAAAGTTTCCTCATGTAACTCAACGAAAGACACCAACAAGAGGAAGAGGAATCAGTACAACTCAACAACGTAAAATGGGTTTTGTTAGAGAAAATGATTATTAAATTATTAAAAGATAAATAAGATAAATGTAAAGAACAATAGCTTTTCATCCTCAAAACTGGAGGGTGACACATTTGATTGTTTTAAAGATCTGTATGTTTACTTAAACCTCATTAGTACTAGTCAGTATAAACATATCTCAAAAATTTTTCCCTTTGGTTTGATTTATTTTTCAACTGCTGCATAAAATTTGCTTTGAGATGTAAGAGGGAAAAGGTAAATGACCTAGAAAGAAAGGTTTCACAGTTTACCTTATATCTGTGGACGTCTTCCATTTTTGCTATTTTACATCCATCGGAAACACAGCTTTGAAGGAAAGACGGAGCAACTGAGACTCCTAAAGCTTCACTTGTCATCCCAGTGTTGGCTTTTTTACTTGTGCTAGCTATTGCTCTGAATGTTCCAAAAAGAAGAACTAATAAATGTTGATGTACTGGCGGTAGAGATGTTATTAAACGATTTATTTCTTCTCTTTTCTCCTCAGTGTCTTCCTTTTCGATTATTTCAAAGAGTCTTGATTCAGCTTCATGGCCAAAAATTCCTCCAGGAAGTTTCCTTAGAAATTTTTTCAACACAGATGCAATAGTATAAACACTAAAATTGTCTATATTTACTAAACGTCCAGTTTGTAAGAAATGGATAAGCTTTTTCATATTAGCTTGATGACCTGGTGCTCTGAAGACATCTTTTTTGTAAGGCCCCTCCTTATTAAGTTTCAATATGAGTATCAATAAAGGTCCAGGGATATCATTATGAATACAGCACACTTGATCTAGAGGAACACCAAATTTTACTCTGAAAAAAATAAATGGATAGAAAGAAAATGTTAATATAAGACAAAGTAAAAAGATTACTGGTTGCTTCAAATGGACATACCTTTCAATGTAATAATTATGATTGCATAACGGCAGAATTCTGCTCAGCATGGTGGAGCAGAGAGTGTCACACAATCAAGTAGACAATAACAGATACACCAACTAGCGAAGAGGTTACTCTTATCCTCCAGGTACAAAAAAGTAAGAACCACCCGCAAACAATTGTAGTTAGAAAATAAGCACAGAAGATCAGGTTATACTTTATATTACACTTTATACATGTATTTCATTGTTGAATTTTGATCCACTGAAAAAATTAGTAACAAAATCCTCGTAACTAATATTAAAATTTCATTAAATGTAAACTTTAGGTTTGCTAGAATACAATCAACACCATACAATGACTACAAATAATCAGAATCTGGGTGTTTCAGTTTCAGGTTTAAAAAAGGCAAAGAAAAGCTACGCATTCTTAGCGCCATCTCCTGACACAAAAGTGATAGAGGATTAAATATTAGGGAATAAGTAAATTTTGAGGTTCGAACATTTTTTGCCGTAAGATCATCATCATCAATGTAAATTATGAAAATGTTTATCTATTGAGTGACAACAACATTTTCTTTCCCATTTCGCCAACTGAGATTCGTAAACATTTTCTTCGTGATTGGGATCTTTGGGGTCCTCTTCTTCTTTGTACTTTTATGGCTCTTTTCCTTCACCATTACAATCACGATGATGATGTCAAAAAATCAGGTAAAGTGTATTTTGTTTATGCAAGTTCAGAACATAATTTTGTGTATAATCTCATGTTTTTTACTTTGATTTATTACAGGTCCCCAATTGTCAGAGTTATTTGGCTTAATCTGGTTTGGTTCCTACATTGTCAGTAATAATTTTAAAATGTCAGCGGTATCAGAAGAGTTGGACTCTCTTATTACCGCAATAACAACTAATGGGTCTCATCCATCTAAATGTGTAACCATCCAGAGAACCTTAGACGGTAGGTTACAGGTTGCCGGTCGAAAAGGTTTTCCTCATGTAACTTATGCCAAAATTTGGAGATGGCCAGATCTTCATAAAAATGAGTTGAAACACATAAAAAGTTGTCAATATGCTTTTGACCTTAAAACGATCACAAAAACGGTATCAATGCTGTAATGTTAAAAATAAAAACGGTACATTAATACCGAAGATGCTCACTTTGATTTACCAAAATTTCAGTCAATTCTGAGCTAAACTTCATATCTAACCGCAAAATATATTTGACAGCATAATACAAATATTATATTGAAATATATGGTCATTCAAGATCCTACAAAGAAGGTTATTTCATTGTATTACTTATGCTGTCAGATTTGATTCTTGATTTACAAAGTTAGATGGTTATTCAAACACAAATCTTAAAATGTGTTAGAAGGATCTTCATTATTAAATGAAGTTTCCATTAAAAGACCATTCTCGAAATATCGAGGCTCAAAGTTTTAAGGCAAATGGCCAAAATCAAGAGATAATTCATTATGTGTACAAACAATTTTTAAGGACAAATAATGAGCTTCAACTCGCTAACTCTTATGGTCATAGAAAGCGATCGGTTTAATAAAGAATCCAACTAATCTGTTTCACAGAAAAAGAAAATTTTATTTCTCAAATAAATGCATTTTCTGGTTGCTCATTAAAAATATCAGTGAAATTAATCTCATAAAAAAACCTGCTTCCAAAATTTTACAAAAGGTGATCGAAGTTCTAACTTTGAACTCGATTTCCTCGAAAACTGTTCATCAGAGAAATTTTTAAATCGCAAATGGATTCAGTTTTCATGTCCCTACAAACCAACAGAGTCTAAATCTTAAAGAAAATGATTTAGATTATGAAATAGAAATATTTAATCTAAATTGCTGAAAGTTGTCCTGAAATTGCCTTAACTTAAATTGCAATCTTCATATTTCTTATTAAATTTTTAACTGGCTTGTTCCAAATGTTTAAAAACTAGAAGCAATAATATTTGTAAATCAAATACGATTGACTTGTAATTGTAATATGTGAAACACATTTATAAGTTTACTAATAGACTCGAAAAATTAATTTCTAGTCGAGCAATGAATTTAAATAAACTACAGAATCAAAGAAATAACGACTTGAAAATTGCAATGTAAAGTTCGGATATAGCGCGATTTTTGTAACTAATAGTAACGTATTACTAAAAACATTACGTCAAGTCATGTATTATTTGTGTAAAGAGTTTGTTTCATTCTGGAAATTGATAGATGTTTTTCTTTTAAATTGGTTCTACTCTCTACAATGTCAATAATTTACTATTTATTTAGTTCAACTAATAATTATTTTTTTTAGTTAGTATCAGTCCATCAAAATTTCCATCCTTTAAGTAACAGGATGGTTTTAACACTTTTACGAGCAACTAGTCGTAAAGCTTTTGGATCCTTTGTAACAAGGAAAATCACCTTCAACCATAATGATGGATGTGATCATGATGATAATAAGCAACAGAAAGGTGCTCCAGACGAGAAATCGTACCAATGCAGGCTCGAAAGTTTCATCAACTTCCAGCGAATGGTATTTCAGAGCATTGGAATATTTGGAAGTCTCGTATTGATAGGTACAAAATGTCATACCGACTGCATTCGCGTCAAGACAAGTGCAAACTTCAACATACCACATGATAATAGATGTTCATTTCTCGATGGTTTGAACAAAAATTTGCCTGACATAAGATCTCATTCATACAATCAGTTAAATGTACTGCCTCTTCATATTCTACCTGATTCATCTTCATCATGTGAAAATAACGAAAGTAAACCTAAAAATGCAATCAAAGGTAACGCAACTATTAATGATATATAAATGTGGTTGAATTTCGCATCTAATTTACTTATTTCTTGTTTTTATTAATAGACGATAACGTTATTGATAAGATTCTTCAAAACATGAAACATGAGATGGACGTTTTCGCTGATGAGTTTAAAAATGTTAAAGCATCAATGCTTTTGTATAATAAGCGAGTCGATGAAGCAATAAATTTACTCAAGTCTTGTCCAAATAGTGCCAAAGCGATGTTCAACTTAGGAATCGTCTATGAATCTGGCCAACATGATCCAATCAATGGAATACCTAACTATACTAATGCATTAAAATACTATACAAATGCAGCCCATCTTGGCCACAGTTTAGCTCATTATAATTTAGCATTGATCTACCTTTACGGTAAAAAACCAATCCAAGCGGATCCAGCAAAAGGAATGAGCCTATTGCATAGAGCAGCGGAACTTGGTGTTGAAGAAGCTATAAATTTTGTAAGAGAGCAAAGTCTGATTCGGTCCGAGGAAAGAGATTTGCGAATTCGACGATCTCAAGAGTTATTTGACCAGATCAAGAAAACTAATAATAATAATTTTCACACTTCTCAATCTTCACCGAACTTTTTGACATCAATCATCGGCTTTTTGGAGCCAACCATCAAAGATTTGCCCCCTAAACAAAGCTCGATGATTGACGATGAACTACTTTCTTCCTCAGATGAAGCATTTTACGACAGTGATGATTCTCTTGAAATTGTATTCTCTGATGAATAGTTATTAAGTTAACAGTTGTGTTTCTTTGAATGTAAATATTAATCATAAACAAATTCATGACCAATATTATGAAAACAGAAAAAAATAAATCTTACCAATTTTTTGTCTTCATCATTGCTAAAAAATATCACACCATGAATTATTATCTTAAAAGTATGTGTTTAATTGTATCTAGTGGCTTATCTGCGTCAGCTAATTGATTATTTCAACACTTTCACATGAGCCACTAATATTATCAATCCACTAATAATATTAGCACTAATCTGGTTATCAATATTATGCAGTTTCATTGAATGATAACTAGACTTGTCTGAGGATATCCAGAAAATCATATCAAGAATTATTAACCAGTTAATTAAGCTAATAGAATGTTCAATCAACTAAGTATTTTATTCATTCCCTCCAGGTTTAAAATGATATAAATTTCCTCCAGGTTTAAAATGATATAAATTTAAAGTTTAATAAACTGGCTTATTTCAACCATTTTAAGCAACAGTTAATATCATCCAGGATTCAAATTTAAAACGAATTGAGCAAACAAATCATTCATCATTCTGACATTTGTGCACTCAATTGAATTTCATTGTTGAATAATTGAATTTTTACATGGATCCGTGTAACAATTGCAAAACTCGCTTTTAAACAATTATTTGATTTTCATTCTCTTTTACTTTTCTTTCTTATTACTCTTTGTTTTCAAGAACATTTGTTTTTAGTTTCATACAATCCTTTGATTCCCTGTTTTTACATTGTTTCATCGTTAAAATTTCCAATCTTCAGACTGTCCTTCACTCCAATCAGACTGAAAAGTTTCCCTACTCCTATTCACTGAAGCAATTCTAAACTCGACTCATCCCCTGCTTGTAAAACTTGAACACTTAATGTTTAACCTCGATCTGCTGTTCATTACCAGATTAGTAAGACACTTGTTAATACTGGTATCGCAGCTGATGGGAATTTCGGCCATTGAAATTGTTAGAATAATTCATTTCTGGGTTTTTCGCTTATCAGAATATTTAGAAAGATAGAGATTAACTTCTCGATTCTACTGAACAAGAAAATCACCATTTTCTCAACAAAAAAGATCACATGTCCATGTTGATTGTAGTGAGATTTAGATTTGCATTTTTTTTTTGAAAAACAAGCAGTTTTAGACAGCTCTTAAGGTAAAAAGTTTTGAATTTTAATCAATTTGATTAGAATCGGAAATTTTTGACCAAATTGGTTAACATGCAATTTTCATCTAGTTCTGGAAATCGACTGTCATTAGACAGAAAGAGAAGCTTTTGAAGTTCCGACATTTTGTTTTCTTCATATCAAGAGAATAACTTTTGTCAAGTTGATGTTTTGGTTGTTATTTTTTAATATGACGAAAAAACAACTTGTGCGTCTCTCTCTGTATCCGGCGCTTTAGTCATATTCAAGCTAACAATACTCATAGAATGAAAGATACTGATGCAGGATGAAGAGAAAGATGCTAGAGTTGAAAGCGTGAAAATGCAAAGTCTGGTAAAATTGGGAGCAATGAATAAGAGAGTTGAGGGAAAAAACAACAACATAGGTAGGATGAAAAGAAGGTAATTAAGAAGGGTGAAAAGAGAAAGAGATGGATGAAAGGATGAATGATGAAGGGATGACGGATGAAAGGAAAAAAAAGGAAAATTTATAGGCAAAGAGTATTAATCTGTGCCTTGAACTCTGGGATCTTGGATGGGAATTGTATGCAAAACTTCATCCAATAGTTGCAAAGCCCGGTGAAGATGAATCTCAATCCAACAGGGTGTTTCTTTGATAGAGTGTCGTGGATAATCTTGTCCCCAACCTTTAACAAAAGAAAGCCTAAGAATACATAGTCTCCGCAAATCATCAACACCTATTCCAGCGACAGCTGACAAACTAATTGCAGGAGCAATACCACCACATGATGCCGGTCCAGGTATATGACCTGCAACGGCAGCAACTTGAGCTGCAGCAGCGGCTTGTGCTGAAGCAGCTTGTTGTTGCATTTGTCTATGACATTGCCTAAGATCAAAGACCTGAAAAGAACGTAAAAAGAATAAAAAATTACAAACTTGGTAATCATTTTGCATTTCAAATGTAATTATAAAGATAATGATAAAAAAATAAAGTTTAATTACTTTAATATAGGCTTGAGGATAAATTTTATGTACAGCGTCTCCCGGAGACCGTCCACTTTCTCTGTCTAGATAATAGCTTTGAACAAAAACTGCATTATTTGAAAGACATCTTATCCAAACTTCATCTGTAATAATTGGATAAACAATTTTAATTTGAAAAAAAAGTTCAAGAAAAAAAGATGATATTAGTGGAAGAAATCCATGATGAAAAATTTTATTCATAAAAATATTTGAAATAATTTAAAATACCTTCCCCTCTGAGATCCAATTGAACCCCTTTTCCAATATGAAGTCGAGCTTTTTCACTCGCTTCAGTTCGATGAACATTAGACAAAGCTCCTAAACAGAATCTATCATTTCCAGAAGGATCTACGTAGCCATCAATTTTAACATAATTGTAAGATGATGGCACTTTGAAGGGCTCACCAACTTGTTGATCCAACTCGAAGTAAGCTATTGAGCACCAATGTTCTGGTGGAGGCAGATTGGAAAGAGGTGCGATCATACCTGCCATGAAAAAATTAAAAACATGAAAAATTATAATTATATGCAAGCAACACAAAGAAAGCGAACGAGGATAAGATTGTCTGAGAAAATTCCGAAATTTCAAAAATACAAAGGAAAATAAATTTGGAAAAATGACATAAAGTCAGAATATAAAAGAAATAATAAAAAGTGAATTCACAAACTGTGACCATTCACTCAAATAGTGTGAGAGATAGAGTTAGAAAGGATAGATGAAAGCAGAAGGAAGAAAGGGAAGGTAGCAAGCATAGAAGAACGATTTAACTTATCTATTTTTCAACAACGTTCTAAAAAGACAAATTTAAAGTTTCAGTGGAATTTTTGATTAAACAAATGTAGTACTTGTCTTACCCAAAGATGTGTCAGGTAAATTTGGTAGATTTGGTAAATTTGGTAAACTTGGTAAACCTGGTAAATTAGATGGTGCCAAAGGATGTGACCAAAATTGAGGAGGCGAAGTCACAAAGTTAGAATTATCATCATTTAATGGAGTAGCTTTGGTTTGCGGAAATGGTCCAGAATCGGTGAACGATGGTGAAGGTAAGTTAACCGAGGAAGTTGGAGCATATTCTGTTTTTATGGTAGGTCCGGTGTGAAGTGCTGATGATTGATCATGGTCACCAGTTGAGCCATGAGAGGAACTGGACAAGGTTAAGCTAGATAAATCAATACCTGGTGAAACAACTCTCTCATAGTGATACGGATTAACACACACGGAATCAAGTTTAAGGTCAAAAGCATATTGACAACTTTTAATGTGTTTCAACTCATTTTTATGAAGATCTGGCCATCTCCAAATTTTGGCATAAGTTACATGAGGAAAACCTTTTCGACCGGCAACCTGTAACCTACCGTCTAAGGTTCTCTGGATGGTTACACATTTAGATGGATGAGACCCATTAGTTGTTATTGCGGTAATAAGAGAGTCCAATTCTTCTCTTTTTTCTTTCAACTTTTTAACCAATGATTCAATGGCCCTTTTAGCAAATGTCTCAGTTTCACCTCCTTGACGATGGCACATTAAACTTAAAACAATGGAATGGCAAGCATCTGCAGATGTTGCAGGCACAATTGAGCCACTCGGTTCACCATTCATTTTTTTCCCATTTAGGACTTTCTAAATTTAACTAATAACAAAAATGATCAATAAAACAACAAATTCACTCTGAGAAAAGGGAAAAAACAAGAAAAAAAGATACAGAATAAAAAAGTGTCAATGGTGGTAAGAATAAAGCGAATAGAGTTATAAGAATCGAATATACCTTTAAATGTAATGATTGATTATTACATGACAATATTATGATTGCATAAGGATATAATAATTCTACTCAACATGGTGGAGCAGAGAGTGTCACACACTCAAGTAGACAATAACAGCAACAGCAACTAGCGAAGAGGTTACTCTTATCCTCCAGGTACAAAAAAGTAAGAACCACCCGCAAACAAGTGTAGTTAGAAAATAAGCACAGAAGATCAGGTTATACTTTATATTACACTTTGTACATGTATTTCATTGTTGAATTTTGATCCACTGAAAAAATTAGTAACTAAAACAGCTCGTAACTAAGATTAAAATTTCATTAAATGTCAACTTTACGCCTGCTAAGAATACAATCAACACCATACAATGACTACAAATAATGGGTTTATTTGGGTTTTGTAGCATACGAGCTTTGTAGAGGCGCGCCATCTATTAACTTATTCATTTCTTAAGTGTGTTAGAGTAATAATAAACGGTCCCTGGTAACCAGGGCCTGGTTTTTACACCATAATACCAGAAAACAGGTGTACTTAATCAGTATTACTGATGATGTTAATGTTTTTGGTCTAAGATCATCATCATCAATGTAAATTATGAAAATGTTTATCTATTGACAACAACATTTTCTTTCAATCAGATTTTTAACATATTTATTTCTGTGGATTGGTTTCTCATATTGATGTCCAGTTTGGTGTCACAAAATTTATACAATAATAGTGATTTGTTTCTCGATTGGATTGTCACCAGATCAACTCAGTTATCTTCCTCTCCATCTTCAACAATCGACAAAATGAATGAACAAGATATCAATTTGTTGGAAGGTGATATGATCAGTAAAGACGGTTTCTCTACTGGAATTGATCAAGCATCTTTTGATACACTTGACGAGCCTGTCAGTGTGACACTTTTAAGAGATTTAAAAAGTGTTGCTTCCAAAATGAAATACATTTTATTTCCCATTTCGCCAACTGAGATTCGTAAACATTTTCTTCGTGATTGGGATCTTTGGGGTCCTCTTCTTCTTTGTACTTTTATGGCTCTTTTCCTTCACCATTATAATCACGATGATGATGTCAAAAAATCAGGTAAAGTGTATATTGTTTATGCAAGTTCAGAACATAATTTTGTGTATAATCTCATGTTTTTTACTTTGATTTATTACAGGTCCCCAATTGTCAGAGTTATTTGGCTTAATCTGGTTTGGTTCCTACATTGTCAGTATTAATTTTAAAATGTTAGCGGTATCACCTAACCCTCGTCGAAGAATGAGTTCAGCAAAGACCATCTGTCCATCTACATTTCAGCTTTTATGTGTTTTTGGTTATTGTTTATCTCCGCCTTGTGTTGGATTATTGTTTTTAAATGTTGTAAAGCTTATATTCGATAGTCATACATTATTTATAATTAAATTGGTGATTGGATTTACAATTTGCTTTTTATGGCCAACTCTATCATGTTACAAGATATTGAGCCGATTCCAAGATAAAGATAAAATTGTTCTCGCATTTTATCCAATCGCTTTATTCTATTTTGTAGTGAGCTGGATAATAATCACTTCACATTAATAAAACAATAAATTATTGCAATTGTTTCTCAAATTTCATTTTCCAAATAAACTTTGACTCAAATATGTTGGAAAACTATGCAAAAAACAAGCCCTTTAAAAACAAATAACAACTGTTGGTTTAAATGAAGAGAAATTTACATAAATTTACTCTAACATGTCAAACAAATCATTTCAAATTTATTAAACTGTTTTTCTCACTAGATGATACAAGTAATTGTTTAGAAAGCTTACAATAACTTTCAGCAACGATTACACGATTAAATTACATAAAATATAACCTGGCTTTATTTAGTTCCATTGTTAATAAAATCAGATTCAAATTGAGTTTTATTTTAAAATTTCAAGTTCTGAAATAAAGATTAGTCGAAACTGAAATAAAATTGATGCTACCCAATACTCTGAATTAATAACGAAATTATGTTTGATCTTGTTGATTGTTTAATGTATTTTCCAGTAATGACAATATTTGTTGGAAAAAAATATTAAATAAACGATTATCACTTATGTATGAATTAACATGACTTTTTTATTGAAGGCAAAGGTCAAAGAGCGAAGAAAAGAGATGAAGGATAATATTGAAATTTACAATTTAGATGAAATGAATATTTAAATACAAGATCAAAGATGAGAGGAGTTTTTGGTGATGATTTTCATCTTTTTACAAGAACCATTTTGATTCCTTTGCGCCTTCGATGATAAAAGTTGAATTATATGATTGCATTGAATAACCTTTAGTAGTACACAATCAGGCAGTAAGAACTCAATCTTAATGTTGAAAAATCGTTAACTTTGGAAAGATTTCCTTTTGCCGTCAGACAAAGTACATGGGCAGATAAACAGTGAGCTTACTGTGTAAATGTAAAAGTAAAATATGGCGAGAAAACGAGATACTAGGTGATGAGAACATTCTAATCAAACCATTATTCCAAATGAGAATATGAAAAGTATAAAAATACGTTGACTACTTTTTCACATTAGATTGGTTAAGTTTACATGAGAAGCATGCCTGTACTGATTGAATTTGGAAAGTAGAGAAATCAGGAAGCAATGACACGAGGAAGAAAGTTAGGCAACCTACTTCATTGACAGATTAGTTGAATATTGAAATATCTTCCTTGGAACATGATGTAGTCAATTGGTTTTGAATCATTGGCCTTTCTCCAGATAGATTAACAAAACCATTGCATGATCATGTTTCATAGAATAGTATTGCAAAGATTCTTTAAAAACAAGGAAAGTGGAAAAATTAATGAAGATGGGAGGGATGGATGGTATAAGGAAAGGAAAGTAAATTATGGAAAAAAGGAGTTTTCAGTTCAGAACAGATAGGCTTCATTGTCAATGTGATAATTCATTCTTAGGACAATCAAGGGTGTCTCCATGATTATGACTATTCATTGTTTGAACAGTTGTAGTAGTTGGAGCAGTTGGAGAATATGTGTAGTTTTTAACGGCTTCTTCATAAGTAGGTGGTAGCTCATCATAAGATGTTATTTCATAAGATGATTGTCTTGATACTAGGTCTTCTTGTCGCAACGAAAAACGGATGCTGCTTGCAGGCCTAGCTGTACCTCCACTTTCAGCGTATCTTAATCTTGAATTGGTGTCTCTACACTCCTGTGTATCACTGCCGTTTGTGTTATCTGAGCAAAAACAATGATACAAAAATGCTAAGCAGCAAGGTATACTGATAACCAATGTAATTAAAATCAGTATCACCCACAAAGCTGCTGAGGATAACATGGTGTAAAAAATATTGAAGCTAGACCGTTGCTGCACTGACTCTGGAAAAGATAAGATGAATAAAAAAATAAAACGTAAGTAACGGATAGATGTTTGACAAGATAAAATGAAAATCTAAAGTATCACATTGTATTTTCAAAATGATACATGAGAAGAGAAAAACAAAACACTTACCATGCACGCATTTTATTAAAAATGGATCATAAGTATAGTTGGACACACAATTACAGTGAGAATTGTCACAAAAAGAATTATTATCAGAATAAAGGCACTCTTGATCCGAAGAACATTTATCTCCATGAGATTTATTCCGTTTACACGCGTGGGGACCAACTACCACTGGAGTCTCAGGCCTACACCGACACGTTCTATTTTCATCACAATAAATATGAATATTGAGAGGCCAACAAATTCCTAAAGGTAAACAAGGTTGACCAATGTGCCCTGAAGCAGCAGGAAGATCTAGGAAAACGTGTGAAAAATAAGGAGGAAAACAAAGATGAACCAAAAATCTAATGTTAACAAGTTGAGTTCCAAGATGAGATGATAAAAACAACTCAAGAAAAGAATTGTAAGAACAGCATACCTTTGAGCATTAAAATGATGAGATAAAAACCAAGAGTTGAAATTAACTGCAAGTTTAAGCAGTTTTTCCTTTTAATTGAATTAGCAATCAGGTCATTCATTGTTTAACTAGTAAGGATACACGGTATTTAAATCGAACAAGGGGAACCATAAAAACATGTCGACAAAAACCATTAAAAATCAATTATTGAAGATACATAGTAAGATTAAAATGGATGATTAAAAAATTGATAGCAAAACTAAGTCGTCAATTAGTTGATCACAGCTAACATAATTGATTTGGCTAGCTCTGAAAAAGCGAAAAGGTTTGTCAACAAAGAGAATGCCAGCTGACGTCATAGTAAAACAAGATCAAAGAGATCCAAGTGAACCAAAAATCCTCGCCATCTTGTGTTATTTTTTTCAAGCAGTATTTCAATTTCAAACAAATTCCAATTTTTCAGAACAAAACAATTTAATTAAAACAATGAAAATGATGTAAATTTAGCAAATAACCTTGCTCTGTAAACATACCTGTCTGGGCGGAAACGCAGGCCTCAGAAATGTGGGTTCTTACCTCGCGTAAGAACGGGTTTGCTTAAGTGCAAGGGTTAAATGAACACTCAATAAAATTACATTTTTTTATCGATATTAAGATCACAATTTATGAAGAAAATCAGCCAAAAATAGACTTCCAAAAATCATCGGAAATTTAACTCGATACTGACCATTTTATTTACTTTGGTTTGAGAATCAAACAACTCACTGAAACATCATTAGCTAATCAATTAGAAACAGGATTGGTAATAAATAGATAACCAATGATGATTAAGAAAGGTTATTGTTCTTGCAAATGAGCAATTTCCCATTTCCTTTTTCTTTCATCTTCCTAATCATTGGTTTTGTTAAGAACAGTTAAGATTCATGTTTTAGCATAATTAATCGAAGTTTGTTATTAAAACTGGAAAAATATCTGCTGTTGGAACATTTTTTGCGAAGTAAATTAATCGTCTCTAACAAAGTTCAATAGAAAGATGCATAAATCGTAATATATTGATATCAATTATTTAAAGACTCGCTAAAAGGTCAATAAATCACAAGCAGAAAACCTTAGCATTAAGGCATCGAATATCAAATTAGTAAGTTGAGGGTTCAATAAAAGTGCAAAGTTTTAAATTTGACAAGACTGCTAGTCATAAATGATATTGTTATTGTTATAGAAAAGAAATATGATAAAAAGTTTTCTTTTTGCTGTATGAACTTTTGGGTATCAGATTTGTATTTGTTTCTCTGAATTCTGAGAGTGAATTTTCTTTAGTTAGATATACAAATGCTTAAATTTTAGCATAGATGGATGAAAAGTTAATAAATAAATTTTAATATTTTGCAGATTGCATCAAGTATAAAAAATAGATTTGTTTACACTAAAATTCCCATGATTCGAGCCATCTTAGCTCAGTCAATGTGTGATTTGATTCAGCTCCTGATTCCATTTTAGTTCCATAACTCAGAGGCGAAAATAGGTAGAAACTGTAGACAATTGATGAAATAATTACGCCATAGCCGAAGTGAAAAATTGTCTCAGCTAGCTGCGGCCAAATTAACTTCGGAATATTTCTCAGCAGATAGTCGATAACAACCGCTACAAAAAAAAACATAAATATCATTAGTCAGCCAATTGCTTTATACAGTAAATTCAAGTTGAAATAACATGATTAATAAATCAACATTTGTTTTTAAATGTTAACTGTTTGTACAATTGAAAAACAAACCTGAAAGCATGCTACTGAAATTAGAGCATTTATTTACCTGATTGTGGTGATTATGATGATAAAGATGTTGATAAATATGATGCATTTTTCATCATTGTCCATTTTCACCTTTATCTTCATCTTATCAACATCTTTATCGTCATAACCAGCACAAACAGATAAGTAAATGTTACTCTTTTGCTCACATAATTTCACTCTTAAACAATACACCCTTTACAATAGAAAAACAAACCTGAAAGCATGCTACTGAAAATTAGAGCCGGAAAATAATGGTGAAAGTATAATACTCTTCCCATGGCAAAAAATGGGAAATAATGCAATCCCCATCCAATTAATAACCAAACTGATGCATATGTCAGTCTAGAGTTTTGGTCTAAAAAAATAAAAAAACAAATTAAAAACAAATTTTTATATTGAATACAATCGGAGTATTTTACAGTCATACCTTTAATATCAGCAACTTCGTTGCAACCTCTTTGCTCTCTAATTAATATAGAGATCTGTAAAATGAGATAGACGGCCATGATAGCAATATTTGCCCACCAGATAATTGGATTTCCGAGTAGATAAATTTTATACTCATTCCCAGAAAAGAATTGCCCCTGAAAATATAAAATATAACGAATGGTTAGTTTGGCTTCATTAGCGGATATTTTTGCTTCTTTGCATATTATTAAGTTGAAAGCTGAAACTTTATTTACCCGATAATTTATTGGCCATTGCCAGGGTCTTGAAGTGACTTCACCTTCTTTGGGCTTAAGACCGGCATTACCTTGAAGCATAACTGCATGAGATTCGATGAACTTTTCAATGAAACTAGGAGCATATTCCTGAAAACTGACATTAGGTAAGCGTGGAAAGAAATTATCCTCAATATTCCAAATGCCATTTTTATCAAGTGTATTAGGAGAACAGGTAACTTCCATTTGTTCATATCCCCACTTAGGAAGTTGTTTAGAATGAGAATGAAGAGCACAACCAACAAAATAATGAATTAATCGAAATTTACTGGTTACCGTCGCTAATCTTTCATCTGGTTTTGCGCTGATAATTTCAACTCTCCAGACATCATTTGCATCACCAACACCATTTTCTCCATAACAAGTGACTTGATAATGTTTCTTGGTAACTGGTCCTCTTTCTCTGTGGCTGTGAAGATTTCTGGCTGTTACTTGATGCTCAAGACGAACGAGATCACCGTTTTTAACTAGTTCAATCTCATCCTTTTCAGCATTGGGTTCTTTATCGTACTTTTTAATCACCCATTTATTATTTTCATCTTTATGTGAGTATGCAGTTACTTGTTGCTGTCTTGCTCCAACTCCTTCAGGATAAAGATGCCAATGAGAATGAAGATAACCACCACCAGTACGATGATTTTTTAACGTGATGACAGCACCAAAAGCAACATGACGAGGCATCGATATATTGTATAAAGAGTTACCTTCCAATTGCGATTGAAAAGCTGAGCTGTAAAATCCATCGCCGGGTCCACTTTTATAGAGAACAGATAAATGAATCCAGAAGAAAGTGGTATAAATAAATATCGGGAGCAGAATTAAACACAAAACACGGGCAATAAAATGCGCTCCAATGACTTTCATAGGCAAATTACAGTCTCCTAAAAGCTGCCACAATTCTGCGACAGTTCTTAAGCCAACTAAAATAACAACAAATAGTCCGACAAATTTGACACTGAAAGGAGAGAGAAAAACGGAGTTTTGAGAGAGATTTGTTAAAATTTTAAAAATCCATTTACGTTACCTCATTGCACAAGCAAGAAATGTGCCGGTCCATATCAGCCAAAACCACCAATAGAAAGTAAATGATCGATCATAATACGATCCCAGTTTCACTGAACCCATGAAAGATCCAATCACAAAAAAGAGTAGAATTGGATCGAGCAAAATATACTGCGACAATGTCAGCAAACCGATATCTAAATAAAATAGGTGAATGTATGGAGCGAAACATGGTTAGCATGGATTTGAAATTAAATTATCAAGAATCATAGAACTAACCAAATGTAATCAAAGCTGAGGCTAATAGTGAGGCACTTAATGATCCAGTTAATTCCCAGACAATCACATAAGTGAAAGGAATGATTAGAGCTCCGAGTGTTACACAGAAAAGTCTCATTCCGAGATAATTGTGATCCCCATATTTGTCTCCAGGTTTATTAAATGCAAAGGTTCCATTATATCCAGTCAATTTTCCCGACAGTCCAATGAGCATCTATTTTCAAATAAATTGAATATATTAGAATTTGAATTTTAAAATTCACAGATAAATAAATATTGGAATGCATGATTAGACAGATCACTTACCTTTCCAAGCGGTGGATGAACGTCGAAGAAAAAAGTATGATTAATATAATAGGATCCCATTTTACCGAAGTGCGTTTCATCCCAGCTGAGTTAATAGAAAGAATGAACAGTAAGGAGTTGTCATTATAATTAAAAATGATAATATATCAAAACAAAATTGATTATAAAACAAGACATACTTACCAAACATGATCAGGTTCACCAATTTTATACAGTCTTGTACCAAAAGCAAGAAGGAAGGTTAAATATAAACAAAGTCTAAAATCTAGTGATGTTCCTCCTAATTGGAATGAGGTTTTTTGTTGATCACTGGTTTTCTTATTTCCACTTTTAATCATTATTAATCACTAAAAGAAAAATAACAACCAAACGGTTTGCTTATATCACATGTGGAATGGTGACCTAACAAGGTCTATAGAATGAGTTTTTTGCCACCGTTACCAGTTTCCGTAACATCAATCTCACCCAGTACAACGATGCAGCAACCGGTCTTGAAAAGTAAGGTCATCAAAAATTGAAAACACTATGAATTTGAATGGATACTTTCAAGAAAATATTTTTGTTTATGGTTGCCACTGAAACTGTTTACAACTGAAAAAGATGGAAACAGTTGAGTCAACTGAGCTGACAGTTGAGAGCGCTCAAAGACAAAGAATAGAGATCTTCTACTCTTTGATTTAGTCTTAGTCTTTGACAATAGTTATGATAAGTTCATATATTTGTGCTGATTCTCTTATAACAATAAGTCATAATGTTTCCATGAAGCGGTTTCTCATTATTTCACTAAAGCATTAAGATTCTTACGATCTTTCCCAGATGTGTTTTAAAATGTTAAATGGATAACATATTGTATTGTGGAACTGAAAAATTTATTCTCAAAACAAATGCCGATGTGTTTTTGATCATGTTGATGTTATGTCATTTGAAAGAATTAACTGCTAACTTTGAATTACTAAGGCTTCTCAAGTGTTTTGTTATTCGTAACCCTTATTTCAGAAGAGATTTCTGATCAAGAAATCGAAAGATGGTTTGTAAACAAAAAAAATACAAAATGTCGAGCACTTCATTGTGAACAAAATAAGATGAATGTATGGAGCAAACAGATTCAGATACTATTATGTCTTTCAATAAATAATAATGTATCGTAAATCACCGAATAACAACATTCCACGAATTCATCAATAAACCATTGTGTCATTGTAGACAAATACATTTTGCTATTGAATTTAGAAGCAAAACTTCAAAACTGATTTGATCAGAATGAAGACACAATCACAATTAATTAGAAGACTGTTCATATCGAATTGGAATAAAGATATCTTTAATCAATTTATTTAGAAAACTTTAATGCGATACTCAAACCATTTTTTCATCGGCATATTTGTAATGAAGCACCTTACAATCTTGTTCGCTAATTTTTACCCATCCAGTTGGTTTCATGCCGTAAACTACAAAGAATAAAAAAACATTTGTCAAAATCTATTGAAAAAAGATATCACTATAAAACACTTACCTCTGACAATTCCTCCGGAAGCGGCATCACGATATGTAGCTTGATAGACTGCACGTCTACCCAACTCATACGCTTCTTCATCGGTCATATCGTATTTCCAGTGAGTGTCAACCACACCAAAAGCAAATGGAGAACCAGACCCGGCACTAAATAGATCACCAGAATATCTGCTACCAGAATCATCAACATAATATAGACCAGGACCTCTCTTATCCCAACCAATGATCATGGTACCCATAGAAAGACCCATTCTGAAGAATATGAAATAAATAACATTTAAATTAAGTCTAAACTGCAAACGAATATTGACTTTACCCTTTATAATTGTAGAGGATGTTGGCTAATAATTTACTAGCAGCAGCAACAGAAATTCTTTCCTTGTTACGAAGCTCATACATTCGACATCTGACAGTCAAAGATCGATGCCAATAAGAGCAATCAGCAGCACCTCCAGCCATAGTACCTAAAAGGTACTTGTTTATCTCGATAATCTTTTTTACAGATCCAGAGAAAATGAAATCACCACCAGTAGCCCTGGAATCTACTGCTATAACAACACCACCTTGGTATTTGAAGGCAAGAGTAGTTGTTCCCTTTTCCATGTTAATGTGGATATGTCTACCAGTGTTAGAATCTCTTAACTGGACATTTTTATTCATTGTAAACGGAGTGATGGGCAACTGGGTTAGTTTCTCGCTATTTAATTCTTCGATTTCTTCACTAAGTTCAACATCATCCACAGATTTCAAGCCAAAACTTGCATGTTTTTCTAATTGAAGTAACTCTTGGAGAGCCATGATTACCAACAGATGATCTGTTAACGAGAAGACTTGTCATTAAAAATTCATAAAAAGAAATGTATCAATTACTTACCGAAAAGGAATTAGAAACAAATTCAAAGAAAACAACTCAAATTAAATTGTGCAAAAATTGTAAACAGAATCTGAACAAAATGATTTGCAATTTATCAAAGTTGAAAGAGGGACTTTTAAATAATAACATTCTGTTTATACCGCTTTTTTGAAATTTTATCAATTTTTTCTGGATTGAAATGACGATGAATTATGAGAACTAATTAATAGAGATAAAATAAGCAAATTATGAAGAAATTAAAATTTTTGATGGATTAACCATTAAAAAGAATTAAAGACAACCAGAGAGGAATGTATACAGAATCGTTTATAATTCAAACGGTAAAAAATAATGCAATCACACGGGAAAACCACTTGTAATAAGTATCATTAAAGTGTTAGCTCAATTATTTCACTCAATTGTACTCTTAATTTTTCTGGAAATGTGAATTTCTAAGGAATTAATTTAACTAATGAAGCAATTAAACTGTTACCAAAAAGATAAATATTCTAGCCATTCAGATCGACACGTTTCAAAGCATAAACCTTTAAGTAACTAGCTTTACTGGATTTAAATGGATTCTCTTAGATTTTCAATTTCAAACTTAATAAATCAATTATGGACACTTAATTGTTTCAATAAATGATTGATAAATGCAATCGAATTTCAACTTGTTCAGTGCCATCTACAGATTTTCATCTCTACTATGTAGATTTGCTGCTGTAGGCTGCATTTGTTGTTTTCTGGAATCACTTTAATGAAGTGACTTTATAAACTAACAATTCTCATCCTGTTAGCCAGATCAACTTGTAGCTTATTATTCATTTAGTCATCTTATATCTTTTTTCTTAATCAATTAAACATGTTGGCTGTAATTAATCGAGTGCTAGATTGGCTGAAAAGCCTATTCTGGAAAGAAGAAATGGAGCTTACCCTGGTTGGTTTACAGAATTCGGGTAAAACTACATTTGTCAATGTGATAGCTGTAAGTGATCATTCAGTTATTTCAAATGTTTTAATTTCAAAGTTCGATTCTTATTGTGATTCTGATTTTCTATGAAAAATTTATAATTCTTCAAATTTATGTTCTTGCTCCAGTCTAACTCTTTCTTGGAAGATATGATTCCCACCGTAGGATTCAATATGCGTAAAGTAACCAAAGGAAATGTCACCATAAAGGTAAATATTCCACTAATTGGAACTATTTTATGAAAAAATTGAATATTTTTTCGTTAATTATACTTTTTTATTTCTTTTTAGATCTGGGATATCGGAGGTCAACCAAGATTCCGCAGTATGTGGGAACGTTATTGTAGAGGTGTCAATGCCATTGTGTTAGTACTTTTAAGATGACTTTTCTGCTTTCACTTGATCCAAAAACTCGATTTAATTGACAATACTAGGAAAGTTTTACCTGAGGGTATTGCTTATAACTTCATTGAACTAATTTATTTCTGATGATATTTACAAATACCTCTTGAACTTTAACTTCTGCTCATCAATTTCTGATTTATCAACTTAATATGACAAATTTTGCAATTCTAAAAAAATGTTGAGAACAGTTCAAAGATTTTTTGATCTGATATTCATTTAGATTAGGTGAATTATCGCATTTTTACTATTCAAAATTTTAACTAACTTTTTATCGATACATTGACAGCTCTGTTATTTAACAGTCTCATGTATTTTATTTTTAATCATTACCTGACTCACATTACAATCACGCCCTATAAGTTGGTATACTGGATTTCATCCCTTATCTATCCATCCTAAAATTGTACTCTGCCGACATTATAATCTGTCCTTTTCATTTACAGATATATGGTAGATGCCGCCGATCATGAAAAAATTGAAGGCTCACGCAATGAACTTCATAATTTGCTGGATAAACCACAATTAGCCGGTATTCCCGTATTAGTTTTGGGAAATAAAAAAGATCTGCCTGACGCACTGGATGTAAATGAATTAATTGAGCAAATGTAAGAATTCAGAATCGAAAATTTCCAGTCAGACTTATTTAACATTTTTTTATTTCACCCAGGAATCTGGCTGTAATTCAAGACAGAGAAATTTGCTGCTATTCCATCTCATGTAAAGAAAAAAGTAACATTGGTAAGCTATTTTACGATTCTCCAAAATTTCGTTTTTTCACATCTAAATTTCAAATTTGATTTAGTTTAACCAAATCTATTTTTTGCAATTCAAATTTTTATGTTTGGTTTTCACTCTATTTCACATCTATTATTTCAACTACTTCCAATCATTCGATTTTATCAGTTAGCTATATTTTTGATTATTTTCCGTCTTTTCAATTGCTATGTAAATAACCTTTCGATAAAATCTGTAGGGTTTGATCAGTTGAAACTGTTTGCTAACACGTTTTTTGTTATAAAATTCAATAATCACATTTTCTTTCTCTTCTCACATTTACTTTTCGTCATATCAGATATAACCTTACAGTGGTTGATTAATCATTCCAAATCTGGATCCCGTTAATATACTCACAATTTACCGGACTGCCCATAAAAAGATGATTCCATTTTAATTTTTTTTAGTGGAAACAAAGAAACGTTCCCAAGCCATACACGAAATCACAAGTCATTTGTTTATTTTCCTTTCCGCTTCCATCCTCGTATAAATGAAGCAAAATCAATTTTAACAATTTGAAGTTTTCTCGTAATCAGCCAACAGAGGGGTAATCAGACTCAAAATCATAACATCAAAACAAAAATAAAAGTGCTGGAGATACAATTATCAAGCGAATACATTGAATGGCCATTTTCTACTTCCATTGTGAACTCAAATGTGTTGGAAGTCAATTTGGAAAGAAAAGCAATTTTTTAGTTTACAAAAGAACTGTTATCATGCATGTAATATTTCCTGATTGATCTTTATGAAACTGAATCAACTACGCGAGAACTTCTTTATTTGTTTTAATGTTATCAAATATCTAATCTTTCTTTACCAAAATTACAAAGATTTGGCGTGGTAAATGTTCCCTACAAATCATGACAAAAATGAAATTGAAAAGAATAAGGAAATTTCATTCTCATCAAGTTCCAATTTGCCATCTCAATAAGATGAAGAAAGGCGAAAAATCAACAAATCAACTGTTCTCAATTTTGTGATCATTCAAAATTCAATCTTAAATCAATCTAAGAGTATTTATTACAGGAACAATTACCGAGAAAACAAATGATTATTTTCTTGTTCATTTCTTGTTCATTAGCCATATATGAAGCACACAAATAACAAATAAAGCCCAATCATTATGATTTATGATACAATTTAATTGATTTTTATATATTATAAAATTTCAAAATACTGCTTTCCTTTCTTGACGAGTCAAAAATGCAGTTAACAAAAGATTCAAATATTTGACTTGACAGTTGATAAAGGAATGTATTAAAAACATTAGCCAAAGCCTTCAAATGATTATGTCTTCGGAGACTTTTTATCATTTTTAGATTTACTGCTTTTTTCTTTCGGTGGTGAAGGGCCATCTTCATATGGTTTCTTGTTATCCTAGCGAAAGATAAAAAAAGCTATTAAACATCAATTCTTAAAATAAATGAACAATATTTACCTTGATAGATAAGTCTCTCAAGGGAACTGTCAGGTCAAAAGCTGTACAAGCAAAAGGTGTCCAGAGGCTGCTAATTTCAGGGATAATGTAATTATCGGGAGCAACAATTCCATGAGTTGCCTTTAAGTCAAGTTTTGGAAGATCAGGATGCACTTTTTGGTGATATCTACAAGAGATAAAAATAATTAGAATATGAAACAGAGAAATAGCTTGTTTAAACATACATCATTCCGTTTTCTCGTTCACATTTGTCTTTGATTCGTGTAAGACATGCTTTAACGCGCTGAAAGAATCCGGTTTGATCTGACTTCGGAGCTGCTCCGTAACCTTTCATTTTAAAATACTCTTTACTTAATGGAGCCAAAACTTCAATCCTTTTCATGGCTTCTTGACAACATCTGATAGCTTCACCGCTTTTTTCCATATTGAGTAAATTGTCTCCATAAAAGCTGTAAGTCTAAAGAAAAAATGGTAAATGCAATTAAAAAGAGAATCAATATGTTTTGACATTCAATCTCTGAGAGTGAATTATTATTGCTTTTTGGTGGATTAATATTGGTGAGATAAGTTTATCAATAATTAAGATTGTTTGATGCACAGAAGCTTTGTTTTTCTCTGATTGCTTCTAAAATTAGATGATTACATACCAATGCATCGTAGCAACAACATTTGATTTGAAAGTAATGCATCCATTTACCAAACTTTGTGATATCCAGTGCTTTGATCGACATAGCTGCTTCCAGGAATTTTTGTGAGGTTTCATGAGTAAGGGCAGCAATCAAAGAAGGTGAATGTTTCAATTGAATAGCTCGAAAGATGGTGACTGATAGAAAAGAATGAGAAAAACAATTTATATTCTCAGTTTCAAGACATTTCAATATAAGTCAATTTAAGACTATAAAGCGTTTTTACCTTCTTGAGCTTCGGCAATACACTGAGAAATATAGGCATCCATTACTTTGATATCAAGATCCGAACCATTCGTGCCAGTATCAATCAATCGGGGTAAGTAATTAGTCTTCATTTCCTCTAAAATACCAACACACTTTCGGGAAGTTCGGTGAATTTTTTTCAATTGTTCATCAGTTGGGGATTCTTGATGGGCTAGAATGGCTGCCTTTTTCATTAGCCAGAATGCATATTCTTGGTTGATCGAGATAAACTCATACATCATATCGCTTTGAGAGCTGTAGAAGAAAAATGACATTAAATCAATAAAAGTGGAACCCAAAGATCTCATTTTGAATAATTTACATAATATTTGAGCCAAGCATTGAATGACTCCATTTGAATTTACAAACATGTCTTAATCTGCTTGTGTCAGTTCCTGCACTAGTATCAGCATTATCAATAAATCCTCGCAATAAGCCAAGATAGGTATGTAGCAATGATTGGACAGCTTCTTCATCACTGGCTAAGTTTGACAAATTTTCAATCAATTTGATACGGTTCTTCCTGAGTTCACTATAAAAAGAAAGTAAAATAGTGATTTAGATTAAATTAGTATGAATTGGAAGAGTTTTAACCATAAGAAAACACATTAGTCAATAAACAGAGTTGAGTCACTTTTATTTACTACTTACTTGCAAATGTTGACAGCTTCTGCATTTGTAGCTACCAATTTTAGGTCAAACGGTACAGCAGTGGTGGATTTTAGTGGATTCCTATGAAACCAGAAGGTCATAATTACACAAATTGAATAATCCCAAAATTCAAATTAATTAAATAACATGTTAAAGAATTAGATTTTATTTCAAAGATAAATTTAATGTTGTTTTCATCTGGTAGAGTGAGCAACATATGATCATCTGGTGAGGTGTGTTGATAATAACAAAATGAAAAACCTTTTTACACGACTCAGAGCAATCAACAAATCATTACAATCAGGAACCTTGAACAGAATGAACTTATATTTTTCAATAAGCAACTTATTTGATGAATAAGATAAACAATAAATCACTACAATTCAGAGTTTATAATGAATATCAATCATAACTTTATTAAAATCAGAAACAGAATACAATCAAACAAGTTTGTAATGTAAAATTGTGAATAAATTGATCAACACAGAATTGGCAAAACAAAAACAAAAGTTACTAGGAATGCAATGATTCTTTAGATTTATAAGTGACGATTGATTCAGGTATCCATGAACATAATCTAATGAGCACTTTGCTCAACTACAGCCTCTTGGAAACCTTGAACATAACCAGTATCTTTAGGTGGATCTACACGTCCAATTTTACCTCGACCTTTACCAGTTTCGTCAAAGCGTTGCTTATGAGTTCCAGTGTATTTTGTGTGGTCAGTTAATCTCGCAACAGCGGCAGAACAAGCTGCAGTCTGGAAAATTAAGTAATTACAAACAGAAAATTGTATTAATTTGTCTAAAACAGTTAAAGTAAAATGATAATCAACTTACTGTTGTCTTGGTTGTTGCTGGTGGTCCACTAGATGATAATTTTTGTTTAATTTCACTGACATCGATCTTCTTATTTTTAGCGATTTCTTCCAAAAATTTTACGTATTCCTTCAAATTTAACGCCTTTTTGGTTCTGTATTGTAATTGTGAATTAATATGAAAAATTACATTGATTAGGTTGAAATTTAGTAAAGTAAAAACTGTAAATCAGTAAAATTAGGATCTAAAAGGTGTTGCTCTTAATAAGGAAAGGTTTTTAACAGGCCTTTAATAGTCAAGATATTTACGCGCTGAGTGACTGCACTTACTTGGCAATCTTTTTGAAATAAATGCCAGTGTCAACAGTTGTTATTTTTTTGCCATCAATAACCTTTGCTTGTTTGAACCATTTATCGCTATTTGACAGTGTAATTGCCTCTCCGGTACTTTTGGAATCGCCAAATTTGGCAAATGAACGAAAATTTGATTCAAATGGATTATCGGGTGAAGGTGAAGTTGATGTTACATTATTGTTATTATCAAGATTGGTTGGTGATGTTGGTGGGTTTGGAGATGGACTTAATTGTGCCTCTGATGATACAGAAATGGGTCTAGAGTCCGCGTCAGTCATGATTCAACTGTAAAATTAAAAATCAAAAATTATTAACAAAATCATCCATGAAACTCTTGTCAATTAATCTACAAAGGATACACATAGATGATTGGCAATCTATTCTGGAAAATTTGTGCTAAATTCAATCTACACCTTTAATTTCATTTACTAACTAAAGACCTGAAATGAATATTAATAACAATAGTAAATGCTGAAAATTTTCCTATTACTGTCCATACAGCTGTATTAAACAACACATTACATTTAATTTTATTAATAATTTCATGCTTAGTTGACCATTGAACTCAATGTTAAATTTTCCAAAATTAAACATCACTCAACCCATTTTAACGGTAAATTCAAGTCTAATGTATCTTTTTGATTGTCTCTTTGTTTTTTCTGTATCGATATCATGATAAATATAAGACAAATTAACTGACATAAACATAATTAGGAGCCAATACACCTTTAGTTTTAAACACATAGATGTGCTCATAGTTAATAACCTATTTATCTTTCATTTTGAATCGATCAACCCAAAAATGCATTACAAAATGGTTAACATTGGTCAATGCAAGTAAAATCAATGGCAAACATTTCATTTCCCTTGAAAATCACAATTACTCATTCTAATAACATGTAATAGTCCATTCAATATTGATTATTCCAATGTAAACTAATTTCTGTAATTTCTATATTCCATTTCAAGATTAAATATAACAATATCATGAAGAAAAATAGTTGAGCCTACCAATGACCAAAATAGTACAGAAACCCAATAAGAAAAGGGCCAAGGTTAGAATCTAAATGCTCTGTAAATAACTAATCTCTATTAAGCTCATTTTCATAAAGCTTCATTGGTTGAAAAATGCAATCAAGTTGATAAGATCGATTAAGTTGAAACGTCTGGAAGATCAACTTGAAAATGATTGAATTTCATTTCAATACTGAAATAGTAAATCATTTAAAACCAATTTTCTCAACCATTTACTATCAACAGGATGGGCAACAAATCAAATCGCTAGGTAATAACCAATATATCCTAAAAATGTGCCATATCAAATCAACTGTGAATCAAGGCGACAAAAAGAGTTAAATAAAGATGTAAACACAAATTCAGAGACATGAACATCTTAATATGTTTACATGGAGCGATTGGTATCACTAATTGATAAGTTACACATGAATATGAATGTTTCAATGACAAGGCTTGAAAATGTTAAAAGCTTGCAAAGTCTAGTTCAGCAAATTATAAAGCAATCATTCAATACAATTAACCTGATTTTCTCGATCTGTATTTAACCACGTCATTGTTACATTATCATGTAACCAAGTCTATTACAAGTTGCGTGTCTATTCATGATCAAGACAACTAAAACAATTTGTATTCATAATCTATCATTCATCAACATTGTCAAATCAAAGTGACAACAACTGTGAAACCAATTTTTTTGGAGTAACTTGATAAGCTGGACTAAATTAAATTACAATAATCTAATTGAACAGCCAATGATTTGGCGCTCTTTTCTCAGTCTACCATTTGATTTAAATTGTAAAACCAACAGTCAATTGTAAAAACAGTTAATGTTTAAGAGCATAATTCAAGTATATTATTTTGACACCAAAAACTAATTACTTTTATGATTATTATTAAGATTTGAAGTATGATTGTTACTATGATTGCCATTAATGATAAGTTTAATGTTCATCAATGAAATAAGAAGCAAATTGTGACAATCTGAGTAAACCCAATAATCTGATTGACTGTTACAATTATTGTAACAAAATCCTCTGAAATCTGAAAGAAATTTTCACGATTTCCAGTTGTTCGGAGCATCTTTAACATTGACTTGAACATTGAAACTAGGTCATGATGGTGATGAGGATGAACTAGGAAAAGGAATGAAAATGAAACCTTTGACCAAATGGATGTTGAAGCAGATTTGACAAAAGTATAATTTTATCATTTCAACTTGAAATGTAGATTGATTTGTAACTATTACTGTAACTGGTTGGACATAATTTCACCAAAAGGTAATTATGACCATTCAAAATGAAAGGGAAAAGGTTTAAAATTTTGAGATAATTTCTTGTTAATTAAAGATACTTTGCTCTTACGTTGTTAATGTTGGCTTTTTGTTGGCTTTCCGTTGTTGGCCCGTTTGATAGATCCAATTTTGAACAGTTTAAATTAAATCAAGTTGATTGAATTGAGTTTTGACGATTCCAAAGATTTATCCCTTTTCCGTTCAAAGTAACATTCACTGGTTTTTAGGTAAAGGATGTTGAAGCTGAATATTGCATCAATTGAGATAACTTACCTTGTATTGGATTGTGCATTGAGACTGCTTAACGATCTTCCTCTCTCTCTTCATCTCATCTTTGTTTTTCCCTTTCTTTTACTCACACTTTCCCCTCTTTATCATCTCGCTGTAAACAAATCAATAAAATGAGTATAAACATTGAGATGATAATGAGAAAAATGGAGCATCAAAAGGGTAAAACCAAGGAAAACGATGAAACTATCGTTCAGTCTGAGAATGTATTTTATTTGGTAAAAATAATCAACATTGTTTCATGGTTTACAATTTTTATTATCAGTAAACGTTATTTACATTCACTTGTACTTACATGCAAGGCTTGAACATTTTTTAAGCTTAGGAATTAAAAAAAGGGAAAATCTGTTTTGGATTCACTTTAGTCATTTTCAGTGGACTCAGTTTTGGGTGAATTTAACCAATGCTTCTGATGATACGATCGAGTTGCGCTGGTTGAGGTGATTTAAAATTATCATTCAATTGTTGAAGGGTTGAAGGGTCAAAATCTTGGCGACACAATAAAACATAATAAACATATGAAAGGTAAATCCGAAGAATGGAACTTGTGAATGCGATTCCAAATGTTGGCGTTTCTGATGAATTCGTTGAGCCTTTTATGAGGTTTAATAAACTTGGACATGATAAATTGACTGTTTCATCTTGCTGACAATTTGTTTGATTGTTTAGCAAATTTAATGTTAACCAAAGTAAAAAAATGTAAAGAGTTTTGGTTAACTTCATCTTGTTGAATGATCACTGAGAGTTGAGCTTCAGTCATTTTGTTAAATTGTATTTATTTAAGCCCTTATTTTTCAGAAATAGTTCATGGTAATGACATTGAATCTTAATTATGAGGAAAATTATTTAACCATGTTGTATTAATTGGATTACTGTTGATTGTGTAATTAGAAGGTAACTTTGTAACAATAATTGATACATTGTTTGGTATCGTAAATAAATTTATTTTGTTATGTTGGCATTGCTGTTTAGTTTTCAACAAAAAATATCTTGAGAAAATAGAAATCAATTATAAACAATGAAAATTCAACAAAATCCCCAATTAATTATTTTCTAGTTTACAAAAGTCTCCCGAACTCATGTGCGATGAAACTCGATTGTAGAAAATTTGATTCCATCAGTTTTAACAAAAATTTAAACAATAGTTTGAATATGCATTATAAAACATGATTGGTCATAGGATTGCCACTATTGCAAGGACTACTAATTAGTTTTTGGCACATAAATGGAAGCCAAAATAGACCAGTTAAAGGAACCATGGTACGAGTAAATCGATGTCTTAAAAGTTGATCAATTTTTTGAGCGCGTGAAGGCATCTCCATTTGTCTGGGATATAGAAAGGTTCATAAATGTGAGGAAATGGAGTATCAAAGCCAGTTACTCGACTTATTGGAGCTTCCAAGTGAAGAAAACATTCTTGTTGAATAGTGGCCGCAATCTCAGCGCCGAAACCTCCAGTCAATGGTGCTTCATGGGCAATCAATACTCTTCCTGTTTTCTTTACAGAGTTTCGGACAGTCTCACGGTCCCAAGGAACGATTGTCTGTAAATCAATTAATTCACACGAAATGTTTAAACTGTCTTGAGCCATTTGACAAACTTCATGTAAGACATGAACTTGAGTTCCCCATCCAATCAGTGTAACATCATCGCCTTCCACGACAACTTCAGCTTTTGATAAGGGTATTTTGTACTCTTTGATTGGTACTTGTTCAACTGCAGCTCGGTAAAGGATTTTCGGCTCAAAAAATATACAAGGATTCTTATCTTCAATACAACTCATTAATAGTCCTTTGGCTTGTATTGGCCCTCTTGGGATCACAATTTTTATTCCGGGAATATGAGCGAAAAATGATTCAACACTTTGAGAATGATATAAAGCTCCATGGCCTACAGCTCCACAAGGTGCACGAATAGTTAAAGCACCACAGTCAAATTGATTACCAGCACGATAACGAAACTTGCTTGCTGTATAAATGTTGAAAATATAAATTAATCAAGAGTATAGAGGTTTGTTATTTGAAAATACTTGTTAGACCTTACCTTCATTGAGAATTTGATCGAATGCTGGAAAAATGTAATCTGCAAATTGTATCTCTGCAATAGCAGTTGCTCCAGCTGCAGCTAATCCAATCCCGAATCCAACAATACCTTGTTCACATAAAGGAGTATTAAATACTCGTTCTTTTCCATGTTTATCTTGTAGTCCGATTGTACAGCGAAAAACTCCACCAAAGGCCACATCTTCACCAAATATCAGAGCACTAGAATTATTAGTTAAGGCTAAATCTAAGGAGTTGTTGATTGCTTGAAATAAATTCATTCGATTGGTTTCTCCCTCAGAGGCAGCAACTGTGTCAGGGTAGTAATTGAAATGAGCAGAGTTCCGCACAATCAATCGAGAACCCATTTTTTGGCTCATTTGTAAAATACGCGGGGCAAAAACGCTCAGCATTTTTATCTTTTTAACTCCAAATACTTGTTGCAAAAAATCACTACGACACTATCTTGTCTCTCATCAATCACTGGAAAAATTAAAGCTGTAAAAATATGAAATTAGTTACAAGTTAGAAATCAGAGTGTGATGATAAACTTACCACTTGACAAAAGCAATTTTATGATCAAATTTTCAAACTCGAATCATGATTCAAGATCAATAAGTTGATTAACTTCTTGGAAGGAAAAATAAATGAGAAGTCTTGTTTAGAAAATAATCAACGTTGATTATAAATCTTTTTGATTCGTTAGTAAGAGAAGGTGCGATAAATTATACTAACCAAAACTAAATGATTATGCTAAGAATATCGGAAATCTTAAAAGTCCAGTTAAAAATTGAAACTAGTTAGAAGTTGTGATTGATAATTTATAACAAAAAATGATTACGAATAAAACAATTGAACAGTTGTCAAGGAGTACAGAATAAGTTTAACGAGTCAGATTACAATACTTACTTTGAAGGGAATGTTGATAAAAAATGTAAAAAATCTTTCAAATCTTCCAAAGCAATTAAAGAATAATCATCGATAACTTTACAATTAATAGTGAAAGTTAATTGTAATTTAAATAAGAAAAGTAAAGATTAATAGGAAAGATCCAATCTTTCAAATGTTTTTTTCCCAGGGGTCTCATAATAAGTGTGATAGTTTTGTCAATACTATTATCAATAGTATCGATATTTAAAGTTAATAATATTCAAACAGGTAATACTAATTTAATAATATTGATTAAATTAACACTGATAAATGCCATTTAAGCTTCATATCTCAACAATTAAATTGGTTCACTGGTTCCTTTATCGACTTCTTCACAGTAACGATTAACAGCGTTTCTGATATCTTCCTCTAAATTAGCAAAGGTTTTCAAAATTTTGGCTTAAAACCGATATTCATTCCCAGTATTTCTTAAATAACCAAAATATTACAAACGCAGCTAAGCATCCATGCTAATTTTTGATATTTCACAGATTCGACAGTCACAGAAAAACGAAATCTCCTTTACCAACAAAATCTTTGCGATTCATCAACAAAAATGAAATTAGACAGGAAAATGAATGTATACCAAGGCTGTTGAGAATACGAGAAACTGGTTTATTACATTGAAAACATCACGAAATCTTAACTCTATATTTATTTTATTATTGTTCCCTGTTTCAATATTACTCCATTTACCAGATTTCCTTTGATAATATAAAGACGGATACAAAGCAAACGTATAATTAAACTGGTCATTACAAAGCCAGTTCAATGGTTAGATCAAGTAACCTCAATGTATTTGCTGCTGCAGCTAAACGTGCAACAAACTGTGATGGAAACCTTTTCGTCAACTTATTTCGCCGAGGTAAACACACAGCTACAGCAACAGCGAGAAATGATGTTGACATAGTCAATGAACCTAAGGAGCCATTGATACGAACAACAACTGTTCCAGGACCAAAGTCGATTGAGCTGATAAAAGAACTGAATACCATTCAATTGGCCAGTCCAATACAATTGTTCGTTGACTATGAATCATCTATCGGTAATTATTTATGTGATGCTGATGGGAATCTTTTTCTGGACATTTATTCACAAATATCATCCATTCCATTGGGTTACAATCACCCAGCTTTAATTGAAGCTCTTCGAGATCCAGCAAATACTTCTGCTTTCATCAATAGACCTGCTCTTGGTATTTTACCTCCAAAAGATCTAGTTGATAGACTTCGAGCTTCTTTACTTTCAGTCGCTCCACCAGGTTTGAACGAGGTTCAAACAATGGCTTGTGGTTCTTGTTCAGTTGAAAATGCTATGAAAGCAGCCTTTTTCTGGTATCAAACCCGAATCCGTGACGGTCGAGAAGTGACGCGAGAAGAGATGGATTCGTGTTTAGCCAACCAGTATCCTGGATCACCATATCTTACCATATTGTCTTTTAAACATGGATTTCACGGACGAACTTTTGGAGCTTTAAGTTGTACTCATTCCAAATATATCCATAAATTGGATGTCCCTTCGTTCGATTGGCCCATTGCTCCTTTTCCAATCTATAGATATCCGTTAGAAGATAATGAGCGTGAAAACAAAGCCACAGATGACCAATGTCTTGAAGAAATCCAAGATTTGATCGAGAGATTCAATAGAAAAGGTCGTCCAGTTGCTGGACTCATTGTTGAACCAATTCAAGGGGAAGGAGGAGATAATCATGGCTCTAAATATTTCTTTAACCAACTACAAAAGATTGCCAAGTCTCAGCAGGTTGTTTTTATTTGTGATGAGGTAATTTTCACAATTTTTGCTCCTTCCACCTATCAGCGATTTTATATTGCGCTTCAGCCATTGCTCTTGTGTCACATGAATGTTTCATTTACTAAAACATGAACAGCAATCTAATAATTTCACTTCAGTTACTAATGGTATGATTTATCCATCAATACAGGTTCAAACTGGATGTGGGCCTACCGGTAAGTTTTGGGCTCATGAACATTGGGAACTCGATAATCCACCAGATATAGTTACATTCAGTAAGAAAATGTTGACTGGAGGTTATTTCTACAAAGCACATCTTCGACCAGACCAAGGTTTTCGAATATTTAATACTTGGCTTGGAGATCCATCGAAATTAGCTCTCCTTGAACGAGTAATTAAGGTTATCAAAAGAGATAATTTACTCGAGTCGGTCAAAGAAACTGGAAAAGAAATGTTGAAAGGATTGAAGGAAGCTGAAACTCGTTTCCCTGGCTTGGTATCACGATCACGAGGAGTGGGAACCTTTTGCGCTATTGATTTTGTAACACCTGAATTGAGGAATGAAGTGATTAAACGTCTGCACCTCAAAGGTATCCATTGTGGGGGATCAGGAGCCGCTGCTCTAAGAGTTAGAACAACACTTACGTTTAACAAAAATCACAACGATATCTTCATTGATCGATTACACAACGTTTTGGCTGAGTTGAACAATAGCTGAACCAACAAGATGGTGATAAAAAGATATCAACATGTTTAACCACGAGAACCAGGAATGTCATGTAATCATATGTTTAGTTTATTTCTCATTTTTGTCTCATTGTCTTTTGGAGACCTCTATTATTGTGAAGCTCACATTAATTACGTCTTCCTTTAGCTTATTACTAAAGCTAATAGTGATCAAATATTCCGATTTGATTTCATGTATAACAGAACATTTGAAAGCATCAATATTCTTGAGAAAAGTACCGACTTACACATATGAAAACCGTTGAGAGTAAAACGAAAAATCTAAAACTGTTGCTTTTTAATACAATTATTGACAATGTATCAAGCTGAACAAAAATATTAATGTTGTTATTGCTCTTGTTAAATATTAACGATCATAAAATGTGTACAAATTTTTGCCAGCTGGAATAAAGTGAGGAAATGTTAGGTATTGTTTCAAATCTTCTAAACCAATTAAAAAATATTTATTGATAAGTTTACACATAATTGTGCAAGTTAATTTTAATTTAAGCAAGAAAAGTGTGAACTTTTCCAGTGGTTCCCTAATAAGTATGATAGTTTTTAGTCAATACTGTTGTCAATAGTATCGATATTTTAAGTAACAACATTAAAGTTAATAATATTCAAACAGGTAATACTATTTTGTAAATATTAAATTAACACTGATAAATACCATTTAAGCTTCATATTTCAACAATTAAATTGGTTCACTGGTTCCATTATCGACTTCTTCACAGTAACGATTAACAGCGTTTCTGATATCTTCCTCTAAATTAGCAAAGGTTTTCAAAAATTTTGGCTTAAAACCGATATTCATTCCCAGCATATCTTGAATAACCAGGATATTACCATCGCAGCTATTACCGGCACCAATGCTAATTGTTGGTATTTTCACAGATTTGGTGATCTGTGCAGCCACAGAAGGTTCGGTTAATTCAATTACCATAGAGAAGCAGCCAGCGTTTTCCAGATCTTTAGCTTGTTGTAATAAACGATTTAGTGCTTTCTCATTTTTACCCTGAATTCTGAAACCACCATAAGAATGGACAGCTTGTGGTTGCAATCCAATATGACCCATTACTGGTACTCCTGATGCCACCAAGAATTCAATTTGTTTACATAAAACTTCGGAAGCACCTTCAATTTTGACAGCTTCGGCTCCAGCTGCTACCAAAGTGGCCACATTAGCGCAAGATACCTCTAGACTGGGTCCAAAACTCATGAAAGGCATATCTGCTACCAAAAGCGGACGTTTTATTGCCCCAGCAACACACTCAACATGATATTTAATATGATCTAACGTTACTGATAGAGTATTTGATTTTCCTTGCATAACGTGACCAGCTGAATCACCGACCAGAACAATATCGACATTGGTTCTTTCCAAAATTGAAGCAAACGTGTAATCATAACAAGTTAAACATTTTATTCGTTTGCCTTTCTCCTTCATTGACACAATATCAATTGTTCGCACCTTTTTCCTACCAATAGCAGCATCGCTAACTGCATAGCCAACAACGGCCTTTTTTGGCACATCGAGGTTACTTTTATTAGAACTGCTCTTGCTATCACTCGATGACAATCTATGTAAACTTGGTGTAACAGTGGGTTTTAAGAGTTGGCCATTTTTGATCTAAAAAAGTAAAATAATAAAAATGAATAAGATTAAGGTAAATTTTCAATAAATTTGAAACATGACGATTAATGATCGCACTTACATATGAATGGGCAAATGATTTTCCATTAAAAAGCGAGAAATACAATTTTCGTAACATGAATTCACAAAAAATCAACAAAACTATTTCAAGTTTTATCAACAATATCTTTTCTTCAACTGATGATTTAAGACGTGAATCGGACGAGTCCAGACAATTGGATATCTTAAATTACTATTTTCATGAAGTAGATATTTCCTAGTTGTGTTATAATCAATATTGCACATATGGGAAAATTTAAACAATGAAAAAATTAAGGTTGCTATCGATACAATCAATCGAATCTCAATTTTTCATCCAATGATAGAATAACTTACCTTATGATGAATTTTCTCCTTAATTATCTAGATGATCAAACTTGACTCATAAATTTTAGAATCAATAAATTGAATAGACTTGAATTCAAGGAAACAGGCAATTCTTTGCAAAAATCAACGTTGGCAATATTTTTTTACTGGTTTAAATAAATTGATGTTTCCAATTCAAATGGTAAATACAGAACGAGTTTAAGTAGATTGATCAAAAGAATTTAGTTTGATGGTTTGATGTGTTGAATTGGGATTGGGATTAAATTTCATGAACATGCATTAATTGATCACATTTGAAACGAAAGTTAATTTAGTAACAATTTGTATGAAGAAAAAATTTGAAACTGTTTTTCAGGGACCTTATAGTAATTACGATTAGTTGGTGAAGAAAAGAAAACATTGGGTTGTACCCTGTGGTTGTGCCAGTGAAAGACTAATTGAAGTCACATTTTGAAGATTAAAAATGTTTAAATATTAATGAATTTAATTTAGGTGATCTATTTATTTACACTAACCATGGATCTAGATGGGAAATGTGAAATCTCGACTGAATTACTCTTCTTTGATACCTTTGCTCATGAAAGCGATCAGGTTTGTTGAGGATTCTATTCAATTCCATCATTACCTCTCTTTTTTCCCTTTCCTATGTCTCTTTCTTTCACAATCATTGTGTATGTTTTTATCCATTAAATTTTTTTTCATCACCAGCTAATCATGTTGAATTGACAGTCAATAATGATGTTTGTACATTGCTGGCTTTATGTTTTTCAACTATTTCACTCTTATCTCTCTCTCACTCTCATTTATCAGAGTGAAATGAAATTTGTTCATCTTATTCATATGCTTTGCTGCCTTCATGTGTTTAGTTTTCATTAGACACACACTCACTGTATTTTATTTTGCCCTTTTTCATGTTTTTATTTCATTTACACAACTGAAATTAATACTTTACAAACTTGTTCTTTTTTATAGGAATCCAATCTAGATTTGGTTCAATTTGCAAGTCCAATCATTATTGATGAAATACGAATAATACCTCTTGGAGCTCGAGTAGAGGCTGATTTTCCCGGCGGAGTTAGACTTGGGTAATTAAAATCTATATTGAAAAATCAACGTTTTCATAACAGTGTTATAGAAGGGTTTTATTATTTTCATTTAAACTTAACTGTCTGTTTTCGCTTATTTTTGTTGGTAACAGGCGAGCCTTAAATGATCAACAAGCCTTTTCCAGAACGTTACTTGACTCTTACCTTTCCCACGCTTCCTGACTATTAATTTTTTTATTAATAAGCTTTTAATCTCGAGACTTGATCATTTCCTTTGAATTACACCACTTTCTAATTAACAGATATCAATTTTATTATCATTAAATTAATTGAACATTCCATCTTTTTATTTACAGAGCTACAAATCCATCGTCATTTAATGTTACTTTCTACATTAATGATTTCACCAAACCTACTCTCTGCACCTTCTCAGACTTTGGCCGGTAAATATTTTTTTGTCGTCTGATTTTCCTTAATGTAGAATTCATTAATTCAATATTGATCTTTTTCCAGGTTCGATTATAAACAAAATATAAACATCCAATTTGTACCTGAAGAACGTAAACCAACAGACGGTCTTTTAATTAAAGGGTCTTATCGCACTTTAACTCTCGCTATTTTTGGGGTTCAAACAAATGTTAAGGACATCATTGTCAAGGAGGAAACGCAAGCAACTACACCTGTGACTGATCCTTTAGCCCTAATTTCAGACAATCAACCAAATGTTGATGCTGACCGTGAAGAATTTCCTTTTAGTGACAAAAAATATACTGAAAATTCCCCTGACTTAGGCAAAGAAAGCAATCTGATTTCTGAAAGATTGAATCCAGCTGTTATTGAAAATCAACAAGCAACAGTTCTACGATCATCTAGTGATTCAAAATCTAACACTAATAACAATAATAATAAGTATTATAGTGAAAGAACTAAAGATTCTGCATCTGAGTTAAGGAGTGTGGAAATAAATTCAACCAGTGTAAATAATAGAGATGAAAATCTCGTTCCACGACAGCGACTAAAGTTAAGTCCATGTTCTAGACAGTTAATCTCAAACTCGCCACCTACACTATCACCTGTTCGTAGTCCACAAAGTCTCAAGAGTCCAATGAGTCCTCAAAGTGATATCAGCTTAAAATCTGAAACCATTTTACACAATCCTCGTTCTCCTATTATGGATCATGCAAAGTCAATTTCATCGAGAAGTCCATACAATCGTGGTCGAACAGCTCCTTCAACTCATTCTAATCACTCCCCAAGATCTCCTAGATACATTCAATCAAGATCACCATCTCCTTGGTACAAAAATCAGCACAATGCTTCTCGTCCATCTTCACCTCCATCTCCTCTTTCATCCAAGTATCGTAAAGCCCATTCTCCAACTAAAATCACATCACCAGCTAAAACTCCTCCAGAATTACCATCTGCTTCTAAATTCAACAAGAAAAGACAAAGACATACACGATCATCATCTCGATCTTGCTCACCACTTGCGAAAAACAAACGATTAGAAATTGAAAGTGATTCTGGTCTAATATTACCAGTGAGTACAGATCTTCTTGAGGAAATTTCTCCTGAGCATTCGCTTTCGGACTGGGCTGAAAGTATATCTGAAGACGAAAATTTAGATGATATGGAATCTGGAGACGACGAGAGTCATCCAAATAACAACATAAGCTCTATCAACAGTAGTAAAAATGATAATTATTTCATTCACTCACCTAATCATCATCAGCCAAGTGAAAGCCAAGAACCCGAACCTTTTGAATCAATTTCAAGTGAAGAGGAATACTTTGAGGAAGGAAACATAGAAGAAGGCGACCGTCTATCTCATTATTCCGGTTATGATCTAAGTGACAATCCCTTTAATTTAAATTTTGACCCTTTCAATTGCGAGTTCCCTCCTCTTCGTATGCTTCGTGATCCAGCACAAACAAATTATCAATATCTCAGAAACAGCCAAATGAATTTTAATGAAAATAAGAGAACTCTATTACTATCTCAATTGAATGAAATTGATGGAAGATCTTCTATTTGGGTGGAAACTATGGAACAAATTGCCAAAGATATTGAACTTATTCCTCTTGAAGAGCAAAATGTTCTTGACATCGTTCTGGTTTGGTTAAAGGATGGTCTTGATTTTGATCTCGCCGTTAAACAAACAACTATTCCTTACAAAGTGCGACATTTGAAAGCTGGTATTAAACTTTGCATAGCTTTGACTAATACTGATGAATCAATTGTCAAAAAATTAATTGAGCTCAAGATTCCTCTTACATTAATGGACCTATACCATAAACCTCATATGTCACTACCATTGAAGTTATTGATCCTCAGGACATTCGATGCTTTCTGTGACTCTGTGACTGGAATTGAACATATTTTGAATGATAAATATGTTTTCAATAGTTTACCAACTGATGAAATTGCCGAAAGTCTCACGTGCTACCAACATTTGCTGTTACTTTTAGCGAATAAGCCTCCATCAAGAATTGCAATAGCTTTAGAAGCTTTGTTTAACAAGATGCATTTTTACAATTTGTTGGAATCATTTAGGACAGTAGTTAATAATCCCAACATTAATGTTCTCACAATTTCGACGTACCTCCGTGAAATTGGTTCAACTTTCGTTTCAGCGTGTAAATTGTTGACTCAAAAAATTCGTTGTTTACCAGTGACTTGCTTCTTTGAGATCAAAGAGCCTAAATGTGATTGTTTCTTGGCCATTTATAATTGGTTTAAACATCATAAATTCTTGGATAATTTAGTTACTCTATTGAAAAGTTCTGATTCTGAATCACTAGCCCTGGAAATACATCAACTAATTTATTTAATGATTTCAGAGGAAAGTTTCCCGCGCTTTCTTCTATCTGCTTGCTGCTGTCCAAAGACAAATGAACTAACTTCACTACTAGTTCATGCTAACAACGATGTTTATAATCAAAATTACTATGTTGGGGATCGACTTAGCTATCTGCTTCAATCATACTCATTAATTGATTCCCTGATTGCTCGATTAAAGAGCGAGTCTTTTGACATGACGGATTGTGATGCAGATACAGAAGTTTGCACGATATTTCGTAGTTTTCATGGTCTCATTTGCTCTCCTATTGGAAGAGAATGTGTTATCAAAGCTCTTTCATCTTCAAACAATTTTAAAGCAGCTTTACTTCCCTTTCTTTCTCCTGTTAATGACGATCAAATGGACCATGTATTGTATAGATCAGTTTTATCTGAGTATTCTGTTAAATTATGTCTTTCAATGGTGCAATTCGGTGAGCACAATATCTTACATATTCTCAAAAATTTTGAAAATAATCTTTTGGTCATCGCTAAAAACAGTCAATCATCAAAAGTTTCATCTTTATCCGATTGGCTCAAACCCTTTCAATTAGTGAAAAATTTTAGTTACTCAGAAGAGACTTTCAAAGAGCTCATGACAATTGTCAAAAACTATGCCGGTGGAGCGTCCAAGTTAAAAGATACTGAAATTTTCAAGCTCCAACCTCAACTAATAACAATCCTAAGGATCCTCTACAAATTATGTATACCGCCAGAGCAAACTTATCATTTACTCGAAAAGGAACCAGTCATCGAGTTAAAATACTACTATGCCATTATTCAAGTCTATAGTCAGGATGGTTTATCATCAATACTAACATTATTAAAGAAACTTTCTGAAACTTATCTGCGTCCATCTCATCAGAGTTTCGCTCTTGTTGGAGATCAAGGTTCTATTGTGATGGGATTTGTCAAACTTGCTGTTAAATTGGTTAAAGAAATGCTGAGAGTGTTAATCAAAGCTCGAGGGAAAGATTTTCGCGATGCAACACCCATACCTGTGATGTTAAAAGTTTACTCACTTATGTACATGTTTCCACGATCATCATTTGCCTATTCAACCTCTCGAGAAACCATCAGAGATATTGTTGATATCCTTATGTTTTACACTCAACTATCTTTAACATCCTCTGAATTGGATCCTGAAGCATTGGCTAAAGGTGTTTGGACCAAAATGATCAGTGAAGTTTTGCAATATACTTTTTCATTGCCAATGACCTTTGTCCATGGACTGAGTCTCCTTTCAGAGCTGTTACCTCTTCCTCTGCCCTTCCAAACAGTTTCACCTCTTACTGAAGAAGAAGTAAACAAAATGATCAATATTCGTAAACTTTGGAGCGCACATTTATTGGGTCTCTCTAGTGAATTGGAAAAGCTTATATCAAATTTTGTCATTAGCTCATCACCAATTATTCAACAACTTTTGCGCCGAGTTTGTATACAAATTTCTGATCTTTCATCGCCAGCATCCACCATGATAGTTAGATCAGTGTTGGAAGCAGTACTTGACTCATTGCCCACTGAACGCAACTCCAAATTATCGATATCATTGCTGCATGTGCTTGATTTACTTTCGTATCTTTCCTCTCATCCTCCATTTAAAATGGCTTTCATTCACACCATGCACATTGGAGGTAAATTGGATGAAAAATATTTCACCATTGTCAGCAAATTATTGAAACTAATTCGAGAGGATGTATCAAAACCAGTTGAGATTCAAATCAACCTTCTGATATTTGCTTTCCTTCAGTCTCTTTGTGACTCAGACATTTATCTCAATTCCCGCGTACCAACTTCTAGCCTTCAAATTGTAAGTTATAAATATTTAACTAGATCTATTTAGATATCTATCAATATTTAATATCTTTCTTTTTCTATTTTTCTCTATTTAGCTCTCTAATTCATTGCCTCCAAGAGAATCATTAAAACTGATCAGCTTAACATTGTTACGATTTCTTAAGAATTCACTAAAATCGACAGCCGCATTGATTACTCAATCCTCCGAAAATTCCTCGATATCATCAATATCAACTGAAGGCACACCAACTAATCTCAACTTTTGCTTGCCTGTGCTCAAGGTGTTATCCCTGTTGTGCTCTCATGATTTCGGTTTCATTCCTTTGAAACAAAGCATTTTTGAAGAAGCTCAGACAATACTCAACACATTATTGGTCAAAATTAGTGATTCAATCAAGATGCGATGTAAACAAAGTGATCTCATTCAAGTTATTAATGGATTTGTTGATTTCATTAAGGCTTTTATTCTTGAAAATGGCCATCGAACAGCCAAACTGAGTTACAAGGAAATAGTCTCGTTATTTGCTTGGGAATCTAAGGTGACTGATGATTTAGTTGACAGAAAAACATCAACACCGCCATTATCCTCACCATTAGTTATGTCAAATGATGAACAAAAAATAAACTCAGACACTCAAGAGCCAGTGAAAGAGCCAAATGGCGAAAGTAAAGACCAAAATAATCAAGAAAATGATTCCATGGCAGATATTTCAGAGAAAAAGTGTGAAGTTGAAAACGATAAGGATTCAAACAGTGAAACAACCGAAGTCACTAAAGTGAACAATCTTCATCCGCTGCTCATCTTGAAGGAATATATTGAAAGTTTAGATTTGATGGGTGAAAATGACATTAATGGGGCGAAAAATATTATTAAAAGCTTATTGAGTCTTTTGTCTTCTCCTACTGATGAGCCCAGTGGAGATACACTAACTAACATAGAGTTACCAGTTATCGAGCCATTGCCACTTCAATTTTCTAAAAGAGAGGTTTTCATTGTTACTTCCAACATAGACCAAGAAAAGTTGAATGCAAACTTTTGGCTTTCAGTGCCAACTTTTGACGATGACCATCACCATAACCCTTATAATCAGCTTCAAAGCAATCAAAATGTTATTGTAAATGAAATGAATTCCAATTCTCATCTCTTGCATGAAACTGAAAACAAGGATGCTATTCATGGAGAGAAGCGAATAAGCTTCATCGAGTTGTGTCAAAAATATTTGTCTAGTGATTTTAACTTGAAGAAAACGCTGGAAAACTTATGCCAAATTCACGAGGGTGAAGGTGATGTTGCCAATTCAACTAGTAAACCATTGAGCTCTGTTAACTCGGTAAATCAAACAGTTAGACGGATGGATTCCTTGTTACCATCTCGCGAGTCAAAGTCATTCAGCAATGTTAAAAAGTCATTTGTTGCTCCAATGAGAAATCGAGGATTTGGTCGTCCTGGGTCAATGATGCACTCGTCAAGAGCAAACGATCCATTTAGATCTCGTCCACCAAATACAAGTCGACCTCCATCCATGCATGTAGATGATTTTGTAGCTTTGGAAAAATCTGGGACAAATTGTAATTCATATGAAACATCAAACAAACGAATGAAACTAGACTATTCGATAAAGATACGTAATAGCTCTGCTAGTGGAAATGCTAGTAACAACACAGGTAGTGGAGCAAACAGTAATCTAATGCATAATTCATCTCGTTCTTTTGGTGGCTCAGGCTCAGTTCAATCACGATCATCACCATCATATCACAATATTGAGTCTTATTCAAATCGTCGAGCATTACTATCCAGCTCTCACTCTCATTCACACCAATCTCCACTACGCAATAATGTGTCCTCAAACTCGACTCGAGGATCGCTAACAAGGTACTCTAAAGACAATTATTCACCACCCGGAGCTAGATTGGCTCGTTCTGGTTCTACCGGGCCCTCTTCATCATCCCAACATTGGACTAAAAGTAACTTGACCAATCGAAGAGATTCTCGTGACTCCAGAGATTCAAGATCTATTCGCTCATCTAACAACCGTTGAAGCTTTCACAAAAAACACTTGATGGACTGTATTTGGAAGAAAATTGATTAAGAAAATTTGATAATTGAGATGATGGACCAAAAGTTATCGTTAAAAGCAGTCATTTTCACTGTTTCATCTTGAAGGAAACAAGAAATGGTGTAAAATTACATCCATAAACCATTGATGACACCACATTCTTATGTGTTTATAGATTACATTTCGCTCATTAAGATCATTTTTACCATTATTACTTTTATCATGGTATAACCACTCTTCCTCTTCTCTATAAAAAAATCCTTTATTTCTTAAGTATAAAGGAGGAAAATCAATACACCATGATAAAACTATACATATATATATACATATAAATAAATCTATATATATATTTGAACAAAATTGATGCTAAAATTAAAATAAGAAATAAACAAATTAACTGATATTTGTCAATTTTGTCTCCATTAGAGTAACCTGGTTAAGCTTATTCACCTGAAGAAACAAAGAAAAGATGAAGCAATCTGGAAATAATTAGACAATATAATTAAATGTTGAAATGTGAGCTGAAACTTGAGTTCAATATTGAAAGGACAAAGGGAAAAACAAAGTGAAAATGGAATCAAAAATGAAGTAAATTTAGTCTAAATCAACAATAGAGTTTTCTTATTTCCCTTTCAATGAATTAACTAACCAAATCTAATGAGAAGAAGTCAGTTTAATAGTAAATAAAAACATAATAATAATAAAAGTTTCCCAGTTCAGGATCAGTAATTAATGTGAATGGCAAAAGTTCAACATCAGTAACAGCAACAGCAGGACAAAAAACATACCAGCCGATCTCATCATTGTCAATCCAAGTAAAGTGAACCTGTTTAAGACTAAAAATGAAGTCAATCTCCATCCTCAATCTAATAGGTTGACAACATTTTTAACATTAATAGTGATATAAAGCACTTAGTTAATAGCAAATTGTAGAGACGAGAAAAAAAGACGTTCCAATTGTTAATAATACGGACATTCGAATGTTTTGTATTTACTCTGAACAAGATGAACATTGTCATTTATTTTAATGATAAATTACATTTGAAAATGATTAAAGGTAACAAGATGGAGCAAAAAAGGGCAAAAACAAGAAAATCAAAGTCAATCCAAGATTCACACATTGATTGTTACGGACCAGCAAAGGTAAAGCCAACAATCAACCGAGTGAATAGATCAATGAATTACCTTTTTCCTCTCCTCCTTCTCCTTCCTCCTTCCACCTGTGAACATACTAAATATACTATTTTTGTTAGTTAACTAATCATTAAATGATGATGATCATGACTATAATGATTATCATTATTGACTCTCTATTGAGTTTAATTTTTTTGGCACTTTACAACTTTATTTGTAATCGTCCACATTTTTTGTCCTCTTCATAGTTCAACTGATTGTTATGTTTTTTTTCATCTCGCCCTTCAATAACCAGTCTACCGTTGTAAGCATTACAAGTTGCAATCAAGTTAAATCACAAGAAACACCTTTACAGTACAATTAATTTCAAGTTAAATTCAGTTTGTCGTTGAGCGTTTGTCTTTCCTTTCATTAGATTGATTTCAATCTTTTTTTTGCTTTTTTCTCTTCTTTTGCAAAGAAATTTCACCTTTCTGAATCTTTTTAATCAAATTAAAAAGCAAAAACTATGAATTAATGAAAAGTCTAAATTTAATCAATTGATCAATCACACGTCAACCTTTGTTGTCTCTGTTGAAAAACTAAAGCAACAAAATTGCCTTCTCAATTTTCATAATTACCTTAATCAAATCTTAATTTGTTGAGTACAAAAAAAAACATTTAATTTGCAGTTATAATAATTAAACAAACGAGCAAAGCAAAACAAAACTAATTATTGAATTAATTTTCCTATTTCAAATTACCATTAAAAGCTCAGAAATCTTTCAATATTATTTTACATTATTAGTCAAACAAACATCAACAGTAATGTACTTTTGATTAAATCAACAAATCCCGATAAAATAAAAGCTCTAAATTAGAGTTCAATATTCATCATAAATTGTTGCTTGAAATCAACTGATCATCAAAAGGTTCATTTATTAACAAGTTGATTGTTCAGCATTTTGAGAGAAGAGCAGAAAATTTAAAAAAATGTTTACTGTAGTGTTTCAAGTCGATCACAACATTGCTAACATTCAATTTTTAGTCAAAGAATCACTTTTTTGACTAATGATTGATTCGGTTATTTGCATTATTATTGCGAGACAAAAATTTGGTGAAATTTGAAACAAATGAAGCATCGAAAGGATCCTTTTAGTGACTAAAGCATATTTGATTCGGATTACTTGAACCTTGCTCGTTTCCCTCATTTAATATGATATTTTGTAGCAAATTTTTTGATTGAAGCAATTTGTCATCAACAATTAACCTTTACAGTATCATTTACAGTGGGATTTAATTTGCATCCACTGTAATCATTAATAGCAAGGAAAAGTGAAAACAAAATGAAACTGATTTATAACGGATGATGACTTTGGATGATCTCTCTGAAGGAACCAAAGAGCGCAAAGCATTTGAAACATGTAATAACAAGCTATTAAATGTGATCATCATTTGATTGATCCACTCTCTTCATCACATTTACACCAATTTATAACGGTTATCATATTTTTGTTACATGATAAACGGAAATTTGATCTCAACAGGATCTCGACTTATAATCAGCTAATAAATGTTCAACTCTCGCTGCTCTTTTCCTCCAATGTTTACAACAATCAAACTCGTAATCAGTTAAACTAATAACAATACCAGCAAGACAATCAAGAGAAGAAGAAAAAATTTGATATTATTCATCCTTTTTTTTATTCGATCTCATTGAAAATACCAAAGAGAAGCAATGAAAAACAGTAAGAAGCGCTAAATAACAGCAAAAAACAAAATCAACAGGAAAATGATAATGATGATGATTTAGTTTAATCCATTGGCAGAAGATGAAGGATAAAGATGAAGATTGTTTCTCATGGAAGGAAAGAGAGAGTGGAACTTCATTTTATTATTTCCGCTTCGTTCCGCCCCAATATATTTTTATGAACAATTTATCCATAAGATTATCTTTCTTCCTTCCCAGTTTAACTCCCAGTTATCATCATAATAGCAATAATAGTAATACTTGATGTTATTTGAGGGAACCTTCAAACTATTATGTTACCCATAATATTGAGCTAATAAATATTATTAACCTTTTCCATTTATCAAAGTTTCACCTCGATTAGCTCAATCAAAGTGCACTGTCTTGGTTTCATCGTGACAATTACAATATTTATTAGCTCAATATTAATCAAAACTGTCAAAAAGGTTAAATTAATCACTTTAAACCTTTCAAAGTTGATAAAAAATGCAATTTCACCCTTTTCCCTTTAATGTAACTTGCTTGCATGAAATCAAATTTAGTAACAAAAAGCTGCAAATGATTCAGGTTTAGTCATTTTTTGTCACAATAAAAGTATAAAATCAAGTCTTCTTAGTAAAGTTAAATCTTATTTCGTGATTGTAAAAATGAAATTGGAATCAAATCAAAGTCAGATTTTGATGATAAAAACTCGACTTTCTCAAGGAAACAAAACTCATGAAAAAATATTAAAAATAAGCTTTTCATTGAAGTAAACCTTTGACTTTCTTCAATTATAGTCAAAGAGTTATCAAAAGACATGACCAGGAACTTTTATCCAATGAAGCTTTATTTTGCAAAATATGTAACCTGCGTGTTGGATGTAAATTAACTTGAGTTAATAAAGTGATCTTTGATTCATTTAATTGCTTTGCGTTTTAACACAAACCATTAATGAAGCAACACTTGACACTCTTGCAAACCAAATCTACCGGTAAAAATACATAAAACCAACTTGCTGACTTGATCTTTCAGTTCAATTATTGGCACAATAATAATAACCTCAACATTGCTTTTTGATTAGAGACAAAATATATTGCAAACTGAAGCAGATTTAAAGAAAGAAATGATTTATTTTGAAGGAGAAGAGAAACAAAAATGTCGATTCTGTTCATTTATCTTTTAATGATTATTGAGGTGAACCCTTTAACTCTATTAGCAGTCAAATAATAGATGCTTTTGTGTGCAAAATGAAAGCCAAAAACCGTTGCTAGGATCTTCATTTTGAGGCTATTTTTGCATCCATTGACAATTGTCTGTAAACACCTTTTCTCTCTCATCCTCACCATCCTCATCACACTGCTGATCATCCTTTCTGTTCATCTTCTTGTGGTTGTTTGTTTCCTTACATAAAACCCACAAAAGCCTGATTCACTCTTATAAACCAGCAAAATGTGAGTCTTGTTTTTAAAAGGATTTGGCTTTAGCTTCAGTTAACATAAACAAGATATAATAATAACAACTGTAAAAAGGATAACAATCCAAACAAAAATAATAACAAGATGAACATTTCAATGCTAATATTGGTTGCAGTTAAAAAGATATTCAATATTAATTCATTTATGGATATTGAAAGGTTACAATTCAATTAAAGCAAACCAAATCCATCATCTGCCTAAAGCCATTTTCACCATTTTATTCATAAAACAACTTTCATCTTTCACAAGAAAACCAAGTTTATGGATTAATCTCGCTCTTCAGCTACAGTTGATAATTGCTCTGAAAATATTCATGAAACATTGATTCCTCCATGATACAGCTTATTAACAATTTGCCTGATAATCATGTCAGTTGAGGTGAAAAGACTTTCTTTTCAAATCTTAACCTTTCTTCATTTGTTGTCATTTGAAAATACACAAAGTTGATGAAGAAGCAAATTGAAGAAGTAAATTTAAATATTTTTAATTAATATGCTAAATTGATTATCATGGTGAAATGTAGCTATAATTTGTGCACAGTTAATTGTCTTCAATGTTGATCAATTGAAATTGGAAACAAAATTGAAATTGTATTGTTGAGAGGGATGAGAGGGAAAAAAAAGTCTGCAAAATGTTTCACTCTCAATTGAAAAGACTGATTACATTTGAATGGCAATTGTAAAGGCAAGTTCATTATATTTATACAGATGAAGAGGAATGATGAGGCGAAAGTAAAATGAGAATGATGAGGATGCTCATGGGGATGATAGAAAGTGATAATGTTGAAAATCGTCTGTTGACCAGTTTTTGGGTTAAGCATAAAATAATTAAGATGATGATGATGATGAGAAAAGCATAAAGTAAAGTAAATAGAGTAAAATAACTGGCTTAATAGAGAGCAAAATGATTACAACAAGAAGAAGAGTTTGATTTAGCAAAGTATCATCATCATTATCATCATCGAAGAGAAGAGAAGAGAGAAAAAAAAGATGAAAAAGAAAAGGATTTTAACTCTTTATCTATAAACATGGTGAAGTAATTATGGATCTTTCCTTTGATTTATTCTTGAT